TGTAGAGCTTCACTGTAATTGTTGTTGTTGAAATATTGATAGTTCTTGTGATTTGTTTATGAACAGCAAGGGATATGTTTCCAAAACAAAATATGGTGAGAAAAAGTTGATCCAAAGCTATAAATAGGTATTGATTTTAATGTAATATGCAGGTTGGGTACTCTTAGATTTTCCAAACAAATCACAGAAAAAAAAGGGAATTTTCTAAATGAAACAAAATTAAATTGGTTAGTGTAATACCAACTGTTTCCTATTTTTCTCTTGATGAATAAAATTACCTGTATGGCTTTTCTTGCATACTCTTTCTCAGATTTGTTTATGAATGTAACTTAGTGGATATCTTTATTATAGTTGCACAGTTGATTATATTAACATGGAAAGTCCCATAAACCTCTGTATTCCTTTTGGATTCCTGCAAAACTGATCTCCTGGAATTCTAATTGTCTCTCTGTGTGTATATTGTAACCTAATCAATCTGTGATGACAGATCTACTGTCATAATGCAAGTGACAATGTCATCCTTCATCTAATAATATAATTATGCCTGTGCAGGGCTCAAAATACTGTGCATGTGCACCTTAGTGCACCCAAATTTGGAGCTGTGCACCCAGTTATTTTCTGTGGGTGCACTGGTGCACCCAAATATTTTTGTAGGTATTTTTGTACATATCAAATCTATAGTATACAGGATATTCTTGGCATCTAAGTGCCAGAAAAATAATAAAATCTTTGTTGTACTACTTGTTTAGATTTTGGCGTTAGCTCCCATTTCAGATTCAAGCTCAGAAGATGAGCAGTAAGGTCATACTATTGGGTAAATGCTTTATAATTGGTGCACCCAAAAAATTTTTTGTGCACCTAAATTTTTAGGTTGGGTGCATCAGTGCACCTATTCCCAAAAATGAATTTCGAGCCCTGGATCTACTGTCATAATGCAAGTGACAATGTCATCTTTCATCTAATAAATATAATTATGCCTATGGAATATCTCACAGCAAAATTTGGTCACTCCCCTTTTCCTTATAAGGCCACCGCAAGTAAATGTTATGGATGACATCCTCCGCAGACTCCAAATCTAATGCGAGCAGGCAAAAAAAGATGAGACGGGCAGAAAAAAAACAAGGTTCCTACATTTTTAAATTTTGACTCAATCATTGTTCAAATGGTTTTCATTCAGTGGGAACATCACATATACACAGCCAACATCACATATCACTGCATCAAAGTAAGAAACAAAACATTAAATCAGAGCCTTTTCTTGTCTCCTCTTTCCATAGTTATCTGCCATCCAACTTCCAGCATGGCAACAGACATCTTTGCCCGTTTTCGGCATGTTGATCACTGTCAGAAGGCAACCAAATTTCTTGTGTTTTTTTTCTCCGAAATCAGGCGAAAATTAATGCGTGCATTGATGTCATCCATAAAAATTACTTGCTGTGGCCTAAGGGCGTGGGTTGAGGTTGTTGGGTGACTGACATCCGGATTGGACTAGAGTGTAATTGTGTTAGTATCGACACAGACTTGTCTGTGACTCAAAAAGGATTAGTATTAGCTGAAATCTGATTGGTTAAGGGACCTAATTAGGACATAGCATTAGCTTTCAGAGATGCATCATATAATTACTTTGTCAAATGAAGAAATAAGTGAGTTGTGAGGGATTTTGTAATTGTTGAGAAAATGTTGGTGTCTATATGGACTAAATTAAGTTGAAATTTATCGTAAAGGGATATACATGTAGGCTTAAATTTTCCACAATATCTATGATGTAAACAATTTTGAGAATAAAGCATTTTTTTAAGTAATCAAACTTAGAGGATGAAAACATTTAGTTTGGGGGAATTTTTTAAATAGACAAACTTTAAGGTTTATTGCAAGTTCTTGCCCCTAGCCTAATTGCAAGACTTAGTACATGTAAGTTATTGTAACATGAAAATAAAGTATGGACAATGGATAACAATATAGAATGTTTAATTACTAGAAAATGCTCTAATTGTCTATGAAAAAGGAAGATACATGCTTGGCTCCTTCGGCAGTTTTGGGAGCCAGAAGAAACCAGCAGTCTTAACAATGGTTAATTTGTCCTGAATGATATGTTGACATGTTCTTAAGTTACGCTCTTTCTATGGTTGCACACGTGTCGACACAATAGCGCCCCCTCCCCCATTCACGCATTGTCTGATAATGCACAACTCTCGTCCACCTTCGAACAAAGCTCGTCGCAAAATCCAAAATGTCAAGAAGCTTCTTTGCTTGTGTATATGTATGGAATCGTCAACATTTTTGCTTGGTGCTACAAATTCTTGCGACATTGTGTTCCTCTGAGAAAACACACATTCAAGTAAACAGAAGCTTAAGTAAATTTCTGTTGACAATTAGTTCTCTTCATAGAATATCTTAATTACAAGGGAATCTGTAGCCTCCATAGCATGCTAAAAACTGGGGGTTTTGGGGGGTCTTCAGGTTCTTTGGGAGCTTTTATGTGCTATTTTCTGATGGCATATTATATAGACAACATAGCCGGGCCTGGTTGAATTACCCCGGTTTTGGGCTAATCAGAAAACAGCCAAAGACCACCAAACCCCCAGTTCTTTAAGCCTGCTACGGAAGCTAGGAATCTGACTTAAATTTTGGCTTGGTGAGTGGTTTGAAAGCCTGTCCGGATGCCTTTGGAAGTGGTGTGTTGTATTTAAACAGGTACTTTGCATACGTTGTGTGTCGGTGCGTTGTTCCCACTCGTGACAACAGCTGGTAACACAGTCTGTGAGGCTGGTATTTACACAACAGCTTCAGTAGGGAGAACTCCATACAACTGGCAACATGCAGGGGGGGAGGTATGTCCGCTTCTGGGTCCTGCCTGTCCCAGGTGAGAAATGGCCACGTTTTGGGTGACAAACCTGGATATTTCTGCATTCTGTAGCTTATGTACAAAGTTACAATGATTACTACTAGTATCATCTCTTAGGAAATGTTCAAACTTCAATGTAGATATTAAGTTTAACTTTAAGGAATTACTGGGTATTTATCCATGTCCATGTGTACATTTATGTCAACCACACATGGACAAGGTGAGAACTTAATGCAAATTTTGTGGGAGAAATTAGAATATTTCTACATTTTTAGCTTTGTGCAGTTTCAATGTCAGATAATTTTGGCCCCTTTGGTCAATGTTAGATAATGCATTTTTGAGCCAGCTACATTTTAGTACCTTGGTCGTCTAGACCTTGGGCTGGAAATACCTACATAATATGCAGGTGTGCAGGTATTTCTGATATCTACCTGCACCTAACCTGTACCAGTACACATATTTGCTTTACAAAATACATGTAGGTGTATGTGGATTTTTACTGTTACCTGTTAAGTATAATAGCAATGGTTTAAAGACTGAACAGGTTTTAGTATGATCCATATTTCCTAAATTCCTACTCTGAGTAGTGCAGGTAAAACTTGTCTGGTGCAGGCTGTTTTTCAGTAATACCTACACCAATACAGGTATGCAGAAAAGGGATTTTGAGCCCTGAATCGTGTCCTGAAAGTTTTCTGTCAGCGAAGGTTGTTCAAGCTGCTTGTTTTGTTGAAATGCAGGAGACATTTTGTACCGCCTCTGTCTTCATGACAGACTTACGGTCCCAAATGGGCCAATTACAACCCTGCAGTTCCTGAACTTAAACTTCAACAAAACAGCTGTGCAAAAGGCAGGTACAAATGTATACTCCAACAACAACAACTCTTACACTAGGACTACTAAAATGTTTCCTCCATATTTCCCAAAGCATACCAGGCCAGTCTTTAGAAAAAAAGAAGACAACAAAATAAAGGATACTGTTTTGAAATGAACAAAAGAAAGCTTTCTTTCTGCATGACAAAAATGTATCCACAACTATGCATGAGTACAGGTGTACAACTCAGTAGTTTGGTTGAAAATTTGTTTCTTTGTGGTTGCTATAATTATTACAGTGATTACACACATTAGTTCTAGTTGGTATGATTTAAATTGTACCAGGCATCAATAAAAGGAAATTTCTACTCCATGGAGTTCTACTAACTAGACTTGGGTGTCATAGCTCTACATGTAAAAGTAGCCTCCATAGCATGCCAAAAACTGGGGTTTTTGGGGGTCTTCAAGGTCTTTGGGAGCTTTTATGTGCTATTTTCTGATTGCATATAGACATTCAACATAGCCGGCCTGGTTGAATTACCCCAGTTTTAGAACTAGGCTAATCAGAAAACAGCCGAAGACCACCAAACCCCCAGTTCTATAAGCCTGCTACAGAGGCTACGTGTATAAAAGAACCCAACAGAATATAACAGCTTAAGGAAGGTAAAAATAAATTTCATGAAGTTATAAACAAACTTCATTGAAGACAATGTACAACAGGTACTAAGTGTTACCTGCCCAGCTGTACCTGTACTACACTGCTTGTTCTGTAACATGATATCCTAATGTATCAAACTACAACATGTGTCAGACCACCCAGGTACAGGGGGGAGGGGGGCAGGTGCCAAGGTGTAAACAAAATACTAGTATAACAGGTAGAATGTTATGGGTTTTCTGCAGTAAGTATTGAATGTTACCATTCTGTACTTGTGTACATGTATAGAAATTAAAGAGACAACATTAAGAAGATGTTTTTCTGTAGGAAATACCACCTGTACATTAGTTAGGTTAGTGTGGGTAAAATTGGAGGTGTGCAGATATTTCTGATGTCTACCTGCACTGGTCCATATACTGGGTTTATATATACAACTGGATTTATTGTCACTACCTACATTAATTAAGTAGAAATAAGCCTATTAAATAGTATTATAAGGACTATTCCATTATTTCTAAGTTCTGAATGGTGCGGGTGAATTTTGTGGTGGAGGTATGCAGAAAAAGTATTTCAAGCCCTGATGACAAAGGTAAGTACAACAACACACTGACTGTTACATGTATCCTAAAATATTATGTATCCTGGCCTTGATGACTGTTAATATTGGTCTTGCTTCTTGTTTTTGTGTAGGCACGAAGCGGAAGATGGCAGGGCCAGCCTTTGACCAGCTGCTGAGGCATGTGGAGGCCCTACAGACAGAAAACATGCACCTGAAACAGGAGCTGCAGGTAAATTCTACAGCTGTTCTGTATGGAAGTCATACGGGGTCAGGGCTAGAAATTCATTTTTGGGAATAGGTGCGCTGGTGCAGTCAACCTATATAAGACTTGATGCCCAAAAAGAATTTTGGGTGCACCATATAAAGATCTTAAACTAAAAATTACTACAACAAAGTACAAATGTATTTGAGTGCACTCACAGAAAAAAATTGGGTACACAGCTCCAATTTTGGGTGCACCTGTTAGTTAAACATCCACCCAGCATTTCAAGCCCTGCAGGGTTCAACCTAACCGTTGTACATCTAGCTGCAGAATGCCCCTACTGTATTTGGTGGCAACAAGTTCCACTCTACAATAAATATTAGAATTTGGTAAAAAATAATTTTTATCATCTCGATTATGTTAACGCTTGGGGTCAGAGTTTGCTGCTGTACTACTTTTCTCCATATGTTTCTGTCAGCCATTCAGTCTTAAACCATCTCCCTGCTAAGGTAGCCCTTTTGACATCAAATTTGTACCAGTCAAGGGGTCAGGCAGCAGGGAGAAGGTTAATGAAGCATCTCTCACCACACCAAAAAACAGTTACTCAAGCAACTGGGTATGATTTTGGAAACGGTCAGACGTTTCAGTTAGTATCCACTAGCTTTCATCACTGACTGAGAGACCAGAGGAGAATTGCAGGTTTATAAGCACAAACTATTGATTGGTATGCAAATAAGTAAAGACAGGGAGTCCGAAAAGAAACAAAAGTACGTCTCTCACCAGAGTTCCTCCCGTTTCAGGACAACTCGAGTCACTTGACCCAGCTGGAGAGTGAGGCCTGTACGATGAAGGAGGTTCTCACACACATACAGAAGGGACTGGACGAGGAGGAGAACCAACAGCCAGGAAACCCTACCTCAGGTCTGTATATAGTGCTGTGCACCTAAACCCACATTTAGGTTCAGGTCCGGATTCAAGTCCAGGGGTTTAGGTTCAGTTCGGGACTTAAGTCCGGACCTAAACCCATGGCATGTACAAAATTGCATGTTGGCAACCATGCAATGTTGTTTGGGCAAAACTTTGGCCACATAACATGGAGGCCGACACTTGACGTTGCCCAATGTCAATGTTTTCTTCAATTTGCAATATATGGAAGGCTTTAGGTGGTTCGGAAAGAAAAGGGGTATGTGACATGTTTTTTTGTTGGTAATAAGTCTGAACTCGGTTCTTGACTTTTGGGTTTTTGGACTTGAACCTAAACATTTTTACAAGACTTAGTCAGGATCCAAGTCCAGTGAACCGGTACACAGCACTAGGTCTGTAGTAACTAACCTCAGTTCCGTAGTAATAGTTACTGTAGTAACAAAAGACTTTTTTTCTTTCTCATTTACAGAAAATGGCTTGGACCCTGCAGCAGCTCAGTTGGGAAACGGCATCCGCCTACGGAACAAACCATTGCGGGCGTGGGGGAGCCACGAGGGTTCCCCGCAGCAGAGTAACCACAGCGCGTCCAACCACAGTGCCAAGTCCTCGCACACGTCCGCTGAAAGCACCTCCGCAAAACGGAAGCTGATCGTCCAACCATCGCGAGAGTATCTGGATGAGTTAGAGAAAGAGAGGTAAGAGAAGTCACACTTTTAGTAGTGAAATGCTTGGAAGAAGGGATGTTTTGTGTGTGTGTGTGTGTGTGTGTGTGTGTGTGTGTGTGTGTGTGTGTGTGTGTGTGTGTGTGTGTGTGTGTGTGTGTGTCGGTGTGTGTGTATGNGTTTTTGTGTGGCTCTGTGTGTTGTAAATCAGTGGTGACTGTTCCATTGAAATGGTTTATAAAGAATGGCTATCATATAGTTAAATTCCAAGCAGAACATTTTTATGTCACTTCAATGGAGTAAAGTATTTATTGTCTTAATTAAGCTTGTAGGTGTGTGTCTATCTGTGCGTATGTGAATATCTTTGTGGGTGTATGTTTGCATGAGTGTGTATTTGTGTGTGTGTGCGCACGTGTGCGTGTGTGCATGCACGTCTGTGTGTTTTTCTGCGATTCTCAATATACCCCCAATGCAGTATTGTCATGCAGTCTATAACACTGGAACTGTGTGAGTGGAAGAGCTGCAAAGCAGCGTGGGTAATGGGGATGAAGTCTGCCATCTTTTTATTTGGTACAAGCTGTTTTACAGTCTTTCAAATACAAGTATGATAAATGACTTACAAAGCAGCAGTATACCCTGCATGAGCTGAATGAATTTGCAAAATGACTGTCCAGCTTGCCATATATGTATTTCTCTGACCCCATACATATCAACAAAAATGGTGTAAGGTAACATCTGTGTCCATAATATCACCAGGGTCCATAATATATGATATTTTTACTGCAACATACTTTTGGTATGCACTCCTGCACACCTCAAATGTACATACCTAGGGTATGTTGCAGTAAAAATATCTTTAAGCACACTTTTTCTCAAGGTGGCGATACCCTGGTGATATTATGGACACGGATGGTAAGTGGGACACGAAGAATCAAAGGTCAATCAGTACAGATCAGTCATCAAATATTCATGAGTGTCGCAGCATCAAGACTGGGAATCACAGAGAGAGAATTATTTATAAGGTCCTTATTGTGTGATGTTTGTCCACATGCAAGCTGTATGGGGAGGTTTTTCATGTGTTTTGTCTTAATTTTGATTCTGACATTTGTATGATATTAGGGCTAATAGTAATAGTTTCCACTATAAAGGAGGATATATCTTTTCCTGTACAGTTTTGTTGGTTGGTTGGTTGCTGCTTGCTTGCTTCATTGGTTTCTTATAAAACAGAATAACCCAGTTATTTATGGATTTCTTTCAAATGGTTTTCTTTGTGGTGGTTTTATGTACGTATCGGTCATAAATTGCATTAATTGAAGATCAAATTTCAAAGCCATTTTGGCTACAATATCAAACCTCCTTGGCTCATATACAAATTGTGAACAATGTGATTTGGTCCCTAGATAATTTGTAAGGTATGTTGTGTGTGTAAATTGAAGCCACCTGCATTTTAGAATTACTAGTAGAATTTTTCCACTCTGAATCACCAGTATTCAAATAAAGTTCCAGTTTCTAAATCACCAAATTACCCAGTGGCACACAGCAGTGTAGTCACCCTATGGAGCTACTTAACTCACTTATCTTAGTATGCCATATTACCTGCACACGTACTGAGTAAAATGTCCTTGGATATCAATCATAAAAGCTTTCAAATTTTCCACAGTTACGGCTAAACCATTTCTGTACAGCAGGGGGTTTCAGCGTATGGTTTTCTTGTAGAATAATTAGTGATTTTTACAAATGTAATGACCCTTTTTTGAACGTTATGGAACTATCAGGTTTTGTTTACAATGAAACATTTGTCTTGCTAAGATTATCTTTATTCTGTTATCCTTTTGTATATCAAACGGTTTGTCCCTAATCCAGGTTGGAAATTACTGAAAGTGGTTTGTCCCCAAGTGGTTGAAAGCGAAGGATGAGGTTTTACATTATCTATCACGGGATCAACAAAATGTGTACGCTCATCATTTGTATGGGGGGACTAAATCCCTGGTCATATACATTGAGCACATCTGCAGAACTAGTGCTGTGTACCTAAACCCTGGATTCAAGTCCAGAGGTTTAGGTTTGGGTCTAGAGTTGCAAGTCCAAACCTGAACCCAGTTAACATTTCCAAATAAAAAATGGGGCATCTTTATAAACCGCAAGATCTTTACACATAACCTGTAATGTATTGTGCATAGCACTTCAGCAGAATGTCTCACTTAAGGTTGTATTTGCGGAAGACTGCATGTTGTGTTAGAAAAGATATCGTCTACAACAGGCAATTTTCTGATGCAACACATTATCCAGTGCAACAAAATGAAGACTTATGACTATTGCCCTTATAGGGGGTCCATGTAATAAAATGGCAAGCAATCATCATCAAATTGTGATAAAGTATTACAAAAACTAACAAAAGAAGTATGTCACATATTATTAAGAGAAAAGGGAACATTATTATCCCTATCCCTGTATTCCTCATAATATTCTTAATTTTCTCAATCGTCATAAAATTTGCTAACTAGAAACAATGTCAATGTTGTTAAATTTGCAGACCTTTAATTTGAATAGTAAGATTTATTAGTTTAATATGTGACTAAAGGCTTCAGATCATGTACATGTAGCTTTCCATACATATTCTTTATTTTCTCCAATGTCATAGAATTTGCTTATTATATAACTAAAAACAATGCCGATAAAATTGCAAATCTTAAATTTGGACAGTAAGAATTATTAGACTAATAAAATAATATGTGACTGAAGGCTTCAGATCAATATTATTGTACATAAAGCTTACCATACAAACTGCAATGATTAATATTCATCACTATAATTCTACTCTGTCAATATCTTTACAAATCCTCACAGCAGTCCACAGAGATCTACAGTTCATGCCAGGCTTTTGTCTTGTACTGAATAGCGTCTAAAGAGAACAATAAAGCCTTTGTGTAGGTGTGACAGTTTTAATGTACTTATAGAGATAAATATAGGGGATGGTTCACTTGCCAGCCACCTGCGCAGCTCGGTTCAACAGATTCTCGATATTTTAACATTTAATGGACTTGGGCATGTTAAGGCTAGGACAAGTTTATTCCATGGTTTTGCAGAAATAAAAGGGAGGATTTTTTTATTTGATTATTGAAATGAAAAAAATTGTACGTTATGGGGAACAACAGACGATAAACCAGAGAGAGAGAAAGACATACAAAAGACAAAGCTAACACTGTGGTAGATTATGGTGCTTTAAAGTGGAATTTAAAAATTTCTTTGGGAGTTTGTTGTTTTTATAGTCAAGTTTTGTAAAAAAATAATGTGTAAATATAGTAGAAATTTGTTGCTTTGTTAGCCATTTCAGCTAGTTCTCTAAGTTTCATTCTGAATTCTCCATTTTCCTAGTTTACTAGACCGCTAACTGTTTTTCTACACATAATTTGAGTGATTGCAAGAGTACTCCAAAAAGGTCCTTAATAACTATCTAGTAAGTGCTTTGGTTCCAAGTCATTAAGAAGATTCCTTATTTTCTGGCCCGGTGAGGTGTGACATATTGAAAAAGAAATCCACCCTCTACCAACGCTCCATGCATCATAAGACTGTCTGATGCAAGAAATTTGTGCCTGAAAACCTGCATTTTTTACGTTTTTGTGAATTTTTGGTCAACATTGCATCAGAATTTTGCTTGTTGCAGACAATTTTTTTCCAACATAACATTTGGAAGCTACAAACAGAGTGTTAACCGTATACGCCAGTACGACTTTATATGAGACATTCTGCCAAAGTGCTATGTCCAATACATCACAGGTTTTGCGCAGGTGCAGCACATTCTGCCAACGTGCTACTCAGATCATCCTAGAACATCCTATCAACTCATTCTAAACATAAATCAAATGAACAAATTTGTACCAAGTGCCTTTTTCAAGGGCATAACTTTTGGGACATGCAAGGGAGTCCATCACAGAACCTCAAAGTCAACAACTCAAACCATAAGGCCTCCTTGCATAAACTTTTATCGCACAAGTTATGCCAAACAGTAGTTCTATTGTCACTGCCTGACGACAGATTGTCCCATTATCAAATTGGTCCTGAACTTGGACCTCATGAATAATTAACGAGGGCACAGAACAGATTGTGTGCTTACGGCTGTCTTCACTCGGAAAAATACTCCATGCCACGCCCTCCCCCCTTGGGCACACACACCTGCCTTTTTTTTTATGATGATGACTGATTAATTCACAAAAATATATTCAGGTTAAAAGTCTATAGCAGCCTAAATGGCTGAATTGTTGACTTCTTAACAATTTAAAAGCTTCTTAACAATTTGAAGAATGATTATGAATTCAGACTTATACTACATTATGCATGTGATATACAGTAGTATCGACGGTACAATAAAACAGTTTAGAAGGGGAACAAGAGGTTTGATATTATGGTATGCCTGAAAAGTGATTTCCTACACTTAGTTCGCTAGTCCATCTTGTAACGGCTGTTTGAAGTTGTGGCTAGCACCTAGCGTTGACAAACTGGCCGCTGCCATTTTCCCGATCCCACCTTCACAATGACATAAACGCTAAGTTCTGAAGCATTTGATACAATTCGATCTTGGTGCTTTTTCTGTCTTATGTTTCTTGTGTTGTGCAGATGTACTCAATGTATATGACCAGGGATTTTGTCCCCCCCCAAAGTTTCTTGTCTTTGCATCCTGAATCAGAAGTTCTGCCGCAGTACCATGGAAAGTTGCCAGGGTGCGCCAAATGTAATCATTTCTTCGATACATGCGGATATAGACAGATTTCTCATCCAGAATTATATGTCTTGTTTTGCCACCTGGAAATTCCCTTTAAACAAGCAACTCATTGGAAATTGCACACGATCGCAGCAAAAACATCAATCAAAATCCACTGCAGAGACTTTCTGAACAGTTATGGTAATGTCATGAAGGTTTATCTTGCTTCCTAGCTGTCACACATAAGGAACAGGACCTTTTGCTTGTTTTGCCGCCCTAAAATTGCATTGAAATCACCGGAAAAGATCGAAGCAAGAATATCAACCAAATCCACTGCAGACTTTCTGAACAGTTATGGTAATGTCACGAATGTTATTCTTTGCTTCCTACCCAACTCATAAGGAACAGTACCAATTTGCGTGTTTTGCTGCCCTGAAATTGCATTGAAACTGCCTTTAAACAACTCATTGGAAAAGATCGAAGCAAGAATATCAACCACAATCCACTGCAAAGACTTTCTAAAAATGTCATGTTATTCTTTGCTTCCTTGCCAACTCATAAGGAAAGGATCAAAGCTATATTGCTGCCCTCAAATTCCATTGAATTCCTTTAAACAACTCATTGGAACAGATCGAAGCAAGAATATCAACCAAAATCGACTGCAGAGACTTTCTGAACAGTTATGGTAATGCCACGAAGGTTGATCTTTGCTTCCTAGCTGACTCATAAGGAAGAGGATCAATGCTATATTGTAGTCTAACTGTCGGCAGCCAGACCGCCCCCTATAGTGGCTCATTAGTATGCACAAGCAGGCGTAGATTTCAGGGCCTGACAATACATGGAGGTGGGATGTATTCCTGACATTACATCCAGGAGTGTGGGTTTGCTGCAGAGAGGTTAGGACAGGGTTTTGAGTTGTGAAGGCTAGGGTAATTTCATAGGGTTCGTTGTGTCAATGTCCTTTGGTGAGATTCAAGGTCATTGGCATATTGGTACATGTGTATATTATGTGTGAATGGTTGCTTGTAATAATATAATCTTGTGACAAAATACAGAAGGACGTAGATTCAATTTTACTAGAAGTTAATGTTAGTAACCATTTGATATAATTGATTATTGAGTAGCCTCTGTGTTAGTACAGTTACAATGCAATCATTGTGAATAATGATATAAAAATTCTGTGTTCATTTGTATGAATAAAAGTTATCTCCAAAAGAATTCAATATCACACACTCAATATAAGGTCAGATATTGCAATTAAAAAGATCGCAAGGATTCATTTTATATGAAATACTTGACTGTGTGTTTATTTTTCATGCAGACAATTCTGACCTACTTGTACTTAAAATGTTCCATGCTTCATTTGGTATATATATTTGGGTTATTATTATATTATCATATGCTTATTAGACAGATCTGTGTCAGCCATTGGCATGATTCTGAGATAGCCAAATGGTGAGAATGTAGCTGAAGAAGTAAGAAAAATATACTAGTAGTAGATTTCATTCTTACCATTTTTCACAATTTGCTTGTCTTAGCAATTAACATTTCATTCCTATCCTTAGTCTATTTTTTGCTAATTGCTTTTTTTTTTCAGAGCTCGGTTGTTACAGGAGATTGAGGTAGAGGAGAGAGAGAAGGAGCTGTACTACACAAAACTACAGAGTCTCACCAGCAGGATAGACGTGCTACCTATCACTGAACCGGTATGTACTAAATATGTTTACCAAAGGACAACATATTGTTTTTGCTCAGTTTCTTCTTCTTCTTCTCCAAACAGTGACCTCAATGACCTGAACAAATGTTGTGTTCTGTTGTCATGGTAACTAGTGTTGGGTTACATCATGTCGCAATTTTATATCGGGAGGGATTTACAGACTCCTGTAATCATATGTATGAATGTGTTTGAATAAGTTAACAGAGAAGACCATATGCGAAAGTAATTAAACATTATGCATTTGCCTTAAAATGTTATCTTTCTAGTTTGTTTGTTTGTTTTGTTGTTGACATTTTTGCTAAAAAAATATAGTCTGCAAATCTTCTTGCAATCCATTTATCATTAAAAAAACGAAAAGGTATCAAACATGTAGCATGGGCTAGATGCATTTAGGTACCAGAGTTATCAACCAAGGATTCGGGGATGTTCAAAAATCTTTCCTACAACAACATGTATCGTAGAGTGGAATCAAGTATGGTAGGGGCATATAGTCACTAGATTTATGACAATATTAAGCCAGCTGCTACTACACCATATGCCTGCAAAGCAGGTATGTTGCACTGAAGGGCAGTTATACATGTACTCAGACTATACAGATACAGAATGATACAGATACAGGGTTGTTAATCCACTGTGTATTGGACATGATAGTACTTGTAGGAAGGCAAAACCTATCCCTCTTCTTATAATTTCCACATGCACATTTTTACCTTCCCAAACAAACAAACAAACAAACAATATAACTTTGGTTGTTGAACGATGGAACATCAGGAACTATCCCTTTATCATAACTCAACAACACGACTTTGTTTGCTGGAAGATGGTACATCAGGAACTGTCCCTTGATTAAATATGGCACCCATGTCAGTAAACTCATTCAACCATATTCCCATCTGTTACCTCTCTGCACCCAACCTGGACTTACTCGCTGATTGGAGTATCGATCAACGATTCATCTTTCCAATATCCAAAATTCTCCTTACAATTTTCCTTCGATAATTTCAATCTGAGATGTGAAATTCTTCACTGGACTGCAACGTGGATTTGCATGATTGAATTATATTTCAATTTAGTTGAAATGTTGCATGGACGTCAGCAGCGCTGGTTGAACCATTATCCCAATAACATTTCAGAGTTAGGCCACACCAATTTAATTTGTTGGTTCTCGGATTCGCCTCTTCGTATTTTTCTGATTTGCAAAAAAAAAAAATTGATTCTGGTCCTGAATCAACTGGAAAATGCTCATGTTTTGCCCCCAACAGTTGAGGAAATTCCTTTTCTTCCTAGTTGTTACAGTTTTTTCCATCTATCAATGCAGTGGTTTGATTAAAAGTTCAAAATTTATACTTTGAATTTTAACCCAGCCTTTTTTGTTGACTTCATGGCTCATATTGTAGCATTTGGGGCTATAATAGGATGCCTAGACCTGTTTTTATTTTTATTATTTTTTCGCCCGCCCGCTCCATTATTTTTCTAGAAAAATCCGTTAACCAAGAAACTAAATTGGTGTGGCCTTATCCCAATAACATGTCAGAGTTACAGACACAGACACGTTGGCAATCTACATGAGAGGGCAGGCTAGGGGCCACGCTGAATATTAAGAGGTTTCCCGTGAGTGAGTCACACCGGCGTATTCTTAGAAACGCAATATTCAGTGGGCGTAGTACCTGTATATAAGAAACTGTACGCGGTTTGGTCACCAATGTCACACGTACACATGTCGACAGAAGGAAACATGTGGATTCAGGTATGATATTAGGATTTCAGTGTTAGAAATACCCACCTACAGTCTGCATTTTGTAGCGACGTTTTCAATATTGCCGAAGAAAAATTACAATTTTGCAGATTGAAAACATCAAGCTAGGGGCTCAGTGGTGTTTTTGTGTTTACTACTGACTCTATAATATACATTTGTAGACTGAAGTAATTTTGCATGTACTTTTTAAATTGCATGTAGAATGTTTGCCAACATGCAATTTTGTATATGCCATGGGTTTAAACCTGGAATTTTAAGTGTGTATTTGCAGAAAGTATTTCTGAATTGCAGAACAAAATTTTGACATTCTGCAATATTGACTTTTAAAATATTATTTAGGATTTTTAGTCTGTGTCAAGTACCGTATGTATTTTCCCACGGTAGCCATCATAGGTTAGATGCTTCTTGATGTTTGTATGTAATAACGGTTGACAGAGGAACACGACAGAACTCAATTTGTATCACAAATCCTTCCATTTTGCCGATGCCGAACAGAGATAGTTTGGCACCAAGTCTCCTTCATTTGTACAAGGTCAAATCGTGCTTCCAGAGAATTAGATTTCTTCGTGTAATCATGTTGCTGACAGCAATTTTTGTAATTGAAATGAGAGAATCTTGGAAACATTTCAATATGCAGGGTACAGGAAAGATAGAACGTTGCAGTATAATAGACTAAGTATAGCAACAACTTAACAACCTTGTACATTGTATTTATTAATGATGGATTTTGTTAATCAAGTTCCTAACAGCAATTTAGCAATGGCGGTTCTGACACCACTTTTGTGATATTAGAAAAGACGACATATTGGAAAAATTAAGCATGCATGGTTGAGGAAAGATACAGCCTTGATGTTGTTATTCGATATCACTGACAGTATATATACCTGCTATTACAACAGCAACCAAGCATAATATTATATTATATTATTCAGGGACAAGAGTGGCTATGTCAGTGACCAAAGGTTAAAACCATGGTGGTCCAAGAGTATTACTCTAAGTGATAGATGGATATTATTATTAATGCCACAGATTGCTTGTTGTATTCTGTGTGAATCGTAGATGAGTTGTGGAGCTGACTGTACAGTTTTATGGTATTGATTATTTTTGGCCCCTCCCCGATAAGTGCTTAGGCAAGCCTGGGGTGATTTCCTTACTGTCTCGGGGTCTGTTCTGTATATCAAAATCCTGTCTAAACAATATCTATTTCTGAATGTTTTTATTCTGTTATGTGAAACGCTTAACCAGTAAACTGTATTGTTGGATAGCACACTCCAGTTCAGGTATTGTAGTCAGTGCAATTCAGACTTTTTTGTTTTCATAAGTGTAGTGGGCTCCTAATACCATGCTTGAAGTGCTAGGTTTATCATTTCAATCCTGATTTAACTTTGTACAATGTTTCAGGAAAGTGTAGTCAGTCACAGCGAAACATGACGTTTACTCAGTCACTGTAACATCTTATTCAGAACATATGGTGCCAAATTCAATGTACATGTGAAACAGCAGGAAAGCTCATAATTTTCCTGACATTACATCCAGGACATGACATGACACCTATCAGCAGCGCCTCCTATGAAAGAACAGAGTACTGCAATCTCTTTGTTAAATGCTCACTGCACAGAACATTATAAATTGTTCAGTAATTAGTGAGCAGTTAAGGCCACTATTTGTTGTAACTTGAATAACCACCAGTCTTTCTCTTTCTACATGAAAAATTTCTTAATTAAGATGCTGCAGTAACCAATTTAGCAAAGTCAAGTTGATGTCATTAAGAAGAAAACAAACACTAGCAGAAAAACATTTCTCAAGATATTTTATACCCAAGCGCCCCCCCCCCCTTCTTAGGGATGGAAGAGTCTAACTGTGGCAGTTTGTACTGTACATGTGCACTCCAAAGTCTCCTTGATGAAGGTCACAGTGTAATTTCTCACGCGAGACGGTCCCGTTAATTTGTGGTCAGAGAGGCAAACCATCCATCTATGACATCTTGTATGGAGCGTCTGACACTGGAAGGTTCCATCTCTGGTAGTAGGGGAGGGCCTGACCTATATAATAGATCTGCAAAGCAGATGTCAGAGGCTGGAAAGTTTTTATGGCAAGCTATAGTATAGACACTGATGTAAGTATGCCTCTAGCTGATGCCAAAACTTGATTGTTGATTTTTCTGCAATGTATAAATTTGCAGGTTGGTATTTTCAGCTGTGGTTGTATAGCACAGAAAAGGATTGCTAAGGTGGTCTTGTGATTAGGGTTGTTGCCTCAGAATCTGATTCAGAAGGTTTAGCTTTGAACTCCTGACAAGCCCCACTGTTGTGTCCTTGGGAAAGGCATTTTGCACCTTATTTCCTCACTCGACTCGGGTGAAAATGAGTACCTGGCTTCGGTTAGAGACATCCTCTCAGGTGCGACATAAACCCAGATGCAGACGTCCTGTACACTTCAAGCAGAGGTTAAAGATCCCACCACACTTGTCCTAACATTTGTCATCTCGTAGTATATTTCAAATCTAGACATGTTGTTTGTTTTGGCCCTTCTTGTTTTTTTCACACTCTTGCATTAGAGTTAAGGTCTCCAGAGGACGTCATCCATAAAAATTACTTGGTGTGGCCTACTGTACAAAACTGGTGTGTTGTGCCTAAAGGTGGTTTACCGGTTATACCAAACAAACACTGTCACCTCAGCATAATATCTATCCCCAACATCATGCATTATCTCCAGGCCTACATATTCTAATGTAGATTTGACCACTAATGGCAAATAGACTCTTACTTTGAGTGCATACAGATTTCCAGCCTCAATTTCCTAAGGACGTTAAGCCTCATAGAGGTGGATTGGCTGTTTGATCCGATGACTTTTAAATCCAGTCCCTTGGGTGTTATATGGTCTGTAGGCTAATGCTAATGTGTGCATTATATGTACTCATATGCGGGGCATGGTGTGCATATATAGGAGCTTCGAACACTGAACATTTTGTAAAGCAAGTCTCTATCAAAATGTTAACCAAATTTCAGCAAATCGTGAACCACAACAGCATACTTTACAAGGAGAATGATGTGATTTGCTTCTAGTATGGAGGTATGGCTGGATATTCACCAAAACATGCTAGCATAACACACCAGCTTTGCTGGCATTTGACATGGTGGCAGCTGGTTATATTATACTGAATGACCTGTCACACCTAACCTTTGTACTTCTAACTGCAAATGTTGTTTAAGCTATCTATAAACCAAAAGACTACTGTAACAGAATGATATAATTCATTGGATGGTTGTTCAGCACCAAGGACTGGGTTAACTGCAGTTACTCTGGCAAATTTATCCTATTCAGACAAATAAGATCACTTTTGTGTATGATATAATTCGTAAGATAGTTGTTCAGCACCAAGGACTGGGTTATTACAGCAGTAACTCTGACAAATTTATCCTGTTCAGACAAACAAGATCACTATGATATAATTCATCGGATAGTTGTTCAGCACCAAGGACTGGCTTATTACTTCAAGTCTGTAAAATTCTTGAACAAGCATCCAAAATGTAGACAAGGTTGTAAGCTCTGACAAATGAGACAGGCACTGCTGAAATGATGTATAGGACAGCCCTAATGCCCATTAAATGGTACCTCGGGGCCTTGTTGAACCCTACTAGCGGAGACTGAGAGATACTGAGAGGTAATCTGGTCTAACCATACCAAACAGAGACTTTGGTTTATTGCATGGCTTCCTCCATGAAAGATATTTATCTACAGAAGAGGAAATTGGTGAATTGTAAGTGCCGGTCTTAACATCAATGTAGCAAAGCTTTAATAATGTTTTAACTATAGATTCTATCATGTTGCCTTTTAGATGAACACCTTGTATTGCGCACTGCAGGAGAAAATTTGCATAGGTGGGAATATTTAGGTCCAAGTGTGGTTGTAGTACTTGTACTCAGCTGTAATTTTTTTGGAGATTGGCCAGTTGCATCCGGTTTTTGAAGTAATCCCACGAGACCCCCATTCCACTGGACAGCAATCGCACAGCAACCAAAATTGGATTTCTGTGACCCTTGGTTTTATAATTGGAATATGATGCGCAGTGGTAGAGCATTGGTATGAAAACCGCGAAACCCGGGTTTGATCCCGAGTTGTACCCAGGACATGTCTGGACATGCGCCCGACATTGTGCCCTTGGGAAAGGCACTTGACACGACTTTCCTCACTCCACCCAGATGGTTGGGGAAAGTCGTATTGAGGTCACCTGGTGGCACCGAATGGCAACAGTTCCACAAAAGTGTGTGGAGCAAATATATTATGTACCATGTGATTGTAAACCCTGCATCAATTCAGCGCTACAAAAGGCTACGATTGCACGGGAAATGTTTGATCAAAACACCATTTATTAAGAGTTGTTTTCTCCCCACAGTACTCCCTTCAGAACGACATGGCTCGGCGTCAGCTGGAGTATGAGGCGAAGAAGCTGCGAGATGAGATGGAGGATCGGCTGGGCGGGGTGGAAGAGATGCAGGCCCGTGGAGAGGCAAAGGTCCAGCGAGTACGCATGATCGAGGCTGAGATGCTGCGGATCCAACAAACTCTCGCGCAGGAGGACAACTCTAAGGTCTGTGGAACTGTTTTTATGTTACCTTGTTGCAGAAGTAAAACATATTCCGAAAATAGTTTCATCAGGTTGGTAAAGTATAGGATACAGGAGTTTTCTTTTTAGAGAACCAAAATTTCTCACCTAAGTGCTGACGTTTTAGTGTCTTTCAGACACCTCCCTCAGAGCTTCCGATGTAGGTGGCGCTTTTGCAGAGAGAACACAATCCCAAATGTGGCTGAGTTTAAACATAGTATTGTTTCTGCTTTGTTTCTCCTTCTTCTTCTCCTCCAAACATGTTGAGTTAATGAACTGGACCAGACATCTGTAACCATGGTAACTTGTGTTGTAGCAGACACCCTGTTGGGTTACATTATATAGCAAGACAGAGCTGGTAGTATTTCATAACTTCTACAAAATGTGGATTTTTTTTTTACAAAATTCCTTGTGTTGTGCAGGGACATGTGGAGAGAAGAGACACGGGGTTATGTGAGGTCAACGGGCACAGAGAGGCTGATGGGAAGGATGTGAAGACAGCTGACGCTGCCACCAACACTTCCCTGTCACAGGTGGGGCACTCAGCACGCAACTTCTCACTGTTATTATTATTTTATCACGAGATGGTTGTGTCGCTCCTTCAGCTTGTAAAAGCAAATTTCTAAGGGGCCCAGTATACACAAAAATGGATGACATTAAATGGAAACAAACAAAATCTGAAAATGTGTCAAAACAACATCATCGTCCATAACTCAAAAGTCTTATCCATTATAAGGTCAAACTCAATAGAGCTGAAGTGGAGGTCACATGGTGTCACATGGCTTCATCCTTTGCATGGTAGATAAGCACATTGTATCGATAAAAACAGTAATATCTGTACTTGTGGCCTTAAATAACATTTTATCTTTGACGCCAAGATGTCTGGCTCAATGCATGACTCTGTATTGATTTTTTTTCTTATCTACCCCCTTTCCTCAGGTGGTAGTGCCCAAGGCCCACACCAGAGACAGTGGCTTCTGCAGTGATCCAGAAAACATCTGGGTTGTTCCATCCAAAACCAAGGGGGACGGCACACAGATGGTTACCCGGGCAACGCAAACGGCAGAAGTCTATATCCACGACGGGCCGCCACCTTCCCAGCATTCTCTAGAAAGGCTATCCCAGAATGTCTTGCAGCAGTCTTCCCAGTATGCAATGCAGCTTCCGCTGCAACAGGTGCTGCAGTCGCCGCACAGCCCACTGATGGGGAATCCAAATTCTCCCCACTCACTGCCCGCCAATCGGGTGGAGATGTACTCAGCTCTGTACAGAGGAGGATGGCCATTGGACAAGCTGACAAAGGTAGGAAACACAGATAAAGAAAAAATTTAGAAAATCTGTATTTGTGACAACTTTCAATTTAAGAATATTAAGAGTTTTTGTACACAACCAATTCCTTTAAACCAACCTTAATAAACTATTCACTAGTCCTACAGTTCAAGATATTTAAATATGAAAGTAATGCATGATTGAGACCATTTCAACTTGCAACTTAAGAAAAATTTAAGTTGATACCATGTTGATTTTGAAATATAGACTAAGTGCTGTCTTTAGTTAAAGAGTTCAAGTTTTGTTCCAACACAAGAAGTAAACTCACCTTAAATTTTGGGTCAATCTTGTCAACCTTTGTCAGATGTACATGTATGATACACTCGGTGAATGTTAGGACATCGGGTGCATTTGAAGTGCTTTCTTGCTCACTAGTATTGAGATGATGATTAAATGAGATGTTTCCCCCCCAGCCGGGTACCCCCAGTGAGACAGCCAGCGTCATCAGCTTCAACAGTAACTCTTCCTTTGGACCCAGGAGACTGGCTCCTCAACAACTAGGCACCAAGGTACAAGGAATTTGATCAAAATTAATGGTATAAGTGCATACTGCACCACACATTGTACAGTGTGCGTTCAAAAATAATAGCCAATGAATTGTACCCATTTGGAAGATTGGTTCACTTAGGTTCAGATTGAGGTCATAGAATACCTTCTTGATTGTAGGTTACCGAGTAAAACCCTGTGGCCATGACCCTTACCACTTACAGTTGATGAGGTCTATTGCTGCAGACAGTACAGAGTAATAAAAGTTACCCCACAGTCACTAAAGGTGATTGCTTCCATGATCATCAAGTTTTTCAATCTATCATCTCTGGGTCAATGTTCTAGCCAGCCTGATTTTTTTTCCGTCATCACAATTTCGTTTGACATAACATCCTATTGAGTTCTGAAGTGCAACAATAATAGGGGTCTGGGGGCTTGCTCACAAGAAAATGCTATTTAAGTTGCATTTTGATGTGCAATTTTGCTGGTAGACCTAAAGCGTAGTTTAATGTCATCTCTTTCAGTATCTTTACACTCATCAATGGTGATGAATTTGGCAACATTTTTATTGGTCATGAGCAGCAAAATTTCATCAAATGATAAAAAAGATGGATACTGGCTAGAACACATCTCTTCATTGGAATGAAATGAAATAAATCCATTCCTGCTGTTCTGTTTGTTTAGGTGGAGATGGTATACAGCCTGCTGTCCATGCTGGGCACACACGACAAGGACGACATGAGCCGCACTCTGCTGGCCATGTCCAGCTCTCAAGACAGCTGCATAGCCATGAGACAGTCAGGTACTGTTTGTTTTTTGTTTGTTTATTTAAGGAACCTTCAATTGGTGACAATACCGTACCACTACTTCTTCCTGGAGTCCTCTTACATACATTGTAAAATACAAGCAGTATAATAGTTACTACTATTTTTATTCTAACTACTCTAAAAAAAAACATGTTATCTTACTAACATTTGCCATCTAATACACAACTGTACATCACGGGTTCTATCCACCTCCTCAACATCTAACACATATAGGGGCATTAAGTAACGTTTTTGCACCAGAAATACATATACTTTAATTGAAAAAAATTTTCAACATTTTCACTCATAAGGTACCATATTTTGGCACCTTGACTTCCTGAATGGCACTATGCTTGTAAAGAAATGACCAGAACATTGTTAATATGTGTTTCCTGAACTAAAAAGAGCAAGACATTTTACCCTTTGAAAAGGGACGATTGCGTATAGTAGAGTAAGTTAGGCAAAACTAGTAGTTAGGCAGTGGAAGACAGCAGAGGAGCTCTGTGCAGATCAGAAGATTCAAAGAGTTAGGCGACTATGCAAACTCATCAGTTAGGCAAGTTATACATTTCATGAAATTTGTGTAAAAAAATCTGCCTCAAAAGGTTACAATTGTTACAATCAAATATCTCTCGCTATCCTAGATTGGTTGCATAATGTCCTTGGTTGCATTATATTCATTTTCTAGAAATAACATGAAAGATACATATAACTGATTTTGCAGGATTGTACTTGGAACAGCAAACAAATTCTTAGGACTTTACTTATACATGTACAAAAGAAAAGGAAACACTCCTTAGACAAGTCATTTTTTGCTGTGTTTCAGGTTGAGCAAAATGTCTACATCCACCCACAAATATGAACCATAATCTGACATTAATTTGACAGTAATCTGACAGTAATTTATTGCATATTAGCAGTCAGTATAAATGTGAGTTGTGGATTATCTCTTCCATGTATTAACCCTAACCAGCATGTCTGTCTGTCCTCTGTTCCCCCTTTCTGTTTCCCTCTACTGATCAGCCTGTGTTTTCTCCTTACCTGTCTGCCCCCCTCCCCCATTGGTGGGAACAGGTGAGCAGAAGTGTGTGAATACTCAGGACTATGCTCTCAAAACCATTCTGGCTCTCTCTAACATCCCTGAGTATGCATGGACCTTGAAAATGCTGGGTAGGTTGCCTGCAGTTAGCCCTGCTAGTTCTTTTCATACTATGCAATAAAAAATCATCACTTGGTTTTTCATCGGCTGTCTCTTTAGTTTGGTAATCTGTATGGTGTCCATCATTCTCTTTAGTCATCAGGGCTTGAAATACCGGTACTTTTTTCCACTTACATGTACCTGCACTGGAGCAACTAACATTTGAAATTACCTGCACAAGACAAAGTTTACCAGTGCGCCGATCAGACACCAACAGTCCTGGCAGCAAGTAAATGTACAGTCACAGATATGCCTACATGTATAATACATGTATACCCAGTACGTTTGTACATGGACCAGTGCAGGTTAGGTGCAGGTGGACATCAGAAATACCTGCACAGCTCCAATTTTACCTGCAGTGACCTGCATATACCCAGTACATGGACCAGTGCAGGTTAGGTGCAGGTAGACATCAGAAATACCTGCACAGCTCCAACTTAACCTGCACTAACCAGCATATACCCAGTACATGGCCCAGTGCAGGTTAGGTGCAGGTAGATATCAGAAATACCTGCACAGCTCCAATTTTACCTGCACTAACCTGCATAAGCAGGTGGTATTTCAAGCCCTGGTCTTTCAAAGCAAACGTAGACCTTTTTATAGCTCTAACATCAAGTTGCAGAAAACCACAACTTGAAATGTCAGACATAGAAAAAAGGAATTCTCTTTGGATGTTAAACAACCACACAGCATTCTGCAGACACAGTCACAGATGCTCACACTGTCAGCACCATCCATCCTTCCCTTCTATGCCTCCTTGCATGGATGTTGTCTTAACATAATTTTTCTGTCTTTTGCAGCATTTAAAGCTATAAGAAGCTTCCATGAAAAACTGTAGACGGTCATGCAATAATGAATGTGCAGCACTGATTTGCAAGCTGTAACTTGCATGCAAAAGTTGCATTTCGCATTTTGTTTTTTTAAAACCGTCAACACATCAGAAGTCCATAGTGGCAGCCTTAAGCTGTAAAATGTTAACAACAACCCACTAAAAAAATTGTCTAAAAAATGTTTTAAAAAAAAATCTTCTGAAAAAAAGTTTGTGAAAAAAATTGTTTAAAAATGTTTTTGAAAAAAATTTGTCTGAAAATTTTTTGGGGGTTTCAAACAACATGGTAAGAATGTAGAAAATTAGTTTCTGTTGCCATGGAGATGTTGTTTTCCCATCCCAGGTTGTCTGCCACTCCTGATCCAACTTCTCCACGGGGCCAACGACTCGTCGTTGCTAGGCAACAGTCGCGGCAGTAAGGACGCGCGGGCCCGAGCCGCCGCCGCGCTGCACAATATCGTCCACTCCCTCCCACCTGAAGACAAGAGGGCCAAACAGGTGGGTACAGCTAAGGACAGTGTAGGAATGAACAAAGTTGAAGACATGTGATACATTGACAGTGTTAGAAATGCCCACCTACACTGCATTTTGCATTTTTCAATATTGCAGAAAAATATTATGCAACCTGCAGTCTAAAAAGGTCAGGCTAGGGCCTAGTGTATATGTCCATAGTTTAGCCCATTTTTTACTTGATTTTGTTGCATGGTGGCTTGTATGTATCTTTCAAAATATACTGTGTCCCATCACAACTGCACATAGCATGCCTGGTAAAATAAACAGGTAGTGTTGACAGCAACCTGAAATTTTGATGGGCAACCTGAGAAAAAAAGTAGTTAGTACTCTAAGTACACCAGGTCCTGATTGTTTAGTACTACATAGCTCACATTGCCACAAACCAGTAGAGTGAGGATTGTGACCCTCACCTGCACAAAAATGCTACACGTCCTCACCGCCTCAGGTCATCCACACATAATCTCCACAAGTGTGCGCCTAAACTCCGCCGCTTGAATGGAGTCAGTGAGGTTTGAAGATGTGATTATGTCTGCCCCGGTGTGTTTGAATCGGGGTTGTCTGTACCCACACCTCATTTAGGGACTAATGTCACTAATGTGGTGCTTAGTGCTGTGAAGGTTAAAGGGCGACAGTAACCGCACGCAGCTGGAAAAGATGAGTCACAAAGTAAAGCAACAAGATGGCAGACTACACGTTGTGTGATTTTAACACTCAGAAAACATTGAATTTTGTTATTCAAAGGTGTTAGTACCAATGGTGGACAAATTTGTGAGCCTGAATTTGTACATGTAGATGGTATATTAACTTTTAAATCACAAAAAGTACCAAAAGTAATAATCATATGTTGTTATTATGTTTACCAAAGGAAAGCACTGTTTTTGGTCAGTTTCTTCCTCTTCTTCTCCAAACAAATAAGGTCAATGACCTGAACCAGATATCTGTCACCATGATAACAAGTGTTGGGCTACATCATGTTGCAATTTGATAGCAGGAGGGATTTTGACTCCTGTCACCATATATATGAATGTGATTGAATAAGAATTAACAGAGCAGATCATATGCAAAGGTAAACATTTTGCATTTGCCTTGCAAATGTTACCTTTCTAGTTCCAGTTCACGTCTCCGAGACCAAACCCAGATTACATGTTCCCCCGCCTCCCTCTGTGAGTAAAATCCCACCAATTAGATGCGTTAGGGAGGTCAACACAGGGGCTAACCCCTCCAGTCCTCATACTATAAATCTTACACAACACCTGGAACCGGAAGGTTTGTAGGACTGTTTGTAGGACATATAGAATACAGCACAGGGTAAACCGTATTGCCCAAGGTACCAGCCCGACCACAGGTCGGATCACCCGACGGCCAAAGGTAGTGTACCCACCCAAGAAAACATGCCTTTCAGTGCGAAATGAGCCAAAATTTGGTGTCCCTACAGCAAAATACAACATCAATTCCAACGTCCACATCCTGTATTCAAAAGCGGTGGCCACGGTTAGGATGAAACGCGTTTGAATCGTTCTTTGGAAGACATGGAAGCCCGGGCCGTACTGTTAAGTACAGCCCGGTCCAGAACGCATTATCACGGGCAGGGTATGATATAAAAACTGATTTGTTATGCCAAAGGGGGGTTATACCGGCTATATACGCTTTATTCTTATACTGCAAGCCATCAAATCTTTCTCGTACCTTAATTGAAAATGCTGGCTTAAAATCTTTGCCAGTTTTTTTTTTTTAACCCAAAATGGCGTCCAATTTGTTGTTTTTGAGAAGCAAGCCTGAAAGCATCACAACAATGAAAGAAGAGCATTTGTCTGACTGACTGCTCTCCTAAGGGGTCTATTGTCATTGTATCCAAGCCGGGAGACCCCAAATTTGACAACATGTCAAGCAACGAAGACAAGTTACCGCGAAAGGGTCAGATGCCTCGAGGGAAAGATTTTGTCATCAAAGCGGGTTCTATCTCTATTGTACACTCAGACTAAGAATATTTCACTCAAAAAGAACAGATTGAATGGAAAGGTGAATAAATGTACTTAGTAATACCAGAAAATATGTAAATTGATGCATGCATGAAACTTTTTCGGTTAAAGGCTTAGAGTAGGTTAACCTGTTAGGGTTACCGGTTTAAATAAGATTTTGGTGGCGTCACTGAATATGACAACAAAGGCACAATGCCATTTATTTGGATATTTTTGTTACTGTGTTTTTTCATATTAACCTTTTCACTGCCACCTAAGCAAGTAACTGATGCAGATTTGATGCCAGACTGCTATCTTAGCTTGCTGATGGTTAAAGATGCATTGTTACAGTTGTAACATAGAAAATTTTGTCTCTGAAATGCACAACCTACAATCCACCAACCACTTGCCACGTGGCAGCCACATTGTTGAGAAAGATAGTCTTTTGAGCTTTGTTGCTAGATTTCTTTTGAAGAAATGTCTTTCGAAAATTTGTGACAACAAAATCTTCTCAATCAAAGGTACTTAAACGTAATTTAACATAATTGCAGCCTTGACTTAAAAGAGCGGCTCGCTTGTCAACAGCCTTGCAAACAATAGCGGAAACAAATAATTTGTAACGATAGCACAGGACATAAGAACCATGTTTACCTGTAAACAATTCCTGACTTATTTCTTGATCTTCTGAATACAGCTACATGCCTCCTAAAGTGCTGTAATTTAAAGGAAAAATGGTAGACAATTAGGGAGTAATTTTTCCCGCCATGCCTTAAGGCGAATCATTATCTTGTCCTTTAAGTACAGTAATAATTCCCTAATGAGAGGGTCTGGGTTGGCAGCTGGGTGACTGATTGATTTTACCGCACAAAGAACCAGAACTGGAGAGGTAGGAGACTTTTATTAGTCACGGAAAGGAGCCTGAGGTCTGTTTGCTAGTTGTTTTTGTGTTTTGGAGCAAAATAAATGGTTGGAAAGGAATGTTTTCACCCATGGATTAGGATAACACCTTTAAGCCCCCTTTTTTCTGCCTCAGATATTTGAAAGTTTTTCAAAATTTTCGAACAAAGCAGCAGTTGAGAAGAATGAATGGGTCTAATTTGTTGTACTTAAAAGAATAGAGTATGTCTTTGTCCATAAGAATGTAAGGAAACATATAGTATTAATACTGGTAGCATTGTTAGAAGCATAGCCAGCATATTTCACAGAACAGTACAAACAAATTGTAGTAATCATCAAAATACTATTATATGTCATTTGATTCTTGCGATTTTTTAATGATAATTTTTTACCAAGGAATTATGTACGTCTATAAATAATTATAAAAATTTTTTATGGGGGTAGCCCACCCTGTAATACATGTAAGCCCAATGACAAGCCTTAGGTTTGTATCATCATTCAAATTCAGTATTTGAAAAGGTTCAGGCATATAATACATGTACGTGATTGTGTACAAATTAGGAGTGAAATGGATTTTTAATTAGGACAGATTTACAGGACAGACCCTCCCCAACTCATAAATCTGCCATGGACCATGCACTTAGCAAAAGAGAAACCCTAATAACTTTGTGGAAAAGAAAAAAAAAATTCACAAACAAGTCGATAGAAAAAGAAAAATCGTATTGATAAAATATAAGTATGAAGATTATATTTCACAAAACAATTTCCCCAACATTTTCAAATACACACAGCCAAACATTAACACATGCGCGACACACACACACACACACACACACACACACACACACACACACACACACACACACACACACACACACACACACACACACACACACACACACAGAGCTGTCTTCTGGTAGTTACAAAAAATGGAATGGCCCTTTGAAGTGTCATACATTATAGATAAACATCACATAAAAACCAGGTGTATGAACATATCTCTTCATCTTTGAGGCCGCAAAAGAGTTTGAGCCGAACAAAACAGCTGGAAATTCTGACACACATGTATATCCTTTTCTAAAATAACAAACAATAACTGCTCTTTGGATTTAAAAGGATACAGTTAAAAAGAAACCGTGTTTACAAATGGCTTGTTAACACCCAAAATCGTCCAATCTGCCAATTACATTTCTGCAAAAAAAGTACAATCAAAGACCACTTGTCAACACCAAAAATCTGGTCAAATTTCTTCCTCTAACCCAACGCCTGTACAACACCAAAAGATTGGCTTTGGGCTCCTCTAACTCTAATCCCTCAGAAAACCTGTTGTAAAGCCTCGGCTGAAAGTCTTCTGCTTAATCAAATTAATTTGCATGAGTGGGATTAGTCACAGAGTAAACAATATGATTAGTCACTTGGGGGGGGGGGTCAGATGGCCTCCTGTACATGTGTATTAATGTACAATACCAAGAATTTTCTGGAAGAAAGTCTCTAGGCCTCAGTACAAAGTTTGCGAACATGTCGTGTCTAAATTGAAGTTTGTACAATATACACATTATCGTCCTCCAAGGTTTTGCTGGCTATTAGTTTGATTTTACTAAAAGTAAACACAAGAAAGACATCAAGCCTTTGCACATTCATTTTTCAGAAACTCAGGTCTCCCTTCCTCCCAACATTTGTCCTATTCATGCAACAGTTAACTCATTTCGATATGTTGGTCTGTTTTGATTTGTAGATATTGAGTGGTGACGACTGAGACAAACTTGTTTTTCAGTCCGACTTTTCTCTGTTGACCTGTTTTGTGATGAGAGTAGTTCTGATGTGTACTAGCCCGGAGCGGGGTGACTAAGCTGTGTTAAATGACTGTGTAACTATTTTCTCAAGAATCTGGGATGTATCAAGTCCTGGCACAGGACAGTTCACAACTCAGCAGACCTGAAAATTCCTCTTTATCCCCCTTTCTCTCAGTTTGTAAGGGTATTGTAGAGTTTTTCACATAACTACAAAGTCCTATAATTTCAGAAGACTCAATTTTTCAGTGTCAATTTCATTTCTTTTTCATCTGTCCAGAAATGTACAGTAAATGAATGAAGATGATTGAAACCATAGTCAAAGTTAATATTAGGAATAGGAGTCATGTTGTGACTCTTTGAAATCTATTCTAACTGCATGAATACAGTGTAGTTTGATCTCATTAAATATATTTCATGGTCTTTCAATACTGGTTTCTCCATAACAATTCAGGATCCAGGCTCATAGCCAAATGCTGAAGACCTGTTGAAGTTTTCTTGTTTGTTGCTCTACTACGAAGCATATAACAACAGAAATGTCTTGGTAAATATGATAATGTCCATGTCTCTCTGTCCCCATGTGTGTGTGTTATGCTGTGGTGGTCCCTTCCCTGCCATGCCCAGGGGCCTGGTGTGTTAAATATTGCTCAGTGGCCGTTCACAATCTGATACAGCGTAATTACAGGGTGGATACACACAGGTGCTTAATTGCTCAAAAAAGGCTGGATTATTTCAGTACCGACCAGGCAGGCAGCCGAACCAGACATGGCGGTGTTTCTGCTCTGTTTACCCAAAGTTTGTGGGGCTCCGGAGTTACATGTACTTTCTGTTGGATTTTTTTGTGGAGTTTTCCATCTGGACTGGTGCCTGGAATGTCTGACAAGATGAAGTCTTCGCACACTGCTGTGGGAGTAAGAAACTGTTGAAGACAAGACAGGACAATGACCTCTGTGTTCTTGGAAGGCAATGTTCGGCCAGTTGGCAGGCATTACTTTGTTCAATTCTTCCGGCACCCAAGACATGAACTTAGAAGGAACTGTTGTTGTGAACAGTGGAACTGTGTCTAGTTCTGTTGTCAGCATTTCAGAGACTTTAAAAGACAACTCATGATTCACATTTGGCTGTGACTATCCGGGTCCTTTATGTCAGGAAACAACATGTTAAGGACAGTGAAATATCTATCAATTTGAGAGCTCACAGAAGATTGCACCACCTCCCAAGATAGTAGTACATGGCAAAGATTTAATGTTTGATAAATACTATTTGGCGTCAGAGTTGGAGAGCGCTGTTCATGTAAACATGCCGGGACGTGTTCGATCCCCGTTGTGTGTGACCCCCGACCTACATGCATGTAGCCCGGCGTACGAGCTCCATGGCAGGCTGTCGCACATGGGCGCGATGAAACGCCACATGCTGAAAACTCCCCTCACAGCCAAGCTGTGTGCTTACCTAAAGGTATCCATGCATAAAACAACACTTAGTACCTGTACTACCATTTCTAATGACTTTCTCTCTGATTCACTCTTGTGCAGAATACCAGTCAGTATAGTGTGATTGAAATTCAACAACTCAAAAGGTTCACATGCTTGTAGCATGTGTGGTCCAGTCCAGTGATTCTGCACAAGAAGGTTCAGAGTTCGAATCCTGTCCTGTTGTTTCCACGTTTCTTGAGACGGTTGCCATTTGCACTACAACAAAACATTGGACTGTGGTCAGCAGTTCATAATATGCTTGTGAAAAAGAACTGAAAGTATTTTCTCGGTTGTTTAGACAAGTACATTTTCTGTAAAGGAAAACTGCTTTGAAAATATATTAATAAATTTTATGTTTCCAGATGGTTTGAACTTGTTATTGTTTCCTATCCAGGAGGCGAGAGTGCTGAGGTTGTTGGAACAGATCAGAGCCTACTGTGACGCTGTCAGAGACTCTGACTCAGAAGAAGCTAAAGGTAATACACATGTAGACAGTATCTTGTATTCTTTTCACATCCATTTTAATATCGGGTGTTCTTTTGGAACATTTCTTGGAAAAAAATCATATTATTTTCTAAGAACTATTATAGAGTAGAACTTATTGTCACCAAGCACAGTAGTGGCATCATCAGTAGAAAGCTTTAAACAACTCCTGCAATTAAATGTGCAAAGATTGAGTGTAAGAAATCGTTCAGTGTAATATAGCCAGCTGCCACCGTGCTGCATGCCTGCAGAAGCTGGTGTGTTACGTGGAAGGGTGATTATGCTGGCTATACTGATACAGATTGTCAAAATTTCACAAATATGTTTTTTTTTTCTTTCAATGAAAGGAGGGCGTCCGAACCCAGCAGACCACCAGGTTGGGCCAGCTATCTCTGCTCTCATGAAGCTGTCCTTTGATGAGGAACATCGACAAGCCATGTGCCAACTAGGTAAGGCGTAGACTTACTCATGTCTTATGCACATTTTATTATTCCTTTTGTGGTCACAAGTAGGATTCCATGGTCTCGTTGTTACTAATCTCCAAGCAGATCTTTCAGTGTCTGCAAACTTAAAAGGCAGGATCCATTTGCCAAACAGTTACCATTTGCCACCTGTTAGGCTGGCATAAAACAAAGTTACCAGTGCAAAAAAAAGAGCCCAATAAAAATGCCTAAAAACACACCAAGAATAAGCCAAAGCCTAAACTTCAGCTTGGAGAGTATATTGTTGCCACTTTTTTGACAAAGGGATTTGGTTGGAATCCTATGTCTACAATCTATTTGTCACAGTACTGTTTGGGATTGTTGTCCTTTGGAGCTAACCTGTTTTAAGTCCTGCATTTAAAAGGAAGCCAAAGCTCAGCTTTTACAGCAGACACCAGACTTACAGATAACTTACAGATAACAGTAGGGATATAGATATAGTTACAGTAGGGATATGCCTCTATGTGAGTCGACCAAAAGCCCACATTGTTATTGTACAGTCAGTCATGTTTGTTTTTGGATTCCAAACTCATTCAGCCTGAGGGGATGTCACCTTTGGTGACTCCTCGTGTCTCTGCTGTGGCAAAGTTGACATTTAAGACAACAGTAAGCTGATAATGAGGACTTAATGAAGCGTTTTATTGCAAAGATATTGCAGAGGTCTTCTGTGATTGCAGAAAACGCCTTGAACAGTAGTGAAAGCTCCTTTTGTGTACTTTAACACAAACCACAACATTCGGGAAGTGTTTCTCTCAGGACATGATAATAAATGGAAAGGAAATTTCACCCAAGCGGGGCCCAGATCAGTGAGGGTTTTCAGTGTGCTAACGAACTATTATATCATGCTCGTAGTTTGCATGTAAGGTGTTTGCTTCAAGTTGATTAAGCTGTAAGTGTTCACATTCTTTCCAACGAACAAATGAACTTGTTGACCTAAGATTCTGAACTAAAAGTCACTTTCCAAGTAACTGCAAGGGTTGTTATTGTCATGAATATTTAGAAACTTGGGGCTTTCAATTGAGGACTTAATGTCCTGTGGTTCATGTCTAACAGATTTTATAATTAATTTTGAAAATATTTCCCAAGTTGTGTAAAACATTTAAAATATTCATGGTGAGAAATATGATTTTTGTACCATTTTTTTCCGTGTTGATTATGATCTAACAACATCTCTCTTGTCATGACTGTGTTATTGTTTAGAAATGTATTGTATTGTTTAGGCTTTTATTTGTCTTTAGTTATAGACTTCAAAATTTCAAAATACTCCCCTAGTCATGTAGAAGTTTGGAAAAACTTGTAGTGTAGTATATGATAAGTCTCATAATTTTTTCTGTGTTAATTATGATCGCTAACAACATCTCTCTTGTTGTGCATTTCTAGGAGGTCTGCACGCGGTAGCCGAGCTGTTACAGGTGGACCACGAGATAAACGGCGACACGTTGGACCAGTACAGTATCACCATCCGCCGCTACGCAGGCATGACTCTCACCAACCTCACCTTCGGGGACGGGGTCAACAAGGCCACGCTCTGCTCCATGAAGAGCTTCATGCGAGCGCTCGTGTCTCAGCTCAAGTCGAACAGCGAAGAACTTCGGCAGGTCACGGCGAGCGTGTTACGTAATTTATCGTGGAGAGCCGACCCGGGGAGCAAGAAGACTCTCCGAGAGATCGGCTCTGTCGTGATGTTAACAAGAGCGGCGATGGAGGTGAAGAAGGAGGCAACGTTGAAGAGTATATTGAGTGCTTTGTGGAACTTGTCGGCACATTGCACCGAGAACAAGGCCGACATCTGTGCTGTGCAGACAGCGCTTGCCTTCCTCGTCAGCACACTGTCGTACAAAAGCCAGTCGAACAGTCTGGCCATTATTGAGAACGGCGGAGGGATTCTGAGAAACGTGTCGAGCCACATCGCAACGCGCGAGGACTACAGACAGGTCCTTAGAGACCACAACTGTCTGCAGATTTTGTTAGACCAGCTTCGATCGCACAGCTTGACTATTGTTAGCAACGCCTGCGGCACGCTGTGGAACTTGTCCGCTCGCTGTGCAAAGGACCAGGAAATGCTGTGGGAACAGGGAGCAGTGAGCATGCTGAAAAATCTCATCAACTCCAAGCACAAGATGATCGCCATGGGGAGCCAGGCTGCGCTACGAAACCTCATGCAAGCACGCCCAGCGGTTTATCGCAACTTGCAAGATTCCTCGAGCAAAACGAACTCGCCCGGTTTGCACGTTCGCAAAATGAAAGCCCTGGAGGCAGAAATTGACCCGACGTTGACGGAAACCTGCGAAAACGTGGACAACTTAAGTCCGAAAGGTAGCCCCAGGAGGGGTAGCAATGAGGCAGTGTCCTCACCTCTCACAAAACGAGGAACTCTGAGGGATTTCTCCCCCACGTACGGGGATGGGCCAGCCCGGTTGTCCTTACGGCGAAACATGCAGAGATTTGACAGCCACGAGAGTCTGTGCAGTAACAGTAGCAACACTTTTCCCCGCAGTTGGCGCTCGCAGTCGGAAGAACGGGACTTCATTCGTGGTCGTGAAAGACACAGCTCCGGCACAAGCCGGTCCCGAGACTCCTCCCCACAGTACAGCTCCCACTCCTTAGAACGAACAAGAGATGGCACCAAGCCCAAATCTCGCACTGCAATACAGATCGCAAAGGTGGTAGAGGAAGTGTCGGGACACTCGATTTCAAGCGGTACAGAAGAGTCGCACGATGGCTCGCAGTCTGAGAACACATGTCCTCGGTCAAACTCTGCCACGTTTGATCACAGATCACATATCCCCATCGCCTCTGGTGCTACTAGATCTCAGTCCTTCAGCCAAGAGAGAAGAGACTACTTAAAAATGCACAGACGGCCGTCCAATGATAGTCTGAATAGTATAAACAGCGACATTTACCCCATGAGTCCAAACCTGAAGTACCCGTACCCTAAAGCCTCCATGGACCATTCCTACTCAGAAGAAAGTGCCCTGAACTCTGAAAAGGGGGGTAAGATGAGCAAGTATCCTGCCGAGCTGAGGAGAAAGATCGAAATCCAGGTGGAGAACTTTAACAAGATGGACAACACAGACATGGACACACCCATTAACTTTAGTCTGAAGTATTCAGACGAGGCATTAACACCAGGTCGACGGAGTCCTACTGTAGAGGAAATGTGCAGAAGAGAACAGGAGAACGAAGGAGGATGTGAGGAACCAATAGGAGCTGCAGGAATGGAAAATGGGAATCACGGAAGCTTCGTGGATGCTCACGCCACTGTGAGTATACGTAGCGACATTCCCAACAAGTACAGACTGACCTACAGCCAGTCCGATCTCGGGGGGGACGACGAACCAACCAACTTCTCTCTACGCTACACCGAAGACACTGACGGTGATCACAACGATCATGACAGTGGTGGAGAGTACTGTACAAAGTGTAAACCACCTCAGAACACTGGCAGACAACCTGAAACTCCAACCGGTGCAGGAATGGGGTACAGGGAAGGCAGCCCCAAGTTCCCGAACAGTGTAAGAAATATGTACCAAGGGCAAGGAGCGAATGAAGGCGAGAAGTCGTCTAGTGCACCAGGAAAGTTCTCCAGTCCAAGAATGCAGAGACACCACCAGTCTCAACTGAACAGTCAGGTTCCTGTGTCAACATGTCCAAATCACGCATCACAAGGGGGTAGGCCACAGCCTCTGTTTGTCAGTAGAAACAACTTCTCCCTACCCAAGGACACTAATGTACAGGCTGGGAGTAACATGTCACCCAGAGGGCCCAGGGATAGCCCACGCAACAGCAAGGCTGTCCATCCTCCCACAGCTGCATTCCAGCAAGGCGGTGATCAGATGCGAAATTCTTCCCAGGTGAACCCTAACCAACCAGCAGCAGCCAGCCCCCTGCCGTCTCAGTGGAAAGTTCACAATCTCCACGACGACCCACAAACGTTTGCGGAGGAAGGCACCCCTCTCTGCTTCTCAAGGGTGAGCTCTCTCAGCTCTCTGCACAGTGAAGAAGCCGATGATGCGAAAGGAGAGGAAGAAATGAGCCCCGAGAAGGAGGGCCCTCAGGAAAACTTCCAAGAAGACGAGGAGGAAAGTTCTGCCACAGGTCGGACTGAACTGTCCAACCACGACTCTGAACCAGAGGTTGAACCAGAAGACGAGAGTCCGACATATCACCAAGGAGGCCAGGATGAAGAACTCGAGTCTCCAGAGGGATACAAGGACGCACAAACACCTCCTGAACCCAAAAGCACCGAACCTGGCAGCCCAAATCCCATCGGTTGCGAGGAGACGCCACTCGTGTTCAGTCGCTCCAGCTCTCTCAGTTCCCTCAGTAGTTGTGAGATGAAGTCCATCTCCAGTTCTGTTGCCAGCGAGTTTCCGAGCCATCGGGCTAGTGAAGTCGTCAGTCCTAGCGATCTACCTGATAGCCCCAGTCAGTCTATGCCACAGAGCCCCCGGCACAAGAAGAAACTGCTGACTGAGCTAGGAATCCGGCGCAGCACCCCCCAAGGACGGCATGCATCCCAACCCAGCTCAAGGCAAGTCAAGGGAAGCCCTTCCCATTCTGTGGCACACGTACCCACCTCTCAGGCGTGCGAAGATGCTCCGATATCCTTCGTAACTGAAGGAACCCCTCTGAACTTCTCCTGTTCCACAAGTCTGAGCTCTCTAACAGTAGACGAGCCGCACATCAACAAGGATGTAGACATGAGAAGAACGAGACGGCAACTGGAGCCTGTCAAAGACGAAGAGGAGGTTGAGGATGACGTGAAAGAAAGGAAGGTTCAGAGGGAGAGAAGCGTAGAGGAAGAAAACGCGCATCGTGAAAGTTTTATTGCGTCGGAAGCAGATGAAAAACTGCTGGATGAAATCATCAGTGCTGCCATGCCCAAGAACAGTGCTTCTGGGAGGGATGCGAGAATTCTGGCAAACGCGAAGAAGCTTCTGAACAACCAGGCGGGGAAATCGTCCGGCAGAGACACGCCGAAGTCCCACACGTCTTCGAGATACGGAGGGCAGGAGGACACGATGAGGAGGTACAACACCGAGGACACCCCGCTCAACCGCTCCAACGCCACATCACTGAGCGACCTGAGCCTGATGTCGGGAATGGAGACAGGCGCCCGCGGGGAGGCCCAGGGCGAGTCTGAAGAACATGAACAGATGAGCCCAGAGGATCTCATGAAGTCTGAGTCCAGCTCCATGCTGGATGGCCAGGCAGAGGAGCTTCTAGCAGAGTGTATCAACTCTGCCATGCCCACGAAGAGCAGCAGGCCACCCCGACGCAGACAGATCCCTCAGCCCAGCTCTGGTCACCTGAAAAAAGGCTCCATGCTGCCTGTAAGGTCCAAGCCTGTTGCGAAGGTGCCTGCAGGGCAGAATAATCAGCTACGTGGTGCTGCAGGCATGGTGTCCCCCAAAGCAAGGCTTCAACCTCATACAAACAAGCTTAGCTCTGCACAGCCTTTCACACATAACACAGGTAGCGCCCCATCAAGACCGTTTTCCAACGAAGACTCCGTAAGGTGCTACAAGGAAGAGGGGACTCCCTTAAACTTCTCCACAGCCACTTCCCTCAGCGATTTGACCATAGACTCCCCGGACGGTGTGTCAGAGAGAGGGGGTGCAAGCAACAAAATGAACAGCCAGCCGTTGCAGACAAGTAGCAGCACCCCTCTGGCAACAGCTGTCCCTCAGCCCAACCATCCGCGGCAGATCCCTATCAGAGGGCCGATGTCCAAAGGTAGCTCACCATACGATACCCCTCACACCTATAACGTGGAAGGCACTCCGCTTTGCTTCTCTAGAAATGACTCCTTGAGTTCACTAAGCTGTGACGAAGACGTCAGCTTCCAAAAAGAGAGGCAAGAGATGAAACAGGAGTTGAACAATTCCAGGGATGGAGCGGCTGGGGAGAGAGGTGCAACTCCAAACAACATGCAAGAGGGCGCCTCTGCACAGAAACAGAGCCTGAAAAATGCAGCTCGACAGAACAAGACCGGCCAGTCTCCCTCAGGAATCCCGCACAACCTCAAACTTGTCGGACAGAACAAAGCCATGCAGAACAGAATGGTTGAGGGTCAGAACAGACCACAGGTACAGAGAAACACACCAGAACAGGCTTCCTGTCAAAACAACAACTCAGCAGAGGCTAATAACAATACCACACAGCCACAGAGTGCGTGGAAGAAGCACGGTAATGCCGTGGGTGGCGCGTACACGAGTAACTTTGCACGGCCTGAGAAGAACAAAGACACAAACTTACGCAAACCGTCGGAAGAAGTTCCGGTGAAGTATTACGTCGAGGACACTCCCGTGTGCTTCTCACGAAATTCTTCACTCAGCTCTCTGGACAGTGACATGGAAGAAGAGAACGACAGGCCAGCCAATCAGGAAGCTGCTTCTAATCATGTGGCCTCTGGCCAACCAGAGGAAGTAGCAGCCTCTGAAGAAGGCAGAAACAGAGAAGTTGCTCGCACCTTCCAAGTAGAGGACACACCAATTTGCTTCTCAAGAAATAGCTCCTTGAGCTCCTTAAGCATTGACTCAGAAGGAGAAGAAGCTCTGTTAAAGGAGTGTATCAGCTCAGGGCAACCCAAACACAGTCAGATCACCCGAGCAAAGAGGAGAACAGACTCGTCTCAACCTCCAGCTGCTTCACAAGAACCGGCATCTTCTCACCAGGCAAAGAAAGGGAAAACTTCCGGCAAAAGCGCAAAACAGAACGCGTACGAGAAAGGAGTCCCGAATGGTTCTTCTTCTCCGAGTCCATCGCCTAAGGAGTCCCCCGCCCTCCCACCAGCGTCGCCTCTGACTGTAGAAAACCTTCGCCTTCTGAACGGGAACGCTGAACGCCCAGAAGTTCCCGCAGACATCCCTTCAGACTCCTCAAACCGCTCCCTTCCCAGCGACTCGGAAATGAAACACCCGGCACGACCCAGGATAGTCAAACCCACTGATAAAGACTCAATGGAGGCAAAAAGAAAGGAAGAGTCGGCAAAGTCTGTCAAGGGGAAGAAAAAGGTGTACAAAAGCCCCATGTCTCGTATGAAAACTGACAGCCCCAGAGCAAAAGAAAAGTCATTTGTGATATCTAGGGAAAGCCCTGCTACTCCAAGAGAAAAATCATTTGTGGTTTCGAAAGAAAAGTCGTTCATCATTTCATCCGGTAAGCCAGCCGGCAGTACCCCTTCTAAATCACCAGCAAGGCCAAGTACAACAGTTAGTCCACCGGGAAGAACTACTCAAAAGAATGTGGTTTCCAGAAGTCCTGCTGCTAAGGAGCAGGGGTCGAGGTCGACCAGGTTGTCCTCTCCGAAAACAAGTCCTCGCACTGGTGTGACGTCGAGAACGCCGCCCAAAGCTTCTCAACCACCAAAAGCTCAGACTCCGCAGCAGAGAAGGATGGAAGCAGGAAGGGGGAAAGAGATGGCAGGCAAACGTGTGGAAAGCCCTCGTGGCCGCCCAGGTGCACAGAGTAAGGTTCCATCCGGTGTACGGTCGCCGGCGAAAATGTCTCCTCTCAAACAACTGGGAAGGAAAGGCTCGGCAGAAGGGGACAGGCCAGCACTTGTGAAACAGTCCACCTTTGTAAAAGACGCCCCGACCCCGTCTTTGCAGAAACAGATGGAACAGGCAGCAAAAAACGACGCTAGCCAGCTGAAGAAGGAGGCAGCTGGTAGCAAGAAGGCACCGAAGAAGGCTCCTTCTAGTGAGTCGCTAAGGGAGATGAGAGGAAAGCCGACACAAAGAGCTACCCCTCAAAAGACTCAGTCGATCGACTCATTAGTTAAGAGCACTCGCGCCGGGTCACCCCACCTCCGCGGCCCCCCCAAAATGCCTTCTGCTGACTCCATCAGAGGGACGAAGTCAACTCCGAAAAAGTCTTTCTCTCGGGCGGAATCTACAGAGTCTTTGAAAAGTAACTCATCAGCAGCCTCCAAATCTAGCAGGTCTAGTGGTAAAAAGGGGCCGTTGTCAAAAGTCGGGGCCGCAAAAGAACCGTGGAAAAGGTCGCTAAACAACTTCCTCTCTCACGGTGAGGAAAAATCAGGCACCAGTGCGAAGCAAGCTTTGGAGAATCGCGAAAAACAAGACCCAAAACCCAAAATGACAAGAAGCGGTACACTGGTGTTGTCAAAGGGGCCGGAAAATGAGTCTAAACCAGCTTCAAGGGCAAACTCCTGGAGGAAGATTCCATCTGCAATAGGAGGGGACATCAGTACCGAACAACTGAGCCTCAAAACGTCCAGTACCTTCAGTATCAGCCCCAATAGTGCACACGTCAAAGGGCCGCTGGAAGAACAGGTGCAACAGCAAGTCACAGAGCCAGACAGCGACAGTGGGGACAGCCCAGATGAGGAAGAAGACCATCTCGCTGTGCTGGAAGCAGAGTTAGAAACAGAAGTTAATGAGGAGGCTGAGATTTCTATCGAAAATGAAACATTCGTGGAGCTGGACAGTCCAACAAGGTCTACAGCAAGTAGCGAGTTTACCATCTCAATAGAGGAAAAGACTGTGACTAGGAACATACAAGTGTCGGGGAGAGCCGGTAAGGCAGGGAGTGGGGCGGATACACCTGATGATATTGAGGATATCTGGGTCCGAAGGGATGAAGGGTTCGAGAACATCGTACAGCAAGAAGCGCTACTGTTAGCGCAGGAGCTGGAACAGATGGCGCTGGAACGGTTAGACCAGGAGAGTGAAGGAGAAGCAGAAACACTGGAGGAAACGGAGAAAGGGAATGAGAGAGAGGAAGCAGAGAGAGATAGTTCTGGGGAAGGAAGGAAGCAGCAGTCGGGAGGGATGGGGTTTAGGAAGAGTCCGAACTGCTCGCCTGCGGATTCAGACAGACCCGAGGGGCTCCCGTTTGGACGATCGCGAACACCGCCGCTGAATAGCAGTAAGAACTCGTCCCCATCCTCTGGCAACTCAGCTACAGCCCTGGTGTCACCGTTCAACTATAGTCCACCCAAACACGACAGGGAGGCAGCCGGGAGGACCTCCAGGATTCCCATGGCAACGGTCGCCAGGGGCAGCCCCACCCAGCAACGGCAGAGGAAGGGCCCGGGAGAGTCCACTTCAGAGGGGAGCGAGAAGGCAACTTACCTTGTCACATCTGTCTGAGGTTTCAGTGGCGGGCTGTGACAAGGCAAATTGCCTTCAAGTTGTCAGGATTCTGAAGTTTAAGAACTTAATGGACATTGATAGCGACTCTCTAGTAGATAAAGTCATGAATGGTTCAGTTCTCAAACCTACAGATAATGACGCTCCATGTATGGCAAACCAAGACTCTCTGACAAAATCGTAATGTTTGTCAATAATGTGCTTGAGTTGAAAGTTCAGATTGTAGTGCAGTGAATGCAATGCAACATTACTGTCACACAAAACGCAATCACTTGAAGCTGAAATTTTGCAATGATGTTTATAGTATTTCATAAGGTCACACCAGAATCTACCTGTATCAAATTAAAGTTTTGACTTCCCTGCAATGTTTGTACAGTATTATTAGAGCTGCTTATTGTAGTTAGCTCCTGAAGGACAACAGTATGTTTATGTAAATGCTGGAAGTATTATGCATTTGACAAGAAGCCACAACAGATAGCAGATGACATGACAGTTTTTTTGTACGTTTATTACGAAGAAGTGTAGAGCACTGTTTAGTTGGAGACTTGTCCATATGAAAAGAACAGGATGCAAATATTTAGGGGTTTGTACATAACCCAGATTCTTTGTGTCAAAATTCAGTGAATCTCCTTTTGGTTTCTACATATTTTGTACTCAACATTCACATATCTTGTGAATTAAAATAGCATTTCCTACAAAAAAAGCTCTCAGATTTCTAGTTTGAAAAATGTCTGTATGTAGACTTGTATTCCATCACCCCTAGATGAGTCTTTGTATGTCTGCAAAAAAATGATATTCACTCAAGAACGCGACGTCTCACATGTGCCTGTTAGAACCACTTTTAATTCCTCTTGCAAATATACAATGTAGATAGACTGCTTTGCTACGAGATAGTTCGGATAGAACTGATGCAATTGTGCCAATCATGTATTAAATCAGCGCTTTTCTGGGAAAACAAGATAAGGTGGCAAGACTAGGTCTACAGTAGCCTTGTACAAGTATTTGCTTCAATATATCTTCATGTGAAGAAGTAAGAAAGTCTTTAAAAAATCCCTTTTTTCTTGATGTCTTGCCTCCCTACTTTGTTTTTCTCTGAAATAGCCAAATTTACAAGAAATCATGAAAAAAAAATCATGATGACAAAAATTATCTGTAAGAATGTGGAAAAAATATAGCATGATTCCCTATATGTACTGCATTTTTTGTTTCTCCCGCTCCCTTTTGTATGATTTTTTGTTGAGATTATTTTCCTATGATGCTATATGTACATTTTGCTGGTGTCGGACACATTTGACTGACTGTAAGAAGAGGAAACAAAGTTGTTGTATGTATGTTGTCTGTACAGTCTACCATGTTCTGGACATATAACTTATTGTCGCAGCAATATAATAAAAATGCTCATTTGAACATTCTCCTGTTCTTTCGTTTATAGATTCCTTAGGTTTATAAGAACTTATAACAAAGAGGCTGTTTAGGTCAGCAAATCTATTCCAGTCATAAACTGGAATGATAGTGTATGAGAATTTGCATGTGGAATTGAAGGGGATATGAATTCACATTTGGAACGACTCTCAGTACTAAGAAATAATATACCACAGCACAAGAAAAATCACATGTAGAATGGTAATATTTTATTTGCCAAAACTTAGGTACTTTCATCATAGCCATACTTCCATGTAGTCTTGTTCAGAGGTCAACGTTAACGTACTACTTCAAAATACCAGCTTTGAAAGACAGAAAGTTAGATTTTGCGAAGCTGAATGAAGGATTACAAGTATGAATGAAATTGTATGAAATCTCGGAATAATTTAACTAAACTAAAGCAAGTCGTTTTTACATTGCGGAAGACATAACAGATCTTTAAAAAGTTAGGACAAATCATTAAATGGCCACAGCCTTAGCAGACAGTCTATAGCAGGGCTGGAAATACATGTACTGGGTGCACCTAGCTGCACCTAAATATTTTCATAGGTTTACATAATACTAGTATGTTAAATGTGTAGTACCGGTAGTATACAGCATATTCGTAAATTCTAAGTGTCAGAAACAATAAAATTAATGTAGAAGTACTTTTTCTGTAGAAATCAAGCATTTCCTAACATTCTACTTATTTTACCTTATATGGTGCACCCCAATATTTTTTGTGCACCCAATTTTTTGCACCTATTCCCAAAAATTAATTTCAAGCCCTGTATAGTGACAAAAGATATATTTTAGAAGCCAAGATTTGGTGCTGTTTCTATCTCTTCCCCTTCTTCTTCCCTTTCTTGCCCTTGTCACCACCTTGCTGTGAAGAAGCGCCCCCTGACGCGTGCACCCGGGTCTTCAGCTTGGGAATGGTTTCTGCTACATACAGGTACACTGACTTCCCTGAAGTAAACAAGAATGTAAAACTATAGTAAAACGTTGAACTTTATTCCAACACACAATTACACAGAGATCAAATTATCCTGATGAAGGCGACACTGGTTGCTGAAAATTCGATCTCTGTGCATCTGTGTGTTGGAATAAAGTTCAATGTTTCACTATGAGTATGATTACTACCAACACAGATGAACTTTCATGATAAGAATGTATGACATGGTATCACTATCACTGCAAAAATGATTCTACACTGAAGGATATGTACTTAATATGTTGTAAATTGGTATCCCATCAGTTACAACTACAATGTATATACATCATTATTACATGTATGTATATTGCACTCTTGTAATGGCTACTAGCACGGTGTAATTTAAAAGTGTTCAGGTACAGGCTCACACCTGAATGTTTGGTGTAGCATCCACTACTTTTAGTCAGTGACTTGCAAAATCTGTAGTTAAACAGGTATTATCATATAGCCGGGTGGCGTAGACCAATCAGAGGCCTCCGTTACCCGTGCTTTATTCTCCGATAAACCATGGCTCAGCCGTGCGTTATTCTCCATAAACCATGGGTGAAACCATAATGATATAGGGGTACACAGCTCTTTCTGTTAATATTCATAGCAGTTTCCTGGTCAGACAAAATTATGTTTTTTTTTAAGCTTCATATAAACTAAAATGTGTGTGAGTATGAAATGTATATGTAAATAGATAGAATTTGAACGGGAGAGCAAAAACCATACTTATTTTGACACCCCTACAAAAAGTGGTATCGCCCACATCACCTGACTTATTTTTTTTGGTCCGCCATCTTGCCTTCTTGTGTCATGGAGAGTTTGCCTAATTTCTACATGGAAGAGATAACAGACGCGGATTTAGATGAGATATTTGGACCCATGGAGGTCGAGGAACAGACGCTGGAAGCTACACCGGAGACAGAGGTCAGCAGGGTGCGTTTCGCGTGTCTGAACGAACAACAACTTGTGCTACAAGTCGGTACCGTACGAACGTGTTGATTTTTGCCCTCCCCCATCTTTGTTATCAATTGGAATTGGCAGACGCCAGCTGAGTTGGACGCCAGGCAGAGCGCGTCTGTGAGCGGCTGTGATTCATGCCGTCCGCCATCCCGCTCCCTTATCTCGAGTATTTCCTGTCTGTGCTTTCGTATAGTTCCCGTTACCCACCAACAAGTCAGTGTAGGGTTCCCGTTCTTCCTGTGCAGACGACAGAGCTCCTGTAGGGTGAGTTTTGTGCTACAAGTCGGTACCGTACGAACGTGTTGATTTTTGCCCTCCCCCATCTTTGTTATCAATATTTTTTTCCGCGGGACGCGTGTAAAGTTGTAAACTATATTTATTGTAAAATGATCTCCATATTTATTTTAAAGTACAAACCATGATTATAATATTTTGGAATGTATTGTTATGTAAATATTAAAGGTTTAATGTTTTGAACAGGAATTGTGTTGATTCATTGTGTCAGTTTGGATAGGCTATATGATAATAACGTTAATGCACCGCCTTTTCCTCGGTGTATATGGTGTCATAAATGCATGGTCAGCTGCTATAACCACCTCATAAACCACCTCGTTCGCTTCGCTCACTCGGTGGTTTATTCGGTGGTTATAGCAGCTGACCATGCATTTATGACACCATATACACCTCGGGGCGGTGCATTAACCCTTTATTAATTTATAAAACATAGATGCATACGAGTTACCTTGTAATTAGGAAAACTTGTAAATAGTGCTTTAGATTCAAAATGTGTAAACCATTAGCCAGTGTGGCAGTTCTAGTGTAAGTTGCGTACAACAATACATGTACTTACTGTTGGGATACTTGACGTTTACAGGTGAGCCGTCATCATTCTTCAGCTGAACTCTGATCCGACCTCGTAAGTTCTGGTCTCTGTGGAACAGTTCTCTGCCGTACGCTTTGTTCTGCAGGTTTTTGAAAAAAAAAGTGAAGGGAATGACAGTGTTAGTACAAGGAATAACAGCAAACAACACGTAATGTTACCTGGAGTTATTTCAATGCCATGAATTTCACTGATTTTCTCTCAGGAATGTACTAATAATATGCTTTAATGTGCCCACTGCTCTTCTACCTCTTTCATTTTGAGGCAGCTGCTTTCAACTAGCAGAAGATTCTGCTGCCTTTTTGTGGCTAATACAAGATGGGGTTCACCAGGCCTCTATCCAGGAAAGTCATGTAAAGTGCCTTAACCATGGGCACAAGATTGGTGACATGACAGGGTTCAAACCCAGGACCTCTTTGTTCCGAGCTGAACACTCTGTCATTATGCCACACGACCCCACACCTCTTACTAGTAACTCATAACTCTAAACACTGCAAATGCCTCCTTCCCCCCTCTACCATCAGCATTCCTTGATCTGAAATGACTTTACAGTATCACTCCTACAACTCACCTCTAGTACAATGTTGAAGCCTCCAGCCTGTAGCACATCTCTGATCTCTGTAGCTGTGGGGTTGTCTACTCCCTGGGTGGGAACATCGGTGTGACACGTTTTGATACAACTTGGAGATCTTTAATAGTACCTAATGGTCACAGATTGCATTAATGTTCAGAGGGCACATTATACTTAAGTAAAAGTCTTAACATTATATTGTAATACTTTTGGGGGTTTATACTATAAATCATAGACACTATACCTACTGACCCGGCCAATGGGTCTAGATCTTTTAGCCGAATCGTTACAATGTTGACGGGTAAACTCAGAACTGGTGCCCGGGTTTGGCGTGGATTCGATCCCCGGCCCGGGACCAGGAGTGTCTTTCTGTTTCTACCCTTATTCTTACAATATTTCACACTAACAAATGATGTATTAATATACACATGTATTAAGTGATTCTATCATCAAATTATGTCCCATTCTAAATTACAATCTAAATGGCAAACAAACTCAGAAGTCGCCTACCTTCTCCTGTGCGATTCTCCTGCCTTGTGGGATGGTTTTCCGACTGTTGATGTACGCAGGATAGATACAGATGAACCTGGGGGAGGGGGCAGAAAAATAATTTAGAACTTTAGTTTTCCGATCGTCTTGTCCTCTACAATACAGAGAAGAAAATCCAAACTAGAAAAAAATTATGACATTGGAACAGCAACAAACGTAATAGATTGGTGTATAATTTTACAGACAAGGAGCAATCGAGACAAGTAGACACAAACGTATGTTGAGTTGCCCCCCTCCCTCTTGAGCTCTACCATATGGCCGAACAACTCGCGTAGTTCTACCATCAACCATCCGGCTTGGCGTTATTTTACTATAATTACCATGAAGCAAAACTTCTTGTGAAAGTCTCACACCGGTTTAACTCGTCTACGATCACGGCATAAGTCAGAAAAGCGAACTTTTTTACCTGTCTTTATCGCTGAAAGGTTTTTCCAGCGCCATCTTGGATCCCAGAACGTGTCTGATAGGAAGAAACCACTGCAAAGTAGGGGGAGCTAGGGTTCTGCAGTACCGCGAAATACCGCGAGGTAGCGCGCCTGACACGTCACAAACTTTGTTAGCGCCTTGGTGACGTCACAGAACACCCGTTCTAGCATTAGGGCATTCCAACCTGAGTTAGCGGTTTGCAGTACACCAGGCAACATGTCTACAGTCAGACGGGTACGTTTTCAGTTTATTTCACTCCATGTTTTACTCAACAGCAGCTTGTCCTCATAGTATTTTGTTGTGCTTGCTTTGTACCCAATATGTGCCAATTCCTCTTTATATCATATGTGTTTCTCTAACTTCTCTGTCTAAAACTCAGGAGGATGCCACTCAGGCTACTAACGGGGGGTGCCCTAATTCCGTGCTATGTTCCATGCAAACGCACAGACCTTTGGTAATAGATTATCTGACCAAAAACCCGCACAACATGAGATATAATATTGACAGATAAAGATCACAACGATTAAAGCTGCACAGCTGTGTATTTCACTTGAGTGTAGCGGCTTGCACCCAATCGTAATGGTTCACGAAACGCACGGCAGTTTTTTGGTCATTTTGCCGGTGGAACGTTCTATCGCAACAGGGGTGCCCTAATTCCGACCTAGTGTTTAACACAGGTCAATCTGAGAAGAGAGTTTAGAAAAAATAATACACAAATTATGACTAAAACAATCTACAAATGTTTTCTGTCCCAAACAATTCCTCTTTTTACGATTACGCGACTTGCTCCAAAGTGGCTGTTTGAAAAGCAAAACCTGCATTTTTGACACGCTCGTCAACCCCCGAACAAGCGTCGAATTCACACAGATTTTTCACTCGTCTGTTGTCGGAGTGTAGGAACTAAAACAAACTTTGTGAGATTGCCGATATCAACACAAAAACATAGTCCATTCTTGTGATTATTTTTAGGCACGTGCTCCCATGCATAACGCCGCAACAAGGATTTTTCAAACTAGTTCGGTATTAGGGATGGGTCGGAATTAGGGCACCCCCCGTTACTGTTTTTCAACAAAGGAAATAACAAGCAACAAGGGCTTCTAGTCTTCTTCTGAGACACACTGCCTCCAGCTCTATCCACCTATTCACCCTATTCCTTCTTTCCTTCCTTCCTTCCTTCCTTCCTTAGTTCATCCATCCATCCATCCATTCATTCATTCATATCCCTCATTCCTTCCTTCCTTCAGTCATTCCTTCGTTAATTCCTTCCTTCATTCATTTTTTAATTCCTTGCTTCCTTCCTTCATTCATTCCTTCATTTCTTCCTTCATTCATTCCTTCCCTCACTCTTCCGTCCCCACGTGCAGATGTCGGAGAATGCGAGCGCCCATGCTGTGGATGGTTCTGACTCGGAGGAGGAGGACCCCCTGCATTCCTTCATTCCTTCAGTCATTCCTTCCTTCATTCATCCATCCATTCATTTGTTCATCCATTCATTCATTCCTTCCCTCCCTCTTCCCTCCCCCCGTGCAGATGTCGGAGAATGCGAGCGCCCATGCGGTGGATGGTTCTGATTCTTCGGAGGAGGACCCCCCTCAATTCATCCATCCATTCATTCATTCATTCATATACCTCATTCCTTCCTTCATTAATTCCTTCCTTCCTTCCTTCCTTCACTCACTCGCTCACTCACTCACTCACTCACTCACTCACTCCACTTACTCACTCACTCACTCACTCACTCACTCCCTCCCTCCCTCTTCCCTCCCCATGTGCAGATGTCGGAGAATGCGAGCGCCCATGCAGTGGATGGTTCAGACTCGGAGGAGAAAGACCCCCCTCAATTCATCCATCCATCCATCCATTCATTCATTCATATCCCTTATTCCTTCATTCATCCATCCATTCATTTGTTCATCCATTCATTCATTCCTTCCCTCACTCTCCCATCCCCCCGTGCAGATGTCGAAGAATGCGAGCGCCCACGCGGTGGATGGTTCAGACTCGGAGGAGGAAGACCCCCCACAGAGGTTCCTGCTGGGCAGGCTGAAGGACAACCTGAACGTGCGCCGTCATCATCGCGCCGCGCACGCAGGGCTCAAACGCAGGATGGGCTTCTGGAAGGTACATCCTACGTTTATGTTGTTGTCCTTGTTTAATGTCTAATATCTATAGACGTGGTCTCTTGGTGCTGGTTCGTGCATGGTTCAGTTCAGAGTCAATTGTCTCTCTTGGTGCCAGGCTCATACTTGTGTGTTACTCTCCAAATATTAAAGCCATTTGTTTGTTTGTCTGTTTGTTTGTTTGTTTGTTTGTTTGTCACCCAAAGAAAAGTTGACAAAATAGAAAGCCTGATGCCTAAAACCTTTGAAACAGGAATAACCTCTGCTTGGAGAGGAGGTAAATTATAGTCATTCGTAAGGCTTTTGTTTTGGCAACACCACAGTGGCAGAGCCAGTACCTGAAAATGAATGGAAGTGACAATAAAGGAAAATAAACTCAAGTGACAGTAAGGAAAATGAACACAACAGTAATGAAAAGATCGAGTACATTGAAAACCAAAAGAAAACCAAAACAGAAGCGAGGATTTGAACACAAAATAAACTCACTGCCTCATCTACAGTGTACTATGACTTCAGGCTGAAGCAATGGAAATCATATCAAATGTTCATGGATGTGATGACTATGAAAACTGCTAATTCTTCCTGCTGACTCCTCCTCTAGATGGGCCAGTGCCGGTACACCTCTAGTGGCAGTGAGCGGTACTACAGCGGCACACACTGGGACGTGGAAATAGAGATCACAGAGGACTTGGACCGCAAAGAGTCCGGCATAGCTGTGGACAAGTACGCTTCCTTTTGTTCTAGAACATCTTTGTTCCTTACTTTGGGATTGCTAGCCTCCTCATCTGAGACTTTAAAAAGCAATTATTATGAACTCGTATGCCATAAAAAAAACACATTTTTAAACCCAAAAAAGTCTTCTAATGTGGCTAGGGTTCCTCTGCTTTTCTTCACCTGCCTCTCCTGTGTTTCTTTCTTCTTTTTTTTTTAAATACAATGCTTAAATGTTCATACACTTATACAGACATATGTATATATATAAGCTAATTAAGTGTATCTGTATCGATATAGCCAGTATAACCGCCCTTCAGCATAACTCTACTCGCAGGCACACTATGATTTATATATGCCTTTGTTGTTTATCTTTCTTTCTCTGTTCTTTGTCCATATAAACTTTTGATGATGTACATGTACAATAAATCAGCAACAAATAAAAAAAACCTGCTGATTTTTTTCCAAGGACTTTTTAAATGTGAATGATGTATAGAATCGATGTCTTGACTTCCAGGCAGATGGACAGAGAGAAAGAGAGGCGGATGGAGGAGGAAGAGGCGGTGAAGCTGCTCGCTGACTTCGTCCTGGCGCCGCTCAGGGAGGAGATCATGAAGGTGCTGACAGAAAGTGAGGTCAGAAAAAGCTCTTTTTTTCGCCTTCTTTTAGGCGTATATTACCAATGGCACATCTCTCTCTCTTGCACAACTGTATGTGTGGCCTGATCTCCAAGCAGATCCTAGGGTCTCAAATATAAAGTATCAAATTGTCCAGGCAGTACCCAATTGGCCAGAGAGGGTCCATGCGCAACCCAAGTTGGAGGTAGCTACAAAACAACGGGCCATATATCAAAAACCCACAATATCATTCCCCCACAACCTCTGCTTGGAGAGTATGTGTGGCCCAAGGACTTTGCACCATGTGTGTTGCAGTTTACCGATGTTTTACTAGATGGTGCTGTTGATTGCAGGTGGAGATGCAGCATGAACAGGAGGACCAGAAGCAGCAGGCGTGTCAGCTCCTCTCTGATGCGCAGGCAGAACTGGTGCACAAGGTCCGTGGACAGGAGGTGGAGGACGAGTGTGAGGATGAGAGAAACAGGCGGGAAAACATCATGGACGCTCTCATGGGGAAGAAAGGGAAGGTGAGACGCTTTCACATGCCCGTAGAAAGGGACATTCTGAAGAGCCCACACACAAATGCTCTAAGGTCCACTTTTTACCTAAATGTCCAAGGTTTTTCTTTAAAAGGTGGACTGATTTGTATCACCAGCGGGACTGGAAGCTTATTTGTCTCAGATTTTTCCTTTGAAGTTCTCTGAAAAACGCAGAAAATGCATATAAGATTTTATGTCTACCTTCATAGAAGGGAAATATAGTGTTTAGGTCAGTTTCTTCTGAAGGTAAAGATTATGTATTGTTCTGGATACAACAAGGGCATCCTATAGACAATACTTGTCCTTGGTGCTGAATAGATAAGTGCCACATTGATCATAATGGTATTGTCCTGTCCTTGGTGCTGATTGGACGGTACTTAGTCAAATATACACTCAGACATGTCCCTCGTTACCTGGCTTCTTACAGGCTTCATACAGGCAGGAACTTTAACAAGCTACATTTAGGAGATAGACTGTTTTGTTGCCAATATTCCTCTATTATGATAGTCACTCGAATCAAAGTGTTTTAGATCAGTAACAGCGTGCTTTTGTATAGTCACTGGAGTAAGTATTTATCATTTGACAGAGGTATTAATGTAATGTGGCTCTTTGTCTTACTAGATGTCAATAGATTCTTTTATATGACAAGTGTAGAATGTATGTTTTCAACCTCAGTAGTTTGGCAGGGGAAGGACGAAACTTATTATTTAGGTGGTGCAGGATATGGTGCCTCATGTGCATAAATCATCGCTACCTTTGTAGGTTGCTCTTATATATGTGTTAACGATTCTGTTAGTTCGTAAGTGATGCTGAAGAAGAGTGGTGGATGTCACTCGAAACGTCTGGATATTATTCTCTGTAATTTTTCCAGTAGTAGAGTTTGAATTTCCATTGCCTCACCAAACACAATGTATTGTGTTATTTTGATACTATAACCATCCTGTTCTTCCCAGATGGTGCGTACGGACAGCTTCACGGACCTGCTGAAGTCCCTGTCTGAGACAGACGACAAAATGGCGGAAGTACAAGACCAGCTGATGGGGGCGTTCTACCGCATGGAGGTTAGTACAGCTTAGCAGTTGGGAAGGTGGACATGTAGCCTGGTTACCAAATCTATTATAGCTCCAGAGTCCTACAGCCTCTCCACAAGTAAATGGGTTTATTTGCAAATTGACATAAAACTAGAACAACATTGCAGCCTAATAATACATGTACAAAAGGCTGAATTACGTAGTTTTAGGGAACACACAAAATATCATTAATATTTACAAACATAACAAAGTAGCAGAGAGGATGTAGGACTCGGGAGCTATAATAGGTTTGGTAACCAGGCTAGTTGTCTTGTGGTTAGGGTTGTTAAATTAGAAACAGAAGGGTCTGGATTCCAATCATCTCTGGCAAGTCTCATGCCCCTAGGATAGGTACTTCATTCCCTTGACAAATATTTTAAACCGTACACTATGCACAAGAAAAAGTTAGGGGAGCTTTAGAGTCTGTCTCTTCATCAACCCGGCAAACTGTCTGACAACTCTTTTTTTTCACTCCTCTCACTGTTAAAACTGAGTACCTAGCGTCAGTTAGGATTGTAGAGTCAGAGTGATTGTTTGCAGTAGAGACTAGTCCACTAGTAACACTGTATGTTCAGTTTCCATATTCCATACATGCTGAATGCTTAGCAGAGAAGGGTGTGCGTGTGTGGAATCTTTGTAAAGTCCTTCTTAGGACTCAATGAGCTATATAGACGATGCTAAATACTAGTATTCAATTGTTTTCTCAGGATGATGACCAGCAAGAAGAAGAAGAATTAAAGGACATTTTCAAAGGAATGCAGTCTGACCTGGTACATGAGCTTGAGCACGTGTCCGGTGGAATCCGCTCACAAGTCCATGTAAGACCATCTCTCTAGTCAGGTTTTGGTTTTCGCATTTTCCCTTTGACATTAGGCACCCACTCCAGACCAATTTCCAGCTAGCCTGGTATCCAAACATGCTATAGCTGCCAAGTCTCTTTCGTCTTGTCCGTAAATATTTGTCTATTTTAGCTGCAAAAGAGTCTACAGCTAATAGGTTTGGATACCAGGCTTCTGGGACCTAATTTCCTGTGTCTTTTTGTGGTCTGTGGTTATGTAATCCCCAACCAACTTGCTGTCACACAATAACAGTATGGACACACAAACAAACATACACGCAATACCTTAGTTTTCACAAACCTAACTTCTTGTGTCTGACCTTTTGTGGTTTGTATAGTTGTATTTCCCAACCAACTCGCTGTCACTCAACTGTACACAAACAAACAAACAAACAAACACACACACACAATGCCTTGGTTTTCACAAAGATAAAGACATGTATGTAATTGTCTACAGTCTGATCCTTTGCAAATCGTCACACGTCATGTGCATTTCATAGTAAATGAGATTGTGCCCATCTCCGTTTCAATTGCCCAGGGCCACACACAACAGTGCAATCACTAAGGCTAGGGGCAAGTCCACTGGTAGTGGTGTGTGTTTAACTCCCAGTCTCTTTCCCAAATGCTGAGTGCTAAGCAGAGAAAGCAGCATGTACATGATTTTTAAAGTCTTTTGAATGACTCCACTGGGGATCAAACTCGCAACTCACAAGGCAAGGCAAGCACCACTTGGCCATTGCACCAGTCCAATTTTTGAAGTACCTGAGATATTAATCTATATGTTTGTCTGTCTGTAGACGGAGAGCGAGCGTAAGGACATCTTGTTTGAGTCTCACAATCTGTACAACAAAGAGGCGGCGCCGTCGGAGCTGGTGGAGTCCCGAGGGAAGGTGTTTGACTCCATGGAGGGCGTCACGGAGGAGATGATGAGGCTCTACGCAGGCGTACAGGTTAGGGATTTATAAACATATTGTTTTTGCTACATATTGTTTTTTTCTTCTTCTTCCATTCCAAAAACTGACCTGGCCAATGACCTGATTTGTTTATGTCTCTCACCATGGTAATTGGTGTTGGGCTACATAATGTTGCAATTTTATAGTAGGAGGGATTTATACTCCTGTCTCCACATATATGAATGTATTTGAGTAAGAATTAACAGAGCAGGCCATATGCTAAGGTAAACATTATGCATTTGCTTTGCAAATGTTATCTTTCTAGTTGTTTATTTATCTTGTCAACAATTGTGTAGTCAGCATTTCAGTCAAGCTTGACTCAATACAGAACGTACAAACAGATAGCTGATTATCCATTAGTCATACATGATCACACATACTATTGGGTAAGTAATTTAGGTAATGCTTAGAGTCCACATTTCCAAACCAGTTCCCTCCCAGGCTGTTTCTTCATCAAATCAAGATTATACGTAAATAGTGCTAATGATTAAGTTTCTTAACTGTTTTGTGCTTTCCATAAGAAATTGTTACTCAAGCAACTGGATAGATTTTTTTGTTGCCTTTTTTATGATGATGATACTTTTCGTTCCCGCACACTGCCTAGCCAGGCCCCTGGATGAGACTTGGGACATTAGCATTAGATGGATTCTCTATTAAGCTATATATGGTTTGAAAGGGTTGCTTGTGAAGTGACAGTAACTGTTGGGTTTGTTTGACACCCTGTAGATGGACCTGGGGCAGAAGCAGGAGAAAGCAGAGTTCCAGACGCGCACGGCTCACGCCTCTGCCATGCAGGAAATCACCAAAAGGTGAGATTAAACAATGTTTAGAGTTAAAACTTTAGATCCAACACTTTCTTTGTGTTGTGTTCTCACGGCAAAAACACCACCTGTATCAGCTACATATAGCGATGAGAAACTCTAGTCAGAAGCTCTGAGGAAGGTGTCTGGTAGACACTGAAGCGTAAGCTAGGTAAGACAAGTTTGGTTGTGTAAAAGAGAACTCCAGCTATATCTGGCCTTCTGGCCTCCCCCGCCTCCTTGCAGTCAGTAGGGGTAAATAGGCACATGAAATAGGACTTGGGCAGCTCCCAACCTTCTGAAGCAATGTAAACGAATACAGTCAAACCTGCTCTTAGTAGCCACTCAAGGGACTTAGGCTACTAAAAATGATTGGCTGGTGCAGATAGGGTTGGTCATCTGAATGATTGGCACATGTACACATATCTGGTAAATACTCTGTAACAGTGGGGGGTTTATAGGCGCTACCAACAGATCCGGCAAACGGGTCTAGACCTCTTAGCGGAGAGGTTAGAGTGTCTGACTGGGGCCCGGGAGGTTGTGGGTTCGAACCCCGGCCCGGGACCAGTGGGGTTTTTACTGTCTCCTCCTGTTTCTTACGGTGGTTCCCACACTGGCCCTGGGAGTTCTGGCAAAGAGTGCCGCTCCAGGGATGTCGAATTCGGAAGATTCGAGGACGAATCTTGAAAAGAAAAGGGGGAGTAGTGTAACAGTGGGGGTTTATAGGGGCTACCAACAGATCCGGCAAACGGGTCTAGACCTTTTAGTGGAGAGGTTAGAGTGTCTGACTGTGGCCCGGGAGGTCGTGGGTTCGAACCCCGGCCTGGGACCAGTGGGTTTTTACGGCTCCTCCTGTTTCTTACAACTCTACTAACCTGATGAAACTATTTTATATGTGTTGACATGTGTTATGATTCACATTTCTGCAGGAGCCTGAAGCAGCAGGTTCACCGTGCGATGGCTCAGGAGCGAGCGAGGCGGATCCGAGAGGCAATGGAGCAGGCACGACACCCCGACCCCGGCAGGTGCCTGCTGCGCGAGACGGTCGCTAAGGTGCAGGAGGAGATGCTCATCAAGAAGTTCCACGGCAGAAAGGTGGGTGTGTCATGTAGCTTCCTCTTCAGGCCTCCGGGCAGGTGGGAGTTCTGATCCTGAGTTTTGTACCCACCAAAACTCTTAGACAAAACACAGTATCAAAACTCCCACCCGCCGGAGGCCTGCACAGGAGGCTAAGAAAGGTGGTCACGTTGCTGGCCTGGGTGCCATCTTCTGTTCCACTGAAGAAAGGTACATCTTGCAAGAAATCCCCTTTTTATACCCTGAAGTCATGACAAATATGTCTCAACATTGGGTTTCAAAAGAGTCTCCAAGCATTCAGATCTTTTGGTCGCTGCAAGATAGACAAATTGGCAAGACAGTAATATCAGTATCAAGTGTGGATTTACTTTCTTAAGGCCATGTTCATTTAATTATATAGATGACATCCTCTGGGAATCCCAGAACTGATGCGAGCATGCGAAGAAAAAAAAGTTTGGCAAAAAAAGTTTCCTTGACATTATGAAATCTATGTGCCCATAAAAGTTGAACAAATGGCTATACAGAGTATGGTATGGCAAATGATAATACTAGACTCTTCATTTTCATTTCTTCACATTTTCTTCTTTTCCTGACTTGATTTGGCATTCTGTGACATTAGTATCTCTCATTTTGTACGATTTGCAGTATGGTCAAAAATTCATGCGCGCGGATGTCATCCATACTGTTTGCTCTAGTCGGCTGTAACTCACAGTCTAAATTGCATATTCCTCCATACAAAGCAATTTTAGACTTCTAAATGTATGAAACATCATATAGACAGCTAAATCAGATGCTTGAATCCGCCAGGTGGCGTTCCGTGAACCGGAGCAGAGTCCGTACAGCGAGGAGGAAAGCGATCAGGACCGGATGTTACGGAATATCCGCCTCAGCGCCCGCCGAAAGTCCTGCGCTGTGGCAAACTGACCTTGGCAGTAAGAAAGGTTGCGAACAAGAGACGTTAAACTGTGAAAATCAAGGGACAACAGATCTGCACTCTTTCAGAAAGTTTTTATTAGTACTATCAAGATGATGGCTACATTATTTGAGACAACTAGGCACCAAAAAAGACACATCTATAATTCCATTCTATAAGACAACGTAGCTCATCTTAACTTTATACTCAAACCCTTTAAAAAATAACAGGGCACAGTCTGAAATGTCATTCATGTGTATCAGGTACAGTACACAAAATTACCATACAGTTAACGGAATAGATAGACAGAGTTAATAGCAAATTACACAAGGACCAATATGCTGTGCTGCTGAATAAACAACATGTCAGATCACAAATTTTAAAGAATTTCAATAGCATTTTTCAATAGATAATAATATGTACATGTATATAATTGTCCGTGTTGACAACAGTTGAAGAATTCAAAACATGAATGAATACCAGATGCTGGCAAAAAAAAAGATATCAGTACAACAAAAGCCAGATAAATACACCTAAAAAGATGTAATTAAACATAAGAATTACACCAAAGTCTAAACTTCTGCTTGAAGAGTAAATGTAAGAACTACAAGTGACTGTATAGAACATTGTGATACAGTTACAATGGCAAGCTTTGAGCAGCTGAATTCTATACGCAAACGAACACTTTACTACATAACATGCACCGTTATCTGTAATCTGGTTTTCAATCTGTTAAAAACTGCATTGGTTGCCTTTAAAAGCTCAATTACGCCTTACAAAAAGGACGGTTAGCCAACTTAGGCTTAGTAGAACAGAGATATGGTAGACGACTGAAACAGGAACTATCGTGCCAAGTGTCTGGAAACTCTGAGTCCCTACCAACGTAAAACACACAGTCCTCATCCCCAAAATCATCATCAGGTTGCCCGGGGGCCCAGTTAGTATAACTAGTGTTCCTGTCCAGAATATCCAAAGCATTCACTACCCAATGAAACTGCTCCCTCTTTGTAGGATTGCGCTTCAGACCGAACCAAAAGTTGCTTTTTGGGTCGGTGGTGTTCTTTAGAGAGATGAGAAACTTGTTGATGTCCTCAGTACGTGGCATGGCGAGATCCCCGCATTCTGCCATGCACTTTCCGTACGCTCCGTGCCAGATAAGTGGATTAGTAAACGCCTTGTAGCACATGCCCTTATAGAGACTGTATCCATCGCGGCAGACTGGAGAAACAACAATGGAGGGCTTCTTGTTTACTGTACCTACAACATGTACACCTAGTGCTGTGTACCAGTTCACTATAACTGGAAATGTTCTAAACCACCTGATATCTTCAACAGTCAAAAAAATTTGCGCAACACGAAATGAAGAAAATATTGCCATTGGGCATCATCAACAACATATCTTGCATCTAAACCCTTGTACAACATTTTTCAGTAAAGATGCCCCATTTTCCATTGGGAAATGTTAAACTATGAAGTCCCTTCCGTATTTGGTTTATGCCCTGGGTTTAGGTCTGGATTTAAGTTTGGACCTGAACCTAAACCTGGACTTGAATCTAGACGTGGACCCTAACATGGGTTTAGGTATACAGCACTAGCTACACCAGTCCTGACAAGTACTGATCTGATCTGTGCTTTCTACAAACCATGCAAATATTATTACTAGGGCCATTTAGTGACAGAAAACATCTACTGACCCGATCAGAGGGAAAGAAATGTTCATTTACCTAGTTTGGGTGGGTCTTGCGGTTTCCTCCCTTTCCCCACCTTAAGCCCGAACACATACGTCACAGAACTGCGAAACGGTTTGTCCACAGCTAGATCGGTGCTAGAAACAACAAAATGTACTAACAGTAGCAAACATTGCACTTTGAGAAACGGAGACATCGCGAAATGAGTTCTTCCTCTGACGCTACCGTCTGGAAACTGTTGTCTCCTGCAGTGATAACATGGCCTCAGGTACAGCTAAACCAGACACAGACATTTGATTGCATCATTGTTTAATATGCAACATCCTTGACTCCATAGGTACAGCAAATCCTCCTACGCAGATTTCTAAGTGGGCAAGCGGCTAAAGCTCAGAAGCATGTGCAACACAGCTCTCCCCAGAACAATACCATCCCCCCGAAAAGAAACCACTGCTCTAGATCTAGCCACTTGTGGAAAGAAATGCTGGCTGCCCAGGAGGCTAGGTAAAACATGCAATCTCAGTTTTCCTGGTAACATCGAATCACAGACTAATTTCGTCAGAAAAATTCATTGCTGTAGGCACATGTTCATATCTGATGCATTCATCAACAGTCCACCTACCCTATGAATATAATTTTAATATATATTTATATATTCAAATACCTGAAGAAAACATTGGTTTGGTGAAAATGGGAGGTGTATTTTTCTCTGCTCAAGCTGTTTCTTATAAAAAAAAATTATAAGAGTACTGGATAGTGTTCAGCACCAAGGACAGCTGTGCTTGCCTGTGTGTAGATGGCATTCAGCACCAAGGACAGGCATGTTCACATGTGTTTGGATGGTGTTCAGCAAATTCTTTTTTCTGACTGTGGAACAATAGACTTAATGCACAAGGAAAATGATACTCAAGATACTGGATAGATTATGAAAACTGTGAGATATTTAAGCAGCATCCACTACTTTTGGTTTGGCTGGGACAGATTGGAATTCCATGTAGAATTCCCATTTGTCCTCAGACATATTGGAATTCCAATATTTCCTAGGAAAAATGAAATTCCAATTCTGTAATTCCAATCTGAATTCCAATTTATACTGTGACAGTTTTGATGGGAGCACTACAAGTGTTTGCTCCTAAGAAAAAAATTTTTGTAAGCATTATGCTCTTAAAATGGAAGCAGGTATCAGTTTTTACATATATGTGACCTTTTTCTTTCTTTTCTTCTGGAAGGAGTTTGGACTCATGTTCAAACTGTTTTCGATCTGTTTTCGATCTTTTCATTCATTATTCATAATTTTGAATGTCTTGTCATATATTTTATTTTCCATAATGTACAAGTGGGGGCAAGAATGTAAGTTACATGCAACTTGAGTCCACCTTCACTTTGTCTTTGTCCATTTATTTGTATTTTCTTCAGTCTCCTCACCTTGCATTCAGTAGGTCGTGAGTTCGATCCCCGGCCGAGTCATATCAAGGACTTTAAAAATGGTAACATTACATTGCTTTCTCTGCTTAGCACTCAGCATTTGAAGTAGCCCCGGCCCCTGCTGTAGTGATTGCACAACTGTATGGACATTATATATTATGGGCTACGAAACAGATGGGCGCCACCATATGCGACCATGCTACGGCCTAGGAAAAAAAATTGTGTTTCCTGTTTCCCGATGGACTCTAAAAAAACCTGCCAACCCTAGCCTTTTTTTTGGTGTACCCCTGCAAGGGACATAATTTTTCAAGCTGATAGACATTTTGATCTAACACCTGAGTAACGAAACTTTGTACAATAGGTTTTTCAACATTGACATTGAAAATATATTATAAGTGTCTCATGCAAGTTTTACTTGTTAAACTGTATTGTATAAGTTGCCATATGACCATGCTTCAGTTTCAGTTTATTTAAGAAATCGACTTGCATGTTACAAAAAGTCACATGAAATACGTCGGATTTTTACAATCACTGCAAGTATCCTTGACTATCCATTAAGATAAAATGACAGTGATATATATGAAGATTTAAAATCTAGACATAAAACATCAATTGACATTTACAATCGTAACAATAATAGATTCATATTTACAGATTTGCATATAAAATCCTATACCACTACGTAGAATGCTGAGACAATAACTTCAATGCACGTGGTATAAACGACTGTTCATGTCGTTTCGTTCTACTGAAAGAGGAACGTGGCTGTTTACTTCGTCTTAAGTTATATGTGCTTTGAGGCGGAACACATACAAAGTCATGGAGAGGGTTGTCTGCTAAATGACTTTAACTTGGTTATTCTGGTTTATTGTCCATCAGGTTCGGCATGCTGTGACCGTCTGTGCCGCAGTAACATCCCCTTGGCTTTGAAGGCGTACCCACAGTCCTGACACACGAACGGGCGCGCGTTGCTGTGCTTGTACAGTCTGTGGGCGCGCAGCGAGCTGTCGTACTTAAACACGGCGCAGCACTCGGTACAGCTGAACACTTTTCCCGACATCCCTGCTGCGGTTTCCATGGTGACAGGATAATGTTGCGACAGACTTGTTCCCGAGGCCATCACAGAAAAAACTGCCGCATTCTGTGTCGTTGAAACATCGGGAAGAGACATTAAATAGGAACTAGTGTTGCTGTTAGTTACAGCTGTATTGTCTTTACCTTGTAATGCTGACGGACATGTTACAACAGCCTGTCTGTCCTTCAAGGTCATCTGTTGGTGTGACCTTGGGCTGCTGTCACCAAGGTCATCACCTTCCCTCCTAGTGGATGACTCCGTTGTATCTCCTAGGTTTGACTGTCCCTCTAAAGTCAACAACATGGAGGTTGATCTCGGCAACATTGTTGAAAACATGTTGACCCGACTTATAGTTTCGTTGCCTGTGGATTGTCTCCCTGCAGTACCAGGACTAAGAGCATCCACTCTAGGGGGCGCTATTCTATCACAAGTGCTGACATCCTCCTCTTTGCTCTTATTCCGGTTGTCCTGTAGGCTAGCCTGTAGAAGTGCACCACCTTCAGTAGTCCACAGTGTTGGGGCTTCTGTATCGTCAGTGCTACTCTGATCTGGCATCATGCTTGTATTACTGTGTTCTTGGACTTGTGAGCTGTCCTGTTCTGCACTTGTAGTAGACTTGTCAATGTTTGTGTCTTCTGCTCTAGTAGGCATAGTAGGTGTAGTACACACACTACTAGGTAATGGTGTACTATCGGCAGTGCAAGAAGCTTCACCGACATCAGCTAAACCTACTTGAGATGGTGAGGAGTCCCAAGTGCCGGGCCGCTTTCTGTGGACTCTAGAATGCCGTTTCAGCATGCTTTTGTCCTTGAAGCTGTACCCACATGTTGAACAGATGAAAGGACGGGCGTTCGAATGCTTGTAAAGCTTGTGAGCACGGAGGGAACTAGCATACTTGAACGCCGCCCCGCATTTCAAACAGGCATGCTTGTTCTGGGGCCTGCTGTAAAAACTGGTGTCCATACTACCTGACCTTGTGTCAGAGGTCACAGGCCAAATGTCAACTGGTACTAAGGGGTCAGAGGGCATTGGGAAGAGACCTTGCAAAGAGTTCAAAGGTCCATAAGCACCCGGGGTGAATGCTGGAAGAGACGTTTGAATCTCTTGGCTTCCAGGTTGAACAACAGCTCTGTCCTGGTGCTGAATACTTGCACTATCTTTATAAAGCTCTTGTTGTTGTTGAAGCAAATTGTTTGCGATTGTGCCTATCCTCTCAACAGAATGGTGACTACTTGATTCTGCAGTCACGGCTGGGGAGAAGGATTCAGAACCAAACGTACAGTCTGGAAACTCTGAGTATGAACGATGCTCATCCATAGCTGCAGAACTGTCTTGGGTTTCTGAAGAAGGATTTTCATCATTTTCTGCAGGTTCTTGTTTAACAGTGACAGGAGATGGACCTGACACATCCATGTTGTTGTCCTGGCTAGTTTGTAAACAGCCAGTTTTGTCTACTACAGCATACTCTTCTTCTTGACTGTATCCTATAGTAGACTGACTTCCAGATGTGAGATTGGTCGAGCTGGCTCTGACATCATGCACTCTTTCCTCTCTGTCTCCTACCTCATCCTTGAGAGCAGGTCTGTGATTGGTCAAGCTGGCTCTCCCATCATGCACTCTGTCCTGTCTGTCTCCTACCTCAGATTGGACTACAGGTCTGTGATTGGTTGAATTTGCTTTCCCATCATGCAATCCTTTCAGCCTGTTTCCAACGTTGGCCTGGCCTCCAGCTATGTGATTGGCTGAATTGGAAACCCCATCATGTACTCTATCCAATCCGCTTCCACTCTGACCAGCATCCATTTGATGGACAGCATCCCCGCATGTGTCTCGTACCTGCCTGGGTCCACTCCGCTCCCCAGATTGCTCAACATGAATTCTTCTTTCAGATCCTGCTGACAAAGAAACAGACAAAAAAGGGTATTTAAGACAATAATGTTAAAGCACGCCAGCAGAATGCACTGCACCTGCGCAAAACCCGTAATGTATTGTACATAGCACTTTGGCAGAACGTCTCATATAAGGTCATATTCGTGCATATAACGTTAACCCTCTGCCTGTAGTTTCCAAATGTTTTGTCGGAAAAAATATTGTCTGCAATAGGCAAAATTCTGATGCAACGTTGACCAAGAATCCAACAAAAAACGGGAAAAATGGGGGTTTTGCGCACACACAGTATGTTCTGACGACGTGCTTAATGTTATTATGCTACAATGGCAGCCTTTCAAAACATTATTAATAGACCTAGAAATTCAGTCATAATGCCTTTAAGTGAAGAAATAATGCTAAAAAGTTCATATTCACCTCTTTCTTCTGAAGCACTGTTTTCTCCATGACTGTTGTCTTGCCGTCCATGCTGTGACATGGTTGCCATAGTAACTGTTGACCTATGACCTGCCAGCTGGCTCTGCTGGAAGGTGTGACCCAGGTAGGCTGTACAGTCCTCCATGATGTCGGTCACCTGAGGTCAGGCAAGGTCAACGTTACATTAAACTCATTTTAAAGCTTAAATCAAAATATCTTTAATGATGTGTGTGGATGGTGTTCAGCACCAAGGACAGACATGTTCACCTGTTTGTGGATAGTGTTCAGCACCAAGGACAGGCATGTTCACCTGTGTGTGGATGGTGTTCAGCACCAAGGACAGGCATGGTCACCTGTGTGTGGATAGTGTTCAGCACCAAGGAAAGGTATGTTCACCTGTGTGTGGATAGTGTTCAGCACCAAGGACAGGCATGTTCACCTGTGTGTGGATAGTGTTCAGCACCAAGGAAAGGCATGTTCACCTGTGTGTGGATGGTGTTCAGCACCAAGGACAGGCATGTTCACCTGTGTGTGGATAGTATTCAGCACCAAGGACAGACATGTTCACCTGTGTGTGGATAGTATTTAGCACTAAGGACAGGCATGTTCACCTGTGCGTGGATAGTGTTCAGCACCAAGGACAGGCATGGTTATCTGTATGTGGATACTGTTCAGCACCAAGGACAGGTGTGTTTTTGTTTGTGTGTGTGTGTGTGTGTGTGTGTGTGTGTGTGTGTGTGTGTGTGTGTATGAAGAAGCCCACCTGCAGGTACACAGCTGCCAGCATGACCTCCTGTGCGTCCCCTGCTGTCAGCTGCAGCTGTGCTGTGTACATGTAGTCCAGCAGGACAGACAGGCCCTTCTCTGTTACCAGGCGTAACTCCACACTCTGAACCTCCCTCTCTGTGAACAGGGCCTTAAAGTACCCAGAACAGGCGCACAGGACACACCGATGGGCAGGGAAACTACGGCCACCAACCTGAGGGACGGATGGCAGAAACAAAGTAGAAAAGTAATATTTGCATTTAGCAAATGCTAATGTTTACCTTGACAAGGTCTAGCCTATCAAACTATTGCTCTGTTCATTCTTACTCAAAAACAGTCATGTATGTTGTGACACAGTCTAAGGCTGTTCTGCAACTTGCAACATGATGTAACCTAACACCACAGGGCGTCTGCTACACCAGTTACCATGGTGACAGACGTCTGGTCCAGGTCATTAACCTTATGTGTTTGAAGCAGAAGAAGAAACAGAGCAAAAACCAGCTTACTCTTTATCAATGGGTGTTACACATTCTTAAGTTTACAGAATGGTTGCATTAGTAAGTTTAGCGAGTTTGAAAAATGCAGGGGTAGCCAGGAGTGTACCTTGATGTTGACATCACACATGGAGCCTGTCTGTCTCTGCTGCTGAAGGCAGGTGAGGATGTGGGAGGGCAGGGCCGGGTACTGGCAGGTGTGTGGCATCAGGGCAGCCATTATTACACCTGCAACAAAATAACTCTCATTCCAGCTGCCAGGTGCAAAATACAGGCATCTCTTATTCCACCTGCCAGGTGCAACATACAGGTAATTAAAAACAATTCTCATCACACCTGCCAGGTGCAAAATACAGGTGAATAAAAACAAGTTCATTCCAGCTGTCAGGTGCAAAATACAGGTGAATAAAAACAAGTTTCATTCCAGCTGTCAGGTGCAAAATACAGGTGAACAAAACAACGCTCATTCCAGCTGCCAGATGCAAAATACAGGTGAATAGAACAACTCTCATTCTACCTGCCAGGTGTAAAATACAGGTGAATGAAAACAACTTCCATTCCACCTGCCAGGTGCAAAATACAGGTGAATAGAAATCCCATTCCACCTGCCAGGTGCAAAATACAGGTGAATAGAAATCTCATCCCACCTGCCAGGTGCAAAATGCAGCTGTGAATGAAACTCTCATTTCACCTGCCTGGTGCAAATACAGGTGAATAAAGCAACACTCATTCCACCTGCCATGTACAGAACATTTTGTATCACGCTATAGGCTACGCGTGACTAAATGATTATAATAGACTCTTAAATATCACAACCATATCATCAAAACAAAGAAATATTTACAGGGTTGCGATAGCAAAACCTGTTCTATTTTACCTGGATTTTATGGGCGCCGCCATTTTGTTTCCCGTCATGCAATGGGGCAGGTCAAAGTTGAGTGAGGTGCATTGTGGGACCTGTCACAGGCCTACAGTGTAAGGACGACACCTAGCGGTATGTTTGGAAAGAGCAGTAATTGAAAGCCTACCTGGTTGTGTGTTCATTTTGGCAGAAGTGTATAGAGGCGATGGCTTTGACGTAATAAAGGCGAGTCTGATTGTGTTTAGCACTTGACGTAATTTTCTTAGCATGACGGGAAGGAAACTTGGCGGACCTAATGCGGCGGAACTTTAAAGTGTTTTTTTATGATGAGATGGTGAGGCTTTGGTATTAGTAGGGTGGTCTTGAGGATCTTGTCGAGGCCGAGCCTAGGGACGACAGATTGTCCTCAAGTACAGGGGTTAGTAGGTGGGATAAGTGGCATGAAGTTTTGGTATGAGTACACTTCCTGATTTCAAGTTCATTATGGAAATTGTAAGTTTTTTTTCAAGCTTACCAGTCCATTATACAGTGACTGTATAGGCGTTTGTAAACGTTTTTACGACCTGCCTTTCAGGCTGCTTGAACTTAACAATGCCGTCGCTTGCGACTCTCCATCTGTCTGAAATCCCCTGTCCTCCACCCAACCAAGGAACATAATTGAAGTATCTGATCAAAACGTTAATTATAGCTCACTTTCAACCTATCCTGATCTAATCTAATTGTCATATCCCATAGCTCTGGTCATATCCATTAAATGACACCTTTTCCTTCTGTGTGAGGACTTCTGTGTGGGGTGAACATTTTTCCACGACATACTATACACTTGTGGGATGACCCGAGGCTCGGTGTGTCAACTCAACGGAAGCTAGCCTTGCCTACAGGTCAGCCAACTGCGCGACCCGATCTCCTACCTCTAATTTGCAGCCGTCAACTTCAATTGTAGGTTTTGCCCAGAGGGGCACGTCTGAGTCTACACATTAAGTTCTAGCTGTATAACCTCTACCAGACTTCAGGAGACAGCTCAGGAAAGGGGGCCTGCAAGGGGGGTCCCGACAACGATCTATGCTGAATTCGGAAACTTCTCGATTTTTTAATACGCTTTACGATAAATTCCAAGTGGCTATAACGCACTACGTAGAATTAAAACGGCGAATATGCTCTACAGAAAAGGGCTTGCGGGCCCCCCAGGAAAGAGTAGAAATTGACCAGATAAAAAGAAAACATGCCAGTGCAGGGGATCCGGAGTTGGTCCGCTAGAGGGTAAAGCGAGGCGAACCGTATATTCTCTGTTTGTGAACAGCATAACTCAAGAAGCTTAATATGCATTGCCATGAAACTTGGTAGGTGGGTAGGTCTTCAGAAGAGCTAGGAATGATTAGATTTTGGGCCCCCTGGCGGCTTTCCTAGGTACTGCAGCAGAACTTCTGGTTTTGATATATCGCGATCTGGACATGCTAGGGTCATGAATTTTGCTTTGTAGATAGCTCTTGGGGTAGGGAAGACGTGACATGAATTTTGCTTGGTAGATAGCTCTTGGGGTAGGGAAGACGTGACATGAATTTTGCTTGGTAGATAGCTCTTGGGGTAGGGAAGACGTGACATGAATTTCGGTAGGTAGGTAGCTGTTGGGGTAGGAAAGACGTGACATGAATTTCGGTAGTTCGGTAGGTAGTTCGGTAGGTAGTTCGGTAGGTAGTTCGTTCGGTACGTCGTTCGGTACGCCCGCTCGGTACGCCCGCTCGGTACGCCCGCTCGGTACGCCCGCTGGGCTCGGTACGCCCGCTCGGTACGCCCGCTCGGTACGCCCGCTGGGCTCCGTACTTGGGTAGGCCCGCTCCGTACTTGGGTAGGCCCGCTCCGTACTTGGGTAGGCCCGCTCCGTACTTGGGTAGGCCCGCTTCGGTACGGTCGTTCGGTAGGTCGTTCGGTACTTCGGTAGGTCGTTCGGTACTTGGGTACGCCCGCTCCGTACTTCGGTACGGTCGTTCGGTAGGTCGTTCGGTACTTCGGTAGGTCGTTCGGTAGGTAGGTAGGTAGGTCGTTCGGTAGGTAGGTAGGTAGGTCGTTCGGTAGGTAGGTAGGTAGGTCGTTCGGTAGGTAGGTAGGTAGGTCGTTCGGTAGGTAGGTAGGTAGGTCGTTCGGTAGGTAGGTAGGTAGGTCGTTCGGTAGGTAGGTAGTTCGGTAGGTAGTGGTAGTGATTGGTTTTATTTCTCAAAGATTACAGTTTCGCAGTGCTTGGTGTAAACCCGCACTGAATTGCACTGCTAAAACAATTCGACAAATACATGGGTTACAAATTATTAAAGAAATACATAAATTATTGATAAAATACAATCTACAAATTAACAGATTAAAAGATAACCTCTGAGTAGACATTGTCAGAGGTTAAATACATATCGTGCATACAGATTTCAATAAGCCTATTATTAATACATTATTATTGATGACTTGTCATAAATGTGTATATTCAAACATATTAGTTCGGCATTGCATAAGTGCTGGTTGAACTATTTTGGGGGACTAGAAATTTAATATTAGCAATCATTGAAACATTCCAGTCAGGGCCGTTGTAAAAAACATATTATGAGAAAATAATCTCCCATTATTGATGAATTCTCGTATCATGCAATGGTTGAGACCATACGTCAAAATCTAATACGTTCAAGGTGATAATTCAGGTCAGGTAAAGATCTTTACATAAGAATTAAAATCTAATGAATTTCTTCTCCCAAACTTAACATATGTGCATTACAACATATTTGAATCGAAACTGCAAATACTGGTTGCATTATTGTTGAAGAGTGTTACAAGATAGGGTATGGGACTATTCCTGTAACGATTAGTTCGTGTTTTAATAGTGTCCAATAGGCTGCTGTTTCTTGTTCTTCTACCACTGACGTCTCCCCGGAAGGGGGGTAGCCAATTCCGGTAGGACTCAGACTGTAGTAGTCTTCTTGCGAATGTCTGACAAAGGTGTTCACGTCTTTGCTGTAGTGTCATGAGGCATAGCGTGTTGCAAGCGTCAGTATAGGTTGTGTAGTCAGGCCCAAGGATGATTCGAAAAGCCCTTCGCTGTATTCTTTCCAGTTGACGTTTTTGGGACTGTGTAATGGCTGGTTGCCAAACTGGGACAGCGTACTCACAAGTGGGTCGGACAAAACTTGTATATATGGTGACAAGATCTTCTCTAGTAACTCCGAAAGATTTGAGTCTTCTCAAGAAGAAAAGCCTCTGGCTTCCTTTCTTGGCCATGTGGTCCACCTGGGTGTTTCATTTTAGGTCAGCTTGTATATGGAGCCCCAGGAGTTTAGCTACTTGAACTTGTACTAGGGGGTACTTGTCAATTTTTAGTGAGGGTAGTGGTGGCACAGTTTTTGAGAAGTGCAGAAACATCACCTTGCATTTGCGAGGGTAGGTAGGTAGGTAGTTCGGTAGGTAGGTAGTTCGGTAGGTAGGTGGGCAAGGCGTGGGGAGGGCGCTGTTCAAGGCGGCACAACACAGTATTAGCCCTATGGGGATTTCTATAGTTAAGGACCCCAAAGTGACTCACTTCGACTCACGGAAAATCATACTAGGGTGCACAAGCAAGGTTCAGAATTTTGATATGTTTAATTTCAGGGTATAGTGTACAAAATATGTGAAAATGAGCTTAAATTTGCCGGCTAGTTCTCTTCTCGCGCCCTCTTTCATTAGCGCCACTGCGGAGGTCATGGAACTGCAGCCGACGCACAGTACTAGGCGGGACAAGTATCCAAGCGCAAATCTACTCCGACTAAACACGCACCATAATCCAAATTTTACAGTCTCAAAACTGACGTATTCCTCTAACATTTACCACAGGTTCTGTCTCGATGCCATGCACAAAACAATCTCTGCACCCTTCCCTAGTATTGTGTAGCACTACTTTGTGCCCGGACTACTTTTGGTTCGCCCATGAATACTGTGTTGTGCGGCCTTGACGCCTGCATGACCCTCAAAAGGTTACAGGTCATGGGGCATAGAGAAGTCATAAAGAAGTGAAATTTTGTTTTGGGTGTAACTATTGTTCTTTTGTTAGTATATTGATGACGAAATTGTTTACAAGGTAAGTGGGGATTAGAAAAGGATGAGAAGGAACCCTGTAAAAGGTAAAGCACACACAAAAAACATATTGTAAGTTACACTACAATGACTATGTACAACGCAAACCTGTCTATATTAGCAACCGCTAATATTACTATCTAGTTACAGACAAAAATCACGGTGTACGACGAATTTACTTACCAATCTCAAGCGATCTTCTATCACTCAATAACGTAGGAACATCAACATGAAATATATCGTAACAAAAAGATTCAAGAGGGTCACAAACGACGAAAAACTGTCCTAAACCGAGGAGGTTGTGTTTTTACCTGTAACGTTACGTGTCAGAGAACCCGGAAGTGATTTCTAGCCTTTGACCTTTAACCCTAAATAAAAACCTGCGTGCACAACTCATACATATTGTGCCTGGGGCACTTGTTGGACGGGCCGTGTTTTAGCCCAAAATCTTGCCACGTCAAAGTGTTTTGCGGTCCGTTTAGGACTCCCTAAAGACTGAAGACGATGGAGGAACAAGAGGAAGAGACGATAGACCTCACAGGGCCAGAAGAAGTCGCGGAAGACGCCGAGTTTGCGTCAGATGAAGATTCGCTTCTTCCTCAAGCTGTGGTACAAGATGGGGAGGGACGAAGGTACGAACTTAGGGGGTGGGGGAGGGGCTAACTAGTGTCAATATTTTTCTTAAGACGATATTATTTTAAGAAGAAGAACTTTATTGCACGACAATTGCACATATTACAATGTATGGCAAAGTACAAATATAACAAACAAGTAAAATATGTGTTGAACACCTAGAATAAAACCTAACATATCCTAATTTAATTAGGAAATTATACTCAAACAATAAGGGCTAGCACAAATCTTTTTTAAAGTGTTACAATCTTTTTTAAGTGTGCAATGGTGGACACGACAGAATTTGCCAAATAACTCGGTACAGTAGGTGGGTAAAGTGCATGTTTAGATATTGATTGCTTTTAGGGACTGTAATTTGACACTAATTAGCTTAATCTTCATTATGGGCTATTCCAAAAACGTTTAGGGGGTTCAAGAAGGGCTAGAGGATATTTAGGGGTGGGGGATGGGTCTAAAGAAGGGGACAGTGGTGCTGACAACAGCCCCCCCCCCCCTAAATTTGTATTCTTTCGGAATAGCCCAATGTTAACGTCTGTTGAACTGTAGAACGTTTGGGTTGAATAGCCAAAGGATACTTTGGGTCTTTGAGACCAAAATTGATATAGTTATCAAGTCACGTGAAGCCGGGTTTTCCGACATTTTCTCCTCAATATAATGTAGATTTACCAAGATATGGACAGTTTAAATGTCATTATGTTGACCAAATTTCAAAGTTTCAAAGCATTATCGATCAAATCTTGTGACTTTTAAAACATATGAGAGAAGACCATGATGCTAACTTATCTAGTGAAAGACACTACTGTAAGTTACTAGTGGTAGCAAAGCTTATATAGAATATTTCATGACACTTCAGAAGAAAGCAGCGGCCGTCCTCTAGATCTGGACCTTTATCTTGGCTGTCTCCCCGATCTAAATCAGCTGCTTCAAGGCAAGACAGAAATACTTAAGGTTACTCTCCAAGCAGGGGTTTGGGTTTGGGGTTATCTTTGGCATATTTTTAGGCTTTTTTAATCGGGGTTTCTCTTTTGCACTGGAATCCCAAGGGTTGGGTGAAAAAAAATTCCAGTGCAAAAGAGAAACCCCGATAAAAAAGCCTAAAAACACGCCAAAAATAACCCAAACCTCTGCTTGGAGAGTACTTATAAGGTTATACTCTTGGTGCTGGGGCAAGGTGGTTCAACTGGTGGCACCACTGAGAGGTTTCAATGGCAATGGTCTTGGTGGGATAGTAGGCAGTTAAATAATGTTTAGACTTTAGATTAAGCTGCAAGGCTCTAACTGATTGGTCTTCATTTTGGCTAATCGGGTTACTCTATTGGCTCAACTTTGTTATTACCAAGAAAAGCCTGAACAACATGGAAACCATTTTTCTTGTTCTCTGTCTGCCCCCCTCAGTTTCCTTTTTGTTGCAACTTTTTACCCATGATTCTTTAGCTTTCCCAGGGTGCAATGCTAAGCAAACAATCATTTTTGTTTGAACTGTTCAAACTTTTGACAGTTGAATGGGTGAAAGGATACTAATAATAGTACATAATTTTTCATTGGAACAATAAAACTATATACAGTATTCAATATTAATTTCTTTTATCCTTTGATGAAATGTGGATGTTTGTCCTACAGACCACTACGTGGCGCTCAGCGTCCTCTGCGAAGGAAACTTTGGCAGTACGCGCCCAAGTGCAGCCGTGACAGATGCTGCTTCCTGTTTGCCATCTGCCTCACAATCTTCATCGTTCTCGTGACGTCTGCCATCTACATGAACTCCAAACACAAGTCTTCCTGTCCCTACAGCTTCCTCTTAGACACTTCGGAGAAAAAGAGTGCAAAGAAAGACCCTATAGCCACAAATGGAGAGAGATTTCCATGGGACGATGTCCGTCTTCCGTCAACAATCGTACCGAACTCGTACCTCCTCCACCTTCACCCGAATCTCACCACGTTCAACTTCACAGGTCACGTGTCTATAAACATCAGCGTCGTGAAGAAAACGGACCTGGTGGTCTTTCACGTAAAGGAGCTGAACATTACGCAGTCTTCAGTGAAAACGATGAACAATGTTTCGGTGCCGATCGTAAAGGAGCTGGAGTATACAGGAAACGAGCAGTACTGTTTACGACTCGGACAGGGACTTAGTGCAGGACAGAACTACACGATAGTGGTCCACTTCAGTGGGGAACTGAATGATGGACTGTACGGCTTCTACAGAAGCACTTACACACTGAACAAGGGCAAGGATGGTGAAGAAAGCAGGTACTTTATATATCGTAGACATTGTAGTCTTAAATTAAAGCTGCTCTATTGGAAAGATACGTATACTGAAAGTAAATTGACAGACCAGGGCTAGATCTAGCCAGCATCCTTTTTTCTGTCAATTGCAGGAACAATCCGTCAGCCTTGACAGACAAAATTCCCCAAATCTTGGGTAAGAATATAAAAACATCCAAAGGAACACCAACAGCCACTCTTAACCCAATGATTTGCCTCTCAAAATTCTGGAAATTGCATCTTTAAAGTCCAAAATTTGCCCCCTAACCACCCTAGATTACAGGCACTCATCTCCCCCAGGTCCAATCAGGAACCTGGGCTGATTTTTAAAAAAAATTGAGCTGGCTAGAGCCTAATGGTACAAATAGTTTATTGCAATATTTCTATTGGCCATGTGTGTTTCCATTCACTTTTAGTTTGTGGTGTCTTGCATTTGTTTCATACTGCCAATATCTTCTTTTCACTCAAAAGTCCCCTCAAAGTAGTAAAGATGAAGCTGTCATCCTCTGAATTTGACCTACATGTATTTGACCAATATACTACTTATATTCAATCATGTACAGACAGTTTATTGCAATGTTCCTATTGGCAGGGTCCTTGCCACGACGCAGTTTGAAGCGGCCAATGCTCGCGCTGCGTTTCCGTGCTTCGATGAGCCGGCGCTGAAGGCGACCTTTCAACTCCACATGGTCCGAGAGGGGAGGCATTCTACTCTGTTTAACATGCCCAAGGTACGTAGGTACATTTGTGTACTTCAGACTGCAATATTAACTTTTCTTCCTATTGTCCCAGCACTGTTAGCGTGGATGCCATCCGATTTGTAACGTCAACCCTGAAAAAACCTTTTCGGGGTAGCCGTTACAAATCGGATGGCACCCACGCTATAGCACTGTCCCAAAAATAAATTTTAATTGTCCCGAAGTCAGGATGAACTGTCCCAACCTATTTTTTGGGAAGTATTGTATGACTTTAAGTTGAAGTCAACTTTATTTTGCTTATGTTTACTCCCAGGCACACTATAATTGCTGTGTAGACAGGAAATAATTCAAATTATTGGTAGGCAAATAAGCCATTACTGTCACTCACTTTTGCCTACCACTCGCTGGCTATAACGTCATGGCAATCGCTTGTATAGACTGAAATAGTAATAGATGAGTGAAAAGTTGGTTTAGATGTTGATTGTTTACTATTGTTGTTGTTCACAGCAAATTCAAACTCTACTACTGGATAAATTACAGAGATAATATCCAAATGTTTCGAGTGACATCCACCACTCTTCTCACTGGACTAACAGAACTCGATAAGGCATGTATTAGTTCATTAGTGACGCTGAAGAAGAGTGGTGGATGTCTCTCGAAACGTCCGGATATTACATGTATCTCTGTAATTTATTCAGTTGTAGAGTTTGAATTTCCTATAAGTATTGTTTACCTGGATGTTGAACCTTACCTGGAAGCTGAATTGGGGCTACCCAGCTATAAATAAATGTTGTTGTTGACTATTCCAGGACCATATTGAGGACTTGCTGGGAGGTTTGAAGATGGACGTGTTTAAGAAGTCGGTAGCGATGAGCACGTATCTTGTCTGTTTCATCGTGTCCGACTTTCGAAGTATGCAGCTCTCCACTGACACTAGCGACATAACGGTAAGGCCACACTGATTTTATTTTTCAGATGACATCCCCAGGCGCATTGATTTTGTTTATTTGTTTATTAGAATTCACCACAAGTACAAACATACAAGTGGAAGGGAGGACAAAACAGGTGTATTGACACCTTTACAAGTTGTCCTCCCAAACACAACAATATAAATACAGTGCAATACAAATTACAAAGTCGAACAATTATTGACATGAAATACAAATTCCTACAATAACATACATATTTTTGGCTGTTCTCACCAAAAAAATCTCATCTTCCGAGTCTCTGGCCTGGGTGCCATCCTCTGCAGTCCATGGTAGCTAGTGATAATAGGGAGCTGGTGGTAACGTTAACTACAGAGGATGGCACTCAGGCTACCGAAGCTCCACAGAACCTAAGAACTCAGTACAGTGCCAACTCATAAATGCCACAAAAGGCCAGCACTATCCACTCATACCAAGGACATTATACACAGATAATGTCCTTGCTCATACTTATGAGGACAAAAGTCATCTGCAGTTTTTTCCTGAACTGCTAGGGGCATGCTAGCCATAGTTACAGATGACTTACAACACTTCATGTACAGCTTGCCTGTATTTTAACCTTTAAGTTCTACTATATCCAACACTGACCCACACTAGAGAGAAGGTTAAGAATCCCATTGGCCAGTTTCTGTCAATTTTGTTGCAAATATTTTACTTTAAAGCAATATTATGTAAGATTTTTGTTCCAAAACTGTAACTATAAATATTAATTGAAATTTCCAAATCTAGATTGTGATTTTCAATAACTTTCAACATATTGGCATTGCTATTTTGCTTTGCTTTGGCAACTCAGCACCGCATGAGAATAAGTTGTGCCAGAACCGCTGTATTTTTAGGAGGCTCCTAAAAAGAATGTAAACATACAGCGGATTTCATTCAGGTATCTTCAGCAGCTTCCAGCACATTTTTGCAGTGCAACGACGTTGATCTTTTACTCCCCAAATGTCATTACAAAATTATAGTGCAAGAAAATGTGTAAAACAGCAATGTTTAAAATGGTGAAAATCTTACATAATATCACTTAACAGCGCTGCAATTATTCCGTCTTCCACCAGGTGGCAGTCCACGCTCCTGAAGACCGTATCAGCCAGGCATCCTTTGCTCTCGATGTGGCGAAGACCGTTCTAGAATACTATGAAACATTCTTCGGGGTGAAGTACCCCCTGCCTAAAATGGGTAAGATATCCATCAAATCAAGAAACCAAAGGAACTTATCATCAATTTTCAGTTGATCTTGTCAACCTTTGTCAGATGTATGATCCACTCGCTGACTCTCTGGAAGTCGGAAGCGTGATGATGTCAGGAGCGCATCAAAAGTGGCGGGAAGACGGAATCTCCCACCGTCATGGTTCAGAGAGGGTTGATGGGCCTTGATATAAATTGCCTCCTTCACGCCCCTTGCAAAGTAGTCCTTCTCTGTATCCGATATGCATACCTTATCCAGTGTAACTGTGTGGCCCGGGGACTCGATGTGTACATGTTGTGAAACTTAAGACGTAGTAGAACTGGCAGGTACGTACTTATCCTACTAAAATTGGTGGCAGATTCCGTCTTCCCGACACATTTGATGCACTCCTTTCATTCAAATAAGAAACTGAATTGTTGTGGCCATACAGGGAACTCACAAGAAAATTGTCACTCAAGCAACTGTGTAAATTTTCAAAAAATCTTTCCTTGATGTCAAACTATAATCAACTTACAACTGTTTCTTCTAAAACCTGGCATGTTGTTTCTGGCCTGGCAGATCTGGTGGCCATCCCAGACTTCTCGTCGGGCGCGATGGAGAACTGGGGCCTGGTGACGTACCGGGAGACCGCCATCTTGTATGACGCGGACAACTCTTCGGCCGGCGACAAGCAGTGGGTCGCCGTGGTGATCGCTCACGAGTTCGCACATCAGGTGAGGAATTCTTTCATTCATTCATTCATTCATTCATTCATTCATTCATTCATTCATTCATTCATTCACTCACTCACTCACTCACTCACTCACTCACTCACTCATTCATTCATTCATTCACTCACTCACTCACTCATTCACTCATTCATTCATTCACTCATTCATTTACTCATTCATTCACTCACTCATTCACTCATTTATTCATTCATTCATTCATTGTAGAGGGTACAAGGATTCAAGTGTGGAAAGTTCTTGAGCAGTACTTAATATCAAGACTTAATATCTACTTAGCTACGTCCTTTGCCTATAACCTCAACCAATACCTTCGACTGATGATGATGATGATAACAATTCTATCAACCTTACCTACCTGCCTACCTTGTCCCTTGCCCTCCTGGTCGTTGGGGAACAGGGTAGAAGTGAGGATGGACAGCTGTCTCCAGCCCTCTCTGTCTCTTGCAGCAGTCAGTCTTTTGGACAGTGCTAAGGAGTCCTATTACAAGAATTACGCTACACTATTTTCTAGTAGTACATGTATGTGTGTGTGTGTGTAATGCAATATACATGACATGTGGAACAAGCACGTCGGCAGAACGTACTGTGCCTGCGCAGAACCCTGTATTTTCATGGTTTTCGATGGATTATTGGTCAACGTTGCATTAGAATTTTGCCTGTTGCAGAGGATATCTTTTCCGGCATAACATTTGGAAACTGCAGACAGGATGTTTTCCTTATATGTGCGAGTACGACCTTATATGAGACGTTTTGACAAAGTGATGTGCAAAATACATTACTGGTTTCGCGCAGGTGCAGTACGTTCTGCTGACGTGCTTGTGGAACATGGGTTAATATTTTTTATGCTGTTCCCTCCTGCTGCAGTGGTTTGGTAACCTCAGGTCACCATGTGTAGAAGTTACTGATGCCCATGTTGTTTTTGCAGTGGTTTGGTAATCTGGTGACCATGAAGTGGTGGAATGACCTCTGGCTCAACGAGGGCTTCGCCAGCTTTGTCGAGTTCATCGGAGCAGACAAAGTCTCCCCCGAGTGGAAAATGGTACGGTCCATCTAGAGCAACAAGTAGATTCTCTATCATGTACTAGAATGTTAACTTTTTAAAACCAATTTTAACAAGAATTGCCATTGTTTCACAATGAAGGGCCTTAGAAATAACTTAGAATTTAGTGAAATTCATATGTTTCCTTCGTTGTAAAATAAATGGATCTCATAAAATGCCATGGGAATTCCGTAAAATTTGTATGAATTCCATAAAATTTGTATGAATTCCATAAAATTTGTATGAATTCCGTAAAATTTGTATGAATTCCGTAACATTTGTATGAATTCTGTAAAATTTGTATGAATTTCGTAAAATTTGTCTGAATTCCATAAAATTTGTATGAATTCCGTAAAAGTTTGTATGAATTTCGTAAAATTTGTATGAATTCCGTAAAATTTGTATGAATTCCGTAAAATTTGTATGAATTCCGTAAAATCAGTTTGAATTCTTTGGCACCTCTGAAGTTGCTGATGTTGCCCTTCCCAGCTGGACCAGTTTGTTGTGAGTGACCTGCAGACTGCCCTGTCTGCCGACTCCCTCAGTAACTCCCACCCCATCTCTGTCACTGTGCACCGCCCGGAGGAGGTGGAGGAAATCTTCGACAGCATTTCCTACGACAAGGTACGCTTGTGCAGGACAGCTGAAGGTAGCAGAACACAGTTTTTGCACTATGGGGAGTTCTATAGTAAGGAGCCCAAAGTGAGAAGGTTTGATGCTTCAAAATTTATAGTGGGTGCACAAGCAAGCTACAAAAATTTATGTTTGGGTTCAGGGTACAATTAAAAATCATATAACATGTGAAAATCAGCACAAATTTGTTGAAATTAAATTTCATCTGTATTTATTTGTAGTAACATAATTAAAGTTGAAACTTTTGATCCAACACAAAAGGTAAATATTCTCACCTAGAGCTTTCAACCAGTCACTCTGGTCTCCCTCAGAAGACTGACCCCGTGAGACTTCTCTGAAGTGTGACACTAGGTCAAAGGTATCTCATTACTGCAACGGGGCCCAACATCATTGACCAGATACCTTTGAGGCTTTGATCTTTGACGTCACACTTCAAAGAAGCCACGTGACAAGTCTCACTGGGTCAGTCTACTGAGGAAGACCAAAGTGACTGATCGAAAGCTCTATAAGTGATGACAACATTTAACTTTCGTGTTGGAACAAAAGTTTTACCTTTAAATATCAGTTTGGTTGTTTTCACTGTAAACTGTTGACTTTTCAGGGTGCATCGATTCTAAGGATGCTTGAGTCGTTCCTTGGCAGGGAGACGTTCCTACAAGGCCTGACATCTTACCTGAGGGAACACCAGTTTAAGAACGCTGCTACTGACGATCTGTGGAAAGCTCTCGATCAGGTGATCACCATCGTATGTTTTTTATAATCTCCAAGCAGATCTTTTGGTGGCAAGACAGTACCAATTGGCCAGAGGAGTGTCCATTAGCTTCGGTGGCTAATGGACACTTCTCTGGCCAATGGATACTGTCTTGCCACCGAAAGATCTGCTTGGAGAGTATGTTTTTTATAGATACATCGATGTAGTACAAGTCTTAACACTAATCCTGTGTTGTGTCCCCTGTAAAATGGTACGGTCCAAAAAGGGGTCGATTATTGTAATAACCGACCACTTATGAGGTTACAGCGTGATAACCCATGGGAAATGCAGTCTTCTGATCGGTCAACTTCTTCTGGCTGTATGATAATCTGTGTTATGCCATACCTGGGCCGTGATAAAATTTTGGCACATTTCGCATTGAAATGTCTGTTTTCTCGGGTGGGTATGACATAAATAAAATACATCACGGTGTATTCCGCATCACCCTCGGTCCCAGCCCCCCGCAGGTTGGATCTCCCTCTGGCCTATGGGTGATTCGACCCGCGGTCGGGCTCGTACCTCGGGTGATACGGAATACACCGTGTTGTATTCTATATGGAGGACACCGCATTGTTTTCTATGTTTTCCAATAAATGTTTACCAATGTTTTAAGGCAATCCATTTTAATGTGCTATTAGAATAATCTTTATGTTATAGTTTTGGATGGTCTTTTAGGCCACACCAAGTAAATTTTATGGATGACGTCTTTTGGAGACCCTATATCTAATGCGAGAGGGCGAAAAAAAAACAAGAAGGGCCTTAAAAAACAAGATGCCTAGATTAGAAATACTAGTATACTAAGAGACGACAAATGTTAGGACACAAATTGAATGAGGTGACGCAGATTAACAAGCAAGAAGTCTTTTATTCATCATCAAAACAGCAATAAATCAGGTGGAATAGCAGTTGTCGTCCTGTCCTGTTTATGCGTTACGGGTTTCACGTCAATCTAACGATTTGCGGCACGTGACTCTTTGGTCATAGTAACAGGAAGCGGAATTTCTTGTTTTTTTTTTTTTTTCTAGGAACAGGCCAAAATCAATGCGCGCGCGGACGTCATCCATAAAATTTACTTGGTGTGGTCAAGAGATACTTGTATGTTTGCGTACAACCATGGATGTGACCTTTACCCTTTGAACTCCGACCCAGGCTGCCCATGGTGCTGGAAAAAGCAACATCAACATCAAACAGGTGATGGACAGGTGGACCAATCAGATGGGTTATCCCGTTGTCATGGTAACGAGACAGAACAGCCACCTGGTCCTGACGCAGGACCGCTTCCTGCAGATGCCCCCCTCCCCCGCGTGTGGGGGGGTGGTGGAGTTCACCTCCCCTTACAGGTACACCAATACATGTATCTCCAGCGTGTCGGCAGAACGCACTGCACCTGCGCAAAACCAGTAATGTATTGTGCATAGCACTTTGGCAGAATGTCTCATATAAGGTCATATTCGCGCATATAAGGTTAAAACTCTGTCTGTAGTTTCCAAATGTTATGTCTGAAAAAATGTCGTCTGCAACAGGCAAAATTCTCATGCAACGTTGATCAAAAATCCAACGAAAACTGAGAAAAATAGGGGTTTTGCACAGGCACAGTACGTTCTGCCGACGTGCTTGTATCTTCTTACCTGTATCTGGGGTTGGCGGAAAAAAGCAGTCCAGTACGGTTGGTGGAAAAAGCAGTCCAGTCCAATTTGGGGGTGGAAAAAGCAGTACGGTTGTTTCTGCGTGTAGTAGTAGTGCTTTTCCACCAACCCCCTGTATCTGTCTTTGTATTGAAATGCTTTCAGTTAACACTGGGGATACACTTTTATGTGCTGTGGGTTGTGGGTTCAATTCCCAGACTAGTCATACCAAAGACTTTCAAATAATAGTACATACTGCTTCCCTGCTTCGATATGGGGAAGACTTTGGAAGTTTAACACGTTTAACAACTATCCCCCTGCTGTACAATGTAGTTTTATCTGTACATGCATGAGGCCAATATTATTTTACATATCACTATTTAAAATCTATAGATCTTTTGATTTTGATTAATTACGATCTTTTAATTAGCAAGACAATTTACCCCAACTTTTAATTATGAGTAATTATGATCTTTTAATTAGCAGGACAATTTACAGCAGTTCTTACAGTAACCATCCTAACCCCTCCCCTGTAGGTATGAATGGATCATCCCTCTAACATATATCACATCAACCTCCCCCAAGGAACAACAGACTGTGTTCATGGACACCACCCAGAGTAAGTGTATTGAGTTAATTGAGTTAAAACTCTCCTTTAGCTGCTCACCCGAGGGTGACAGCTATTCTTCCAGGAGAGAGTATAACATCATTCTGTGTCCATAATATCACCAGGGTCCATAATATCGCCACCTTGAGAAATAGTGTGCTTAAAGATATTTTTACTGCAACATACCCTAGGTATGTACATTTGATGTGTGAAGGAGTGCATACCAAAAGTATGTTGCAGTAAAATATCTTTAAGCACCCTATTTCTCAAGGTGGCGATATTATGGACTATGGTGATATTATGGACACAGATGTTACACATAAAACATAACAATACATCAACATGTACATATATACTTCAACATTCACAATATATACAAATATACATCAATATACGCAATATATACAAATATACATCAACACAATATAAGTCAACACATCTATGTAGTTACAGTAAAATGTTGAACTTTATTCCAACAAAAAAGATTACACAGAGATCAAATTTTCAACGACCACTGTAGCCTTCATCAGGATAATTAATGACCAATCACTCAAAAATGTAATCTCGTGAGAGTTACAGTTACAGACACATAATCTTTTTCATACGATACTTTACGGATACGTGACATCAGCAATTGTTCTATAGTGCCAGGGAGTTTATATCGTCCACCACCGTCTCTGTTAAATGATTACTTCCAACACAGATGAACTTTCATGAAAACATCTAGTTTTTTTAGCTTGGTTTCCATCTTATTCCTATTTTTGTAGTGCAAATGGCCAAGTGAATTGGCTAGCAGACACAAAATCAAGAGGTCATGAGCATGTCTGCATTTCACAGTCTTAAGATGTGAAAAGACACTTGACACAACTTTCCTTAAACTACACCAAACTGTAAAATGTGTATCTGACTTAGGTTGGGGAGGTAAAAGGTGGTGGAAGGAGAGGGATGTCAAATTATTATAGGCTGGGTACCATCTGGATTTTCACTCCGCAACGCTCAAAAAAATCAATTTTTTCAAGCGTTGCAGAGCGAAAATTTGGATGGTACCCAGGCTAAAATTAGTAGTTTGTAACATCATTTCCAATGTTTTCTTCTTTTGCCACAGCCACACTTTCTCTGGACAACAACTCGCCAGAATGGGTGAAGTTCAACGTCAACCAGACCGGCTTCTATCGAGTCAACTACGACAACCAGAACTGGGACGCTTTTATTCATCAGCTGCAGAACAATCATGAGGTCTGGATATCTTTGTTGTTACACCAAAAAGTTACTCAAGCAAATGGATATGATTTTGGAAACGGTCAGACCATTTCTAAAATATATCCAGTTGCCTGAGTAACTGTTTTTTGGCATATCTTATTACCTCAATGTCTAACATTCATCGACGTATCTTTGTTGTTGTTGCTGTTTTTGCAATGCCTTAGGGACAGATCCCTTTAATATATATTACATGTATGTCAAGATTGGAAAATTGTAGGAATCTTAGCACAAATTAAGTACAAGTTAAAACACTATTATATAATAGATATGGGAAACAATAATCTCTAGCATGTGAAGTCTCAAAAGATGACAGTTATCTACAATAAGAAGTGTTGGGGTCTGTGTTGTATTATCCCAAATTTATAAGTGACTTTTAGTCGTCTTTTAAGTTGTGTCTTTCTCCTTTCTAACCAGGCTCTAAACAGTGCTGACCGAGCAGGCTTGATAGATGACGCTTTCCACTTAAACAGGTCAGTTAACCAAATTTACAGAGGGCTATGACTTCATATTCGTATGCTGGGAAAATGTTTTTTTATCTTTTTAGAGATAAAAATTTCCTCCCACTAAAAAGACAACTAATGCAATTTCAGGGTGGCAAAATAAAAAAAAATATTTTGGATGAGGACTTCAGTTACTTGAGTGTACTTTCTGCAAACTTATGTAGTTTTGAATTGTTTATAGGTTTACTGTAGCTCATTTTTATCAAATATTTGTAATCGCAGTGAGAAAGTTCATGCATAAATAGAAATACCGTGAAATGTTGCATTCTAGTCGTTGATGACTCAACATCTTTTTTTTTCGTTTCCAACACTTTCCCGTTTTGCAGGGCTGGCCTATTTGGGTTGGAAAAGTCCCTGGAACTCGTAAAATACCTGAAGAACGAAAGAGACTATGTTCCCATGGCGACAGCGTTAAGCGGGCTAGGTTACATCACAAAACTACTGGAGACAGAAGACCAAGACCTGTACAACAACATGAAGGTACAGGCGGCCATATTGGTGTCCCTATTCACTCACTCACTCACTGGGTCAACCTTCCCTCGGTTCCAATGATAGCTCACCATCTCTTCCTATCCTTCATTTCTACCATCAGGTTTTTCCTGTCGAGCTGGGTGTTGTCCATTAATTGGTTAATGTAGTTTCTTGCTGGACGACCTTGACTTCTTTTTCCATGTGAGGGCTCCCACAGTAATAACTGGTGTATGATTTCATCCTCTTTCTGTTAGCAGTGTTCGATGAACTTCAACCTTCGTTTTCTTATTGTTTCGCTCACTGTGGGTAGATTGCATATCATTAAATCATAGCTCAAGCATCTTTGGACATCTAAATGTTTTCTGACTGTGTCCATATTAACCACTATTGGATGACTATAGCTCAAAGAAGCTTCATTTCATCCTAGAGTGGAACTTGCTGCCACCAAGTACAGTAGGAACATCATCACTTAGCTTTAAACAATGTTTACAGTTTTTTAGATGTGCAAAGGTTTGGTGTAACAGGTCATATGGTGTAATATAGCCAGCTGCCACTAGCTATGTGCCTACAATGCCAGTGTGTCACAGCAAAGGGTAATGAAGAGAACACGGAAAAGTTGGTACTTTTTGCGACAAAAAGCAGTTTCTCAAGCAAGGGGTAGTCTCCCTTTCCCCCTAAACCTGCATTTCTCCTCTGGTCTCTCAGTCACTGACAAAAGCTAGTGGATACTAGCTGAAACGTCTGACCGTTTCCAAAATCATGTCCAGTTGCTTGAGTAGTAACTGCTTTTTGGCGTATCTTATTACCTGGATGTCTAACCTTCATTGATGCTTCAGTTTTGTGCTTTACCTGACTCCATGTTCTGTTTTGCAGTTGTTTGTACTGGAACTCCTGGAGGATACCATTGGGGAGGTGGGCTGGGAGGACCAAGGAGACCAGCTGACAAAGTAGGGAACTTCTTCTTATAATTAATTATCTACTTCAAGACTTCTTGATAAAGTTTCCTTCAGTAATTTGCATCTGTATCTGTATCTATATAGCCGGTATAACAGCCCTTCGGCGTAACACACCAGCTTTGCAGACACGTGGTGTGGTGGCAGCTGGCTAAATTACACTGAATGACTTGTTACACCTAACCCTTGCATAGAGAGTTGACCTGATGTACATGTACATGTACATGTACTTGGTACCCTCAAGTTAGCATATGGTGGTCGCAAATGATAGCATGATCACTCAGATAATATGGGTCCACCTATTTACTGGAATACACCAGAATACACATGAAGGAGAGCAAAATCTACTGGAATACACCCTGTTCTGCTCCTGGACTGGACAGGTTTTTCCGCCAACCCCTCTTCATGGCTACCCTGGAGGGGTAAATGTTTGGTTACATAAGGCCACACCGACTAGTGCTCGCGGGCGAATAAAAAAAAATTCCAGCCAAAAATAAAAATGCTGCTAAACCACAGGAATACAAAGCTAGTATTGTGAATTTGCGGTAAGTATACATAGTGACGTATATTACAACCCGACACATGCTGGCTTTTTGCGGAATTTATGAGTCGGCACTGTACGTATGTACTGAGTTCTTGAGTCATGGAGCTTCGGAAGCCTGGGTTCCGTCCTCCAGAGTTACCACCGGCTCTGTATTGTCGCTAACTACCATGGACTACCCAGGCCTAGAGCCAGGCCAGAGCCTTGGTAGACATGATTCTTTTTTCTTTTTTTGAGAACAGGCGAAAATCAATGCGCACGTGGATGTCATCCATAAAATTAAGTCGGTGTGGTCAAACGTCGGCACCTTAAAGAACTGAAAGTCTTTTGTCTGCTGCAGTTCTGGAGAATGTCAATCATGGGTTAATAATGTGTCAGGCCAAGTGGAAAAAATGTCCCGACCGACCCTAGAAAAAACTGCTAACCCTAGCTTTTTTGTGTGTCTGGACCCCTGCAATGGACATAAATTTTTCGAGCTAATCAACCTTTTCTAGCTCCATGATCTGACACCTGAGTGATGGAACGTTTTTCCTACATTGATTGAGATTGAAAAAATATAAATGTTCCCATGCAAGTTTTACTTAGTTAAACAGTATTGTATAAGTTGGATCACTAGAGATCGCCGAAGTCTATAAAAAAAGATCCCTACCTACTGACACTAATTTTTTTCAGGACTGGAACATTTCTTCTAGGCCTCAGGGGCATTGAATTATGTGCAAAAGGGAGAATTTTGGAAAAATGAGAATCGTAAAATGGCAATATTGGACCATCACACTAGATACTTATGCTGCCATTTGGATATTATTTCTGTGCCCTATCATGCCCTTATTGCTCACAGTCCATTTGTCAGGGACAATTAACACCCCTTTTTTATCAAAGAAAAATTATTCTGCTCCAATAATTCTGTTCAGTTAACTCTGACAGTGTACTTTGGGCAATGAACGCCCCTTTTTTTATCAAACAAAAATTATTCTGCTCCAATAATTCTGTCCAGTTAACTGTGCCAGTCTGTCTAGGGCAATAAGCGCCCCTTTTTTATCAAACAAAAATTATTCTGCTCTGTCCAGTTAACTGTGTCAGTATACTTTGGGCATTGAACGCCCCTTTTGTGTAAAAAATTATATTGCTCCAGATACGTTGGTGAAGGTTAGACATCCAGGTAATAAGATACGACAAAAAACAGTTTTTGAAAAACTTGACAACCCTTTTCTAATTTTTCCAGTCAATTTTTTTTGAAAGTGAAAACTGGATAATTTTTGTTTGACAAAAAAGGGGCGTTACAGAATGCCACAGTTAAATGGACAGTGAGCAAGTAGGGCAACAGCACAAGTGCTCTAAATAACATACCTGTCTGAAAACTGAGGAGAAAAATAATCCAGACCTTCATGATTATTGTTTGACAAAAAAAGAGGCGTGTTTAGTCCCAGACTGCCACTGGGAACAGTTTTAACTGGACAATAAGCAAAAGGGCAACCAAAGGACATATAACGATGTCCAAACCATTATCATATAATAGTTATATTACAATACATGACTTCCAGTTTTTCCATCAAATTTTTTTTAAATGTCACATTCATACACCTAGTAAAAGTTGACAGAAGATGAAATGTGGAAAGGTTGAACCCTGGTAAAACCCTGAGTATCTAAACGCCTGAGCTCAGTAAAGAACGAGAAATAGGTATGACACTTATTGACCAAGGATTGAGGTGTTCAAAAACTTGTTTTTCCTTTCTTTAGAACTAGATCATAGAGTGGAACTTGCAGGCATCAAGTATAGCTCCTCATCACTTACTAGATAGCTTTAAACAACTTTACAGCTAGAGTTGCAAAGATTAGGTGTAACAGTGGGAAGTCCGAGAGGACATACGTGCGCGCTGGTGACATGCTGCCACTGCTGCCAAGCAGGCCCCAGGAAAAATGAATGGACTCTAACTTGTACTTTGGACATTTATTCATGACTGTTATTAGGAATGAACCATTTGTTTTTTGGTTTTGCGCAAGTCATAGTCTTATGAGACTGACTGACATATATAGTGTACTATAGCGAGCTGCTGCCACACTGCATGCCTGTGAAGCTGGTGTATTATACGAACGGCCGGCTATTCTGGCTATATAGATGTAACAAGATAGAATCGATCTCACCTTGACTCGGTTGGGTTCTTGGCTTGCAACTGTTGAAGTATCTGAATCCTAGCCTGGCTATCTAGGCGTGCACGCTCTAAGTAACAAGTACATGACTCGAACGTCTCTCAACACGTCTGAACTCAACTCTGAATGGCGCGAACAGAACATCCGGGGCCTTGAACTTTGACCCCTAAAAACCTGATTACTGTCAGATACATAATACATACAAAGTACAACACGGTGTATTCCGTATCGCCCGAGGTACCAGCCGGACCGCAAGTCGGATCAACCAACGGCCGAAACTAAAAGTGTAACGGCGTCAATTCCAACATCTGAATTTGGTACATGCTTGATGTTTGTGCGTGCAAAACACATCAAATTATTCTATGGAACATCTGGAGGCCTTAGTCTGTGTTACACAAGCTCTCGGCCGGAGGTTAATGACCCCCATCCCAAGAGCTTGTGGCAGGATAGCTGTAAGCCGCGTGGACCGGGGGTGGGGGGGTGGTAGGGCGGCAACTTCGGAGCGGCCTGCCGCCAGGAGCGCGTTTAGTCAGGCTACTGGAAGCCTGTGTGATAACAAAAGAGACTCCTGGGCCATACCGCTAGTTATCACACTGGCCGGAACACCCGTATCGAACGTTATTGCAGCCCAGGCATGACTTTATTAAAGAGCAGTTATGTGAAAGAGAGTGTATCTTCCAGGTTTCTTCGGAGCACAGTTCTGGGAGCAGCCTGTGACTACGGCCACGAGCAGTCGACTCAGCAGGCTCACACTCTGTTTGCTAACTGGATGAAGGGAACTCAGTAAGTATTCTAGAGAGACAAATATAATATTATTACAGTAACTATAATATTAGACAAACTGTTGTATTCTAGAGAGACAAATATATATTATTACTATATTAGCCAAACAGTTGTATTATAGAGAGACAAATATATATTATTACTATATTAGCCAAACAGTTGTATTATAGAGAGACAAATATATATTATTACTATATTAGCCAAACAGTTGTATTATAGAGAGACAAATATATATTATTACTATATTAGCCAAACAGTTGTATTCTAGAGAGACAAATATATATTATTACTATATTAGCCAAACAGTTAATTGTTGGGTACAGTCTATGCATGGGTATCAGGCTTTCACGTTAAGAGTTCTTCTTCTTCTTTGGATACTGCACAACACCCCTAAATTGGGGTAACGCGTGCTCCTAAATTGGGGTAACGCGTGCAGGGGAGCTGTGCGATGCGTTGTTGCTGCGTCCTCAGGTGTTGTAGTACTGCAGCGTTGAACTTCGTGGGTTCTGCAGTATCTGTTATTTCTTGAGGCAAAGTGTTCCAGTCTCTGACAGTTTGTGGAAAATATGAATAGTTGAAAGAGGTATGATGGCCCTCCCCACTGAATAAATGCTGTCACTGCAAAGGAGATGTCCAATCTCTTTTCTGTAGTGTATTCATCCCTCTTAATTCTGTGTTTACAATTATTAAATTATATTCCAAGCTTTGGAATTCCCTCCCTGACAAGTGTTTCCCACCAACCTACAATCTACAGGCTTTCAAATTAAACGTTCACCACCATCTCTTGACATAGCCATGTTTCTCTCATATTTCTAGTTCAATGCCGAGAAGTGGTCGTATAGGCCTTGCATTGAACCACTCCGTTAAATAAAAAATTCTTTCATATCTTCAGTATCGGTCAAAGATGAAGATCTTCAGAATGTATCCATTCATTTGGCCTCAGGCTCCCTATACAAGTTCTTCAGGAGGGAAGGAGCTTTGCCAAATCCACCTTAGGCCACACCAATTTATTTTGTTGCTTCTCGGATCGGCCTGTCCATTTTTTTCTGATTTGCAAAAAATTTTTTATCTTTTTGTTCTAAATTAACTGCAAAATGCTCAGTGAAAGACATATTTTGGCCTCAAACAGTTGAAGAAAGTCCTTTTCTTCCTTAACTTCCTTTTTCAATGCAATTTTGTTTGATTAAAAGTTCAAAGTCTATTGTTTCAATTATAAACCAGCCTGGTATGTTGACTTCATGGCTCATATTGTAACATTTCCGGCCAACATGGGGTGCCTTGGCCGTTTTTTTTTTGTGTGTTTTTTTTCGCCCTGTCGCTTCATATTTTTTCTGAAAAAAACAAGAAACAACAAATTAAATTGGTGTCGCCTAAACACCCTCCACTCATCCCTTAACTCACTCACTCATTCACTCACTCATTTCTTTCTTGGTTGAGGTAGTCTGCTCACAGAGTGATGCAACAACAGAGTCGTTGGCATTAGATTTTTAATTAGTTTAGTAGTCTGTATACTGTTGTCTGATAACTTACTGTGTAATTAAGCTAATTTGCTGTGGTGCTAAAAACAATTACATATGTTTGTTGATAAACAGTTGATTGAAATCGAAGTTTAAGATATTCTACAAAGATTATAAAGTATTTACAGCTGCCTTAGATATCAATTCTTTCATAATTGCTTGAAGCTTAAAAGTGCATTGTCTAACATTAGGACAATACAAAAAATTTTCTGGTCATTTTAACTTGTTTACTTTTCGAGCACAAAGCCATTAAATCTAATCTCCAATCAGATTTTTCAGTGTCAGCAAAAGACAGTATCAAATTGGCCAGACAGTATCCATCGGCTAATGGACACTTCTCTGTTCAATGTATACTTTCTTGCCATTGTATGATCTGCTAGGGGATAAGTTTGAATTGCAATTAAAAGCCATGTAAAAGACGTACAACATGTGGTTAAAAATGCAAATTCCATGTAAAACTGTGAACACTAATAAGCTGCAATCTTGTGTGACTACATTATATCTATAACATATCACCACACACGATTACGCAAACATCTACACACATTTAACACAAGAAATGAGCACGGTAATTAATTGAGACGTGCAAAGCTTTTGCACGCGTTATAATCATGAAGTTTCAATTGAATTTTGCACAACTTTTCATTACGATTGGCACACATGTACATGTAGATGGGAACTTATCCGTATATCCTTCATTGTTGCTTGCTGATTGGCTTGTATGGTGATCCAATAGGAATGTGGCTGCTAACCTGAAGACTGTAGTATACACCAGTGGTGTTCAGCATGGTGGTGAGGAAGAGTGGAACTTCTGTTGGCAGCAGTACACCTCTGCCACAGTGGCCGCAGAGAAGAGGAAACTACTGTACGCACTCGCCAACACCAGGGACAACAAGCTAGTCACGAAGTAAGGACTGTTTCTTGTTTCTTTGTCCACTACCAGATATAGATTGAGATGGAAAGATGGGGGCCTGCAAGGGGGGTCCTGACGACTCTCTACGCTGAATTCGGAAACTTCTCGATTACGCTTTACGATAAATTCCAAGTGGCCACAACGCATTACATGGAATTAAAACGGCGATTACGCTCTACGCAAAATGCGCCAAAGGCGCTCTACGTTGAATTAGAGTGGTCCGTCTACGCTCTACGTAGAATTAAAACGGCCGATTACGCTCTACGGAAAAGGGCTTGCGGGCCCCCAAAGATGCTGCTCTATCTATACACTGTCAGTCAAACCTGCCCAAGCCGGCCACCCAGGGGACCGAAGAAAAGTCAGGTCACCTTGGACAGGTGGTCTCCTTGAAGAGGGTTGCCTCACAACATTACTCAGAGGCATAAATGGTTTCCAAGTTGAGATTTTTTAATGTCAAATGCTGTATTACCTGTAAACATCTTCAGTTCTGTGGTGAATGCATGTGGGGAGGGTGGTACAAGGAACAATTTACGTTGAACAAAAAACATTGTCCAGCAGTCGAGGCAAACTGGCATTACTACATCATGTAATCCAACACTACAGGGTCTGCTACAGCACTAGTTAGGCCACACCAAGTAAATTTTATGGATGACGTCCTTTGGAGACCCTAAATCTAATGCGAGAGGGCGAAAAAAACAAGAAGGGCCCTAAAAAACAAGATGCCTAGATTAGAAATATACTAAGAGACGACAAATGTAAGGACACAGATTGAGTGAGGTGACACAGTCTAACAAACAAGAAGTCTTTTATTCATCATCAAAACAGCAAAAAATCAGGTGGAACAGCAGTTCTCGTCCTGTCCTGTTTTCGCGTTACGGGTATCACGTCAATCTAACGATTTGCGGCACTGTCGTGACTCTTTGGTCATAGTTACAGGAAGCGGAATTTCTTGTTTTTTTTTTGAGGAACAGACCAAAATTAATGCGCGCGCGGACGTCATCCATAAAATTTACTTGGTGTGGCCTTATAGTGACAGCCATCTGGTTCAGGTCATTGACCTTATGCATCTGGAAAAGAAGTTAGAAGAAACTGAGCAAAAACAAGATGTTTTACTTCTATGAAGGTAAACATATAATAAAATAAATAGTTTTTAAAATGTGATGGTAACATCCATCCTACAAGAAGTGTGATCTAGCTTAAGCTCAATGGAGTGTTTTTGGGTTCAATAACCTTAACAAGAACAACACAGACAACTCCCAATAACTTACCTGTCAACAGTTACTGCAGGTCAATTGCTCTGGTGATGCTGTGAAATGAGCACATAATTGTTGGCAGGCAGTTTGTTTATGGAGGGGTGTGGCAAAATTATTAGTCCATTGGCCAGAGGGAGGGAAGGATAGAGAGAGAGAGAGAGAGAGGGAGAAAGGGAGGGAGAAAGAAAAAAAGAAAGTAACCAATAGAGAATTGGCAGACAAACAGCTTATCTTTAACATGCTGTAAGTTAAGATATCTTCATGTTTTTATTGCAGACTGCTGCGTTACACTTTGGACAGTACCAAGATCAGGTCTCAGGACACAGTCAGGACTATCACCTACGTTTCCCGAACTGCGGTGGGATACCAACTGGCCTGGAACTTTGTCAAAAGCAACTGGCAAACCTTCCTAGATAGGTGAGGAGTTTCTTGTATTAATGGTTATAACTACATGGAGTCAATGGACCTATACCATTATTACGTCACAGTTTGTTTACCTAAAGAACATTCTATAACGGTCAGTTAAAGAATAGAGATCATTTCAAAGTTTTCAAAGTCAGGTATGTTTGATTTTTGCTGCGTCTAGTCTTGTTGACACAGCATAACATGCCGTAATGGGTGATTTAGTTGTGACATTAGACGAAAGTAGTACTGTATAAAGGCCTTATATTAAGTCTAACGCTACACAAACACACACCGCGCTACACACCCCTGTACAATATAATCGTCGATTGACCAGCATTCATTGCGGTAAACAAACTGTGACGTAATAATGGTATAGGTCCATTGCTGTATAGTAAACTAATGTAAATCGTTTTAGAATTTAGGGATTTAATTTTGCAGTAGGTGTACTAGTGGAAAGGATAGTTTGGGTGCCATGCTTGGTAGATAACTGTAAACTAATTTAAGTGCCACCCAAGCTATGGAAAGGCAGTTTTTCCTGTAAGTTTGTGGTCGAAACAAAAAACAGGAAGACAGAACATTTTTTGCCATGTAAAAACTGTAAACATAACACTGCCACAACTATTTCAATATTAACCATATCAACAGTTACTGTAACGGTGTGTGGAAAAACTGTGCCAGGTACAGAATGTTGACTTGCGACTTAACTGCTGTTGTTGTACATGTAGGTATGGAAGTGGTTCGTTCAACATGGCGGAACTGGCAAAGATACCGGCACATCGGTTCTCAACACGCAGACAACTGGAGGAGGTATGGGGGCTTTTCTTGTTACTGGTATATTATAGCACGTCGGCAGAACGCACTGCACCTGCGCGAAACCCGTAATGTATTGTACATAACACTTCGGCAGAATGTCTCATATAAGGTTGTATTCGCTCATATAAGGTTAGCATTTCAACAGTAGTTTCCAAATGGTGTGTTGGAAAAGATATCTTCTGCAACAGTCCAAATTCTGATGCAACGTTGACCAAAACTCCAACGAAAAACACGAAAATCCAGAGTTCTGTGCAGGCGCAGTACGTTCTGCCGACGTGCTGTATATTATATAGTTGAATGTCAACTACCCGACTTGCATTCTACTGGAAATGTAAAGAGTCGCATCATTTTGGCCTTGATGGAGATTCTTAACTGACTCAACAAAAGTACAGAGACTTTCGTATGGTCGTCTCATCATCATCAGTTGACCGTATTGGTCGGGGTCGAGCTGACAGACCCTTTCGTTAGCTTAATACAAGATGGGGTTCGCCACGCCTCCGTCCGGGTGATGATGTAATCACCATGTGGCTGATACGGAACAGAGGTTCGCCAGGCCTCCATTCAGGTGATTTGAAGTGAATCACCAGCTGGTGTGTTACGCCGAAAGGCGGTTATACCGGCTATACAGATACAGATACAGATACCAACTCCATACAGTAGTGTTTGTACCATCGCACACCAGGGCATGCCCCTACTCTTTTTCGAAAGGTATGGTGGGTTCTTTAACGTGCGTGGGGTGTGGCTCTCCCCAAAGACGGGACCTCCATTTAACGTCCTATCCGAGGGATAGGATCGTCTACAACTAAAAATGTAGCAAAGCTATAATACACGTATGAATAATGTCACAGAGTATACATGTATGTATGCGGCAAACTACGTACAGAATATATGGTAACAATAAAGGTTTAACTATTCTCTAACATGTAGTCTCTTAAGATTTAAGCATCTTTTAATCTAATTCCTTTTTTGAACACTGTACTGGTTATCTCCCCTGATAAAGTAATTGGGTTTATCTAGAGGATCTGATGTTTTGAAAGCAGGAAAAAAATAGCCCTAAGGATCCGAAGAGGGGTATAATTTGTGCAGCCTCTTTAACCCCACACTCAAACCATCTGTTCTAACTACAGAGCAGTGTTCTAGCCAGGTTTCAATCTGTCTTTACGACAATTGACAAAATTTTGCTGGTCATAGTAGACAAAATTTTGCCCTACGTGTAAATGGGTTTATCTATAGTATCTGATGTTTTGAAATCAGTTGAACAAGCAGGAAAAAAAATAGCCCTAAGGATCCGAAGAGGGGTATAATTTGTACCGCCTCTTTAGAGAGCAGTGTTCTAGCCAGGTCTCAGTCTCTCTTTCCACCATTTGACAAAATTTTACCAGTCATGGCAGACAAAATTTTGCCCTACATGTCGTGTAAAGATATTGAAACTTAGCCTACCTGCAAAATTTGTCCCTCAAAATACAGGAAATATCACACACACACACCCAAAGTGCCCCCCCCCCTAAAGTGCCCCAACAGGGGGCTATATGGGGGTGCAGCCGAGGCTCGTACAACATCTTAGAGCCCCGGCAAAGATGAAGATGAAGATCATTTCAGAGAGTCAAGATTTAAAAGCTTTGGACCCTCCTAGGATCACGCCTTCAGTGTTTAACACGATGTTTCGTCTATTTTGTATTTAGCCTCTTTTTGAGAGATCTTTTCTCCTCACCCATGGCCATTACTGATGAAATCATTGTGGTTCCAGTGTATCAGGCCAAAATGTACCCCAGGCCAAATATAACCGGGTCCCTTTTGACCAGGGGTACATTCTGGTCAGTTACACCAGGCACTCAGTATCATGATATGTTTCGTTGGAAAATTCATATCTGAATCACTACAAAAGCGACCATATTGTAGATAACTGATATATCTCCTGAATTACAGAATGTAATATTACTCTTCTTAAGAAAATACAATAGATTAGCTTGAGTATCATTAGGAACTAGTTCATTAGAATTGTATTTTACTATTTTAGTTCATGTATGTAGCCTTGTTGTTTCTTTGCCATACATTGTACATTGTACCAGTTACAGTTGTTGAGCAATAAAGTTGATCTTGATCTTGATACAGTACTGCGTAACACCCCTCGGTTGGGGTCAAACACAAGGGGGGGTGAGCGCGCAGCGCTCTAAATACTCTTCAAATGTAGCAGAACTGCTTCCTTAAACTTGTTGGCCTCTGGTATTTCTGGTAAGGCCTGCGGAATAAGCTCGTTCCAGTCTCTTACAGTCCGTGGGAAATACGAGTACCTATAGCAGTCCTTGTGGAATGCTAGAGTCTTGTAGGAACTCGGGTTTGCGTGCCGCGATTTGCGTGGTGCGGACAAGAGCTGAGTTGCAACCGGTAAGGTTATTTTATGTTGTCTAGCTTTGTGTAAGATAGGTAATCTACTGGCTGTCCTTCTGTTATGTAATTAAGTTGATTTGATTTGATATGTTTCCTCAGGTGAAATCGTTCTTCCAGAGTCATGATATCAGCGCGGCAGCCCGTGCCGCTAGACAGACCATCGAAACCATCCAATCCAACATCTTCTGGCTGGAGAAGAACAAGGACAAGGTCAAGACGTGGATCAAGAACTACTTCATGCCCCCCGAAGGAGGGAAAGCGAGAAGTTCTGAAATCTGAATATCACAAATTCAGAGAATTCGTGATGTAAATAATCATGGAAAATATAATTGCTATACGTCTGCTTGTCTGAATTGGTGGACAAGACTAAACTAAGAGTTTATTTTATTGACTTGGAAAAAGTGGCCTCACCGAGTTGTTTGTTTTTCTGCACTTTTGGGGTATGGCCCCACGGGACTCCCGGGTTCTGCACCTGCAGATGATTCTTTTTGGGAATGCCAGGCCCCCATTTTTTTTTCGACTAGGAGTTAAAGTCAACCTGGGTTCCGGCACAACAAAAAAAAAAACATGTAAATTATGATAGAATTGACAGCTCCTCTCCGGCGGGCCACCATCCAGTTTTTTTTCATCACTTATCAGCCCTGCAAATAAGGACATTTTCCAGGTGACCACCTGAACACCCCAGGACCTCTAATGTGCTTTATAATTATGACTGTGACAGCCCGGGGCTACAGTCTGTATGTGAGCTGAGCATCATGCCCGTAGCCAGGGGGGTGTTCGGGGGTTCCGGAAGAACCCCCCCACAAGGCTAGCCGGCTCAAAGGTCCACTTTTTGGTCCACTTTTTATGTTAAGGTCCAAGATTTTTCTTGAAAAGATGGACTGCAATCGTAGAAAAACTGCTCCCTTTGTCATTGAATAAAAATTTATCTCTGAGCGCCTGCGGCACTCGAGGTCCCCTCAAGCAGTGGGAACAACCTCCCATTCAAAATCCTGGCTATGGGCATGAGCATTATATATATTACAAGGTGGTGGGCTATATTTTCAAAATACATTGTACAATTGTGTGAGTGTAAAAGATATTATATCATACCTGGGCCAAGGTAATGTTTGATACGGGTGTTCCGGCCCGTGTGATAACTAGCGGTACAGCACGGGTTCTATTTGGCTATCTACCTACCTAGCTACCTACCTAGTCCCATGACCGACACTGGTCGTCGGGGGGACAAGGCAGACTTTGCAGCAGAAGTGTAGCCAGGTCTTCCTATTTGGTTACTACACACTAAAATGTTCAAAAGAATAATGCAAAATGTATTTTGCTTGAGCCATGTGCGCCGCTTTCAAAATTTAGATAACGGATTCGGACGTTGGAGTTCATGAACATGTAGTTTCATTTTTTTGTGTAGGGACACCAAATTTTGCATTGAAAGGTGTGTTTTATCAGGTGGGTATGACATTATTTTGTAAATAACACAACATTGGAGGATGTAGTAGCCCAAATAGCTGTTAACAACGATTATGATCTGTAACCGAGCTTTGAAAAAATATCAATTTACTGGATTGTTAAATTCCACTGCAGTAGAATTGATCACTTTTAGTGGTGAACTCTGTGGCAGTCAACAATTCATAGCCTGGCATCCAGTCTGATTCGTGGTCGGGGCCGAAAGAGCTCAGACCCGCCCGCCTCACATAGGTTTCCCGGTGTGTATTTCACGAGAGATTGAAACCAAATCCCCAAGCATACTGTCTCTTATCAGTGTAACACTCCTACCGGGACGGCCTGTTGCACTGGGCGGGGGAAGCTATTAGAGCCCCCGAAGGCACAACCTGCCTGAACACCCCAACACCCCAAATCACGTAAGACTGGGTACCAGGCTAACAATCCACTGCCTTTGCTTTTTTTTGGTGACGATGGTGCTTGTAATAAAGCTGTGTTTGTTGCATGGATTTTCTACGAAAGATATAAAATATCTATCTAGAGTCTTACAACGATAAAGGTTAGACATTAGGTAAGGCCACACCAAGTAAATTTTATGGATGACGTCCTTTGGAGACCCTAAATCCAATGCGAGAGGGCGAAAAAAAAACAAGTAGGGCCCTAAAAAACAAGATTCCTAGATTAGAAATATACTAAGAGAGGACATATGTTAGGACACAAATTGAATAAGGTGACACAGTGTAACAAGCAAGAAGTCTTTTATTCATCATCAAAACAGCAATAAATCAGGTGGAACAGTGGACAGTGAAAACAGGATGGTATCGGACACTTTCTTCGCGTTACGGGTTTCACGTCAATCTGACGATTTGCAGCACTGTCGTGACTCTTTGGTCATAGTTACAGTCTTGTTTTTTTTCTAGGAACAAGCCAAAATCAATGTGCGCGCGGACGTCATCCATAAAATTTACTTGGTGTGGCCTAATGAGATACACAAGAAAACTGCTGCTCAAGCAACTGGATAGATTTTGAAAACTGTCAGACACTTCAAGTAGTATCCGCTACTTTTCGTCAGTCATTATTACTTTTCTTGTGCATTCACAGTCTTATGGAGCTGATGTAGACATTGTGAAAAAAATAAAATGTTGAACTTTTTTGTGGCTTTCTTGATTTATTCATTGTGGATTCTCTATTTACCTCCTTGAATTTTTCCACCAAATCGATGGATTTTTTTCCAGTCACAATGAAATTCTGTACATTGAAAGAAAGTGAGGATATATGTCCACGGTGAATAGGAATTGGCTGTACACTGTACCGATACAGCGCACCAGATGGAGGATGGCCTGTATGGGGGGGGGGGGTGATTACGAATTACGCAATTATTTTCGTCGCCGATTACAAATTACGTTAAATTCTCATAGCTGACAACGACTTTGCGGCAAATGTACCATTACGAATTACGTTGATTTTTGGGGAGGTTGCCTACGGATTACGAAGACTAAAAAGGCCTGATTACGCCTTACGAAAAAGGGCATGCAGGCCCCCATTGAGGGACCTAGTCCGCGGCCTATGCCGAAAGATGGGCAGCAGGCCTAAATAAGTAATGTACTTGTGGGCTTTCGTACGTACCGTGCCATACGGGTACTGGTCTTTCTACCTGATCCCACGCCCACCCCCTAGGTTAAACGGTGATTGGTGCATGTGTGTTCTAGTGTTAGTGCCAGTTGTCTACAGCTCGGAGCATTCTGGGCATTCTCGCATAAACGCCCGGACAGACAAGGAGTGACTCCTTCTCCACTCTGCTCTTCACAGTTCTACGCCAAAAGTAAGTTTTTTTTATTCTCCAATTTCTTTACCGTATTGTTTGACGCTTTTAGACTGATGCCAGAGTAAGTAACTTTTAGTAACTTTTTCCTGGGGCAAAAATGCTGTTTTACACCTGTTGGAGCGTTTTAATTGACGTTTGATTGGTCTACTCACTGTGAGTGGAGTAAAAACTATTTGTTTTGTTTGAACGTTCCTGGCTGCAAGCTTAGTAATTTATCTATTCGCACATGTCGGTAAAGAACATGAATAAGAAGTATGAAACTATTAAAAGGTTAGATTTTTTCGTACACTCCAAGGCCCCAAGCAGAGGTTTGGGGCGTATTTTGGCGTGTTTTATGCTTTTGTAGCAGGCTTTCTTTTTTACCCTGGTATCATTTTTGATTTGATTTGATTTATTGAAATTGCAACAGTGCAATACACGCGGAACAGAGGCAGCTGTTGCTGGTATTGTGTCCCGCACATAGATACGAATACTGGACAGACAATACTCATTTTCACTTGAGTCTAGTGGGGAAAGTCGTGTGGCACCGAGGGCACAAGATCGGTGGCATATCGGGCAACCCGGGACCTCTTGATTCCGAGTCGCGCACGCTGCCGTTGCGCCACACGACCCCACGATCATTTTTGCGCCAGTCCAACGTATTTTTGGCTTTTTTATCGGGGTCTTTTTTTGCACTAGAATTTTTTACGCCAACCCGCCCCGGGTGAGTGTCGGCAGAGATTGAAAAAATTCCAGTGCAAAAAATTAGCCCCGATAAAAACAAAAACACGCCCAAAATGAGCCAAAACCCAAACCTCTGCTTGGAGAGTACCTCCGCGGCATAACTCGCGTCGCTTCCCGGAACAAAATTAACGCCGTCGCCCACAAGTCTTCGAAGTAGGCTCAGTTACGTAACTTGGCTCGATTCCCTCCTCTCAATTCGACCCGATTCTCCAAGGCCAAAACAGTTGTCTGCCAAATCTTGGGAAACAAAAACACGTCGGACCAGGATGGAAACTCAATCACAACTAACTTTATTCAACATGTAACCTGCCGGTTCTAGCTAGAGCCCCTTCCTTCCCATTCGAACATAGATACTACATCACTATAACTTCAAAAATATGACAGTTGATGTTCAGTGTATGATTGTTGGGAATTTTTCGATGGACTGAATTCATACATAGTGTATACCGTGTATGTTGTAAGGTAGTGAGTGCGATTCAGCGGACCGGTATTTTGTTTGTTTGTTTGTTTGTTTGTTTGTTTGTTTGTTTGTTTGTTTGTTTGTTCGTTTGTTTGTTTTGTTAACCTGTTTCTTCAAACACGACGCAGTCCACGCACGCGTTAGAACAGGTGGCCGCCCACGGCAAGAATTCAACACTATATATCACCTTGTTACAATGGGTAGAAAAAAAATCCGGTTAAAACGCCTAAAAGTGGGCGGGAATCTTGCGTTTTGTTTTTTGAATACTAGTATCTGAACAGTTTGGTGATAGAAACCACCTAAACTCCAGGGAAGTGTGTGTGTGTCCATGGAGCATATACATTGTACTAGTAGTTATATATAATTATAAAAGAACCTGATAGGCCCTGATACCAAATGAAGCGTGATGATGCTACCGAGTTCTATGGATACTCCATTCATATGGTCAACGTATGCAAAGTTCGTCATACTTTTCCTCGGGGTACCCACTAGCCTGGGTGCCATCCTCCGTAGTTTCCGCCCGCTCCCTAATGTCGCTGGCTGCCACAACATTATAGCCTGGTTGCCAGACCCACAGCACACTAGGCGCAAAGTTTTTTCTGCACACAGGATAACTTTGAGCCTAGTGTGCTCTGGGTCTTAGCCTCTACCAGGCTTGAGGGCGCGACTGGAAATAGTAGAAATTGGCCAAATAGAGAGATAACACGCCGAGGGAGTTTTGCCATCCCCTTGAGGGGCCGACAAACTGTAAACTGGATGGCTAAACTCCCTCGGCGTGTTATCTCTCTATTTGGCCAATTTCTACTATTTCCAGCCGCGCCCTCAAGCCTGGTAGAGGCTATGTGGGTCTGGCAACCAGGCTACCACATTAGGGAGGGGGCGGGGCCTACGGAGGATGGCACCCAGGCTAGTTGCCCACTGGGCACTAAACCAAAAAGATAGGTCGATGGCCCCATTCCTTTTAAATTGTCCGGATCGAGCCGAATTGTTTCGCTTTGATCCGGCTAGATCCGGAAATTTAGTTTTACCCTTGTGGGGAAAGGGCCTTTGGGCCCGGCCGGGCGGGCAGTAGGAGAGGCGTGAGTCGGGGGTAGCCTCTACCAGGCTTCAGGAGGCGGCTGGAAGAGTGGTAATCATGAAATTGGCCAAATAGAGTGTGATATAACATGCCGGGGGAGTTGGTCCTCTAGAGAATACAGTTTGCCGACCCGAAGCATGTCGTGGGTCGCTATTATTATTCCAACAAAAAAACTATCTCAGTTCCAGTGTCGCGCCCATGTGTAGGGAGTTGCGCCCATGTGTGTTTATATATTTTAACATTACATCTAGGGAAGACGGTGCGGCAAACTGTAGTCTCTAGTGGACCAACTCTCCCGGCATGTTTTCTCTCTCCGTTTGGCCAATGTCTACTCTTACTAACCGCCTCCCTGAAGCCTGGTCGAGACTAGGGGCGGGTATCACTCGCCTGCACGCGTGTAACCTAGAGGCCGGGTGCCGCCTCAAGGGTTAAATGTATAATTATATTAACAGTGTATATTCAAATGGCTATACTGGTACTCATGCGTATTAACAGGGCCACCGTCCGACAAGCCATTTGCACAAATAACTTTTTCTCCGGATCAGCCACGAGGCAGCAGCGAACTTTAACAAAGAAGGTTATTTTAGCCTTTCCTCACTCCAAAATCATATATACAGGGGCCCCAAATTTCGGTCACTTCTTCCTGAGCACATAAGCTATTTAACACATCAAAGCCGCGCCCATGTGCAGTCCAAAATATATTTTAAAAAGTTATGCTGCTAGGAAGTCTAAAATATAATCGTTTCGAGGTCTCATCACCTAATATGAAGAAAATCCATCCAAGCCTTGCTGAGTTATTGTGTTCTCTTTCCCCTCTCTCTCCCTCTCTCTCTCTCTCACACACACACGCGCGCTCACACTGTGACGCACAAATTATAACTTTCAGTTGCTAATCATTGCACTCTGTTCGAACACGGAAGTTTGAAGTTGAGTAGTCCGAAATAAGGGTGCCTGTATGTACTAATAGAGTGTAATGATTAGTTTGTGTGTCACAGTGTGAGCGCACGCGTGTGTGTGTGTGAGAGAGAGAGAGGGGGAGAGGGTGGAGAGAACACAATAACTCAGCAAGGCTTGGATGGATTTTAACACCGGTACCTAATCTCCAAGCAGATCCCTCTTGGTGGCAAAAAGACAGTATCAAATTGGCCAGGCAGTATCCATTAGCCAGAGAAGCTCCGCGGCCACCGACGGGTGAGGGTCAGGACAAAAAAACGGCCATATATTAAAAGGTAACGATCATTCCCCACAACCTCTGCTTGGAGAGTAACCGGTACCCTCAGCCCGACGGGCTGTCATATCTGTAATAAACGCGGGTCGGGATTTTTCACTCTTCTGGTTGAAAGGGGTGTCATGCCGCTTATCAATACACTTTGTTGATATTTTCTGCGCCCCGGGGCCCATTTACTAGTATATAATATAGGGGTAAAGTACATTTTTAAGTAAGGGGTCCTTTTTTTCGTCAGTTTTCACACATGGCTGCATGGAAAAAACGGATTTTCTCAGGGTAACGGCTTACTACTCAAAGAAGCTCAGTACCAAATGTTTCCGATATTAAAATCTAATTGAAATCGATACTATCTTCACTGCGCACTTTACTTAGATTTAAACTCCGACCCGGAACCTTCCCGGAACCGGAGTTTAAATCTAAGTAAGTGCGCAGTAAATCGCCGAAACGTGACTTTGTTTGGTACGTTTTGGTATTCTAAATAGCTGTGTACATATCTGTCTGTTTTCTGAAAAGCCTGTTAATTGTAGCTTTTAGGAAAATTTTGAAAAATGAACCTTCTGAACTGGCATTTCATGCGTTTTTGAGAGGATTTCAGAGAAAAAATCAGAGATAACTTTTTATTCAAATGACAAAGTAGGCAGTTTTTTAATACGACTCCAGACCCGCTCATGATACGAATCAGTCCATCTTTAAAAGAGAAATCTTAAGACCTCTCAAACCTTTAGATAAAAAAAAAAAGTGGACCAAAAAGTGGACCTTTGAGCCTTGTGGGGGGTCTTCCGAACCCCCCTGGCTACGGGCATGGGATACTTGTACTAATATCCTGTTTTATACTTTACAGTTCCAGGATCACCATGGCCCGTGAAATAGTCTTTGACTACGACTATCTGGTTCGTCTGGAAGAGTCTTCCAGGAAGCTGGAGTCCGACTCAAAACAGCGACTGGAGCTGCTACTGAAGGCCCAGAGGGAGGTGGACACCTACCTGGAACAGCTGAATATGGACCATCCCACTGGATGGGCGATACCACCTCAGGAGGAGCAGGTATCGGTAAGTCTGGACAGGGTTTTTATTTTTGGCTAAAACTACCTGTGCACGAGAGATTATGTAAATATTGTACAATGAATGCAGTGGAAAATGAAATACATTTTGTTAGTCAGTGTCCTCACTATGAGACCGAAAGAAACAGATTACTAGTATTTCAGACAGTTACAAAAATTTCTCCATCCTTTCGTCATTTAGGCCATTTAGAAGATCACCAAAAAACTGCATTTCTACTAAGATCACAAAACCCACTAATTATGCAGAATGTGGGACTATTCATTATCCACTGCCTTCAAAGAAGAAGTCGAACCCCATAATAGCTAGCATAGTTGTAGAAGTAGAAGTTTTTTCCAGACAGTTGTTACCTGTCTCCTGTTACTGTATTGCAATTAGTATTATACTTGATTGTAAAAGCAATTAGCCTACGGGCATGATTTTGCAAACAAAGTTTCATTTCTTTTTGGCAACGCCGCAGGGGCGGAGCCGTTGGTATAGTAATGCGATTGAGTTGAAAATATTCTAAGAATTCCACGAATGCATTCCCTAGGGAATCAAATTTTGTCAACAAGATAACTCAAGAATGGCTGGATGGATTGGTTTCATACTTGGTGGGTCCGTAGGGTGTGACTAAATCTAGACATGGTGAGATTTATTTTTGGCTCCCTAGTTGCTTCCCTTGGTACTGCAGCGGAACTTCTGATCTTGATATGATACTTACATCTTCTGGTGCTATGATTAAAACTGAAATGTTGCTAGAGCTTTAATATCTATGTGCTCACTACACTTCTCGGATATAAAGTTAATTTTTTCCTTTTCTCTCTCACGCTATGATTAGGTGCAGGCGGGTCCGGACCAGGTACGTTAACAAATCCTATATAAACTAGAAAAGTAACATTTGCAAAGCAAATGCATAATGTTTACCTTCGGATATGGTCTGCTCTGTTAATTCTTACTCAAACACATTCACATACATGTATAAGGTGACAGGAGTCTAAATGCCTACAATGAAATTGCCACATTGTGTGTGTGTCACATTGTGTAACCCAAAACCAGTTACTATGGTGACAGACGTAAACAAAAGAGGCCATTGGCCAGGTCAGAGGTTAGTGTTTGGAGAAGAAGAAATGGAAATGGAGCAAAAACAATATGTTTTCCTTCGGTAAACATAATAATTAAATGTTGTTATAAATTATAATAATTTGATTCGAGTTGATAATACGTTGTACCACTTTTTATTATATCTTGCATGCTTTGACTGAACATAAATTGTAGTTGTGGTGCTTTCAAGTGCAATAACTTTTAATATATTTCTTGTGTAATTATATCTTTTAACCTTTAGCAATATATTGTGTAAGTCTATGATAATGTATGTATCATCACCATAATTCAGTCTTAGGACTGCAAGTGTGATATATGTGAGTGAAATGTCAAATAAACCATTCATATACAGGCGGGTCCGGACCAGGCACAGTCGGGTCTGAACAAGGGACAGGGGCCGCTTCCCATACAGGAGAATGCCGTCAGCATAGGTAAGCTACTGTAGTCTTCGGAAGCTGAATAGATTCAGGTGTTAAACCTTAGCCATATAGGTTGTGTTTCCTTACCTTAGGCCTTCCTTTGACTTAATTCAGTGATGTATCGTTTGACTTTCTTGGCGTGTTTCTGTTTCCCCCAGCATTTGTGTTTCTCTCTCTCTCTCTGTGTGTGTGTGTGTGTTTGTGTGTGTGTGTGTGTGTGTGTGTGTGTGTGTGTGTGTGTGTGTGTGAGTGTGTGTCCGTGTGTATGTGTGTGTGTGTGGCTGGTTGGCTGGCTGGTTGGCTGGCTGGTTGGTTGGTTGGCCTGTCGGTCGTTCGTTCGTTCGGTCGGTCGGTCAAAGACCTCCTGTTAAAGATATCTTCCCCCCACAGACGTAGCTTTGCGTGACTTCAGCCGTATCGGTGAGGAGATGGAGCGGGAAGGTCACCCCGGTCACATGGCGATGGTTCCCGGTAACTCCACCGCCCCGGCCGCCGTCGGAGACTTCTTAGCGGCCTCCTTCAACCCGTACCCACGTAAGATCGGCGCAAGATTCGTGCCTTACTAGTAGACGAGCTACGGGCGAGCTACGCGCGAGCTGGAAACGAGCTCTGCGACCTCAAAAATCGCCGGCGACTAGTCGCTGATGTTAAGAACACGTTTCGCGTGTCAGCGAGCTTTGGCCGACTCCAAAAAATCGCCGGCGATCCCGAAAATTCGCGCGATGCTCGACGGAACATCGGGCGTACTTCGGCCGTAAATGTCGTTTAGAGCTCGCCAACTAGTCGGCCGATCGATTGACGCGCAATGTGACGGTCCCTTTAAGGCCGTTGTTAAAATGTATCACTAACGGGTATTATATAACTACAGTTAGTTTGAAAAGTGTTATAGTAAAAATTTATGAAATGTGAAATCTTATTTACAATCCAGAATTGGGCTATCATTTGAAACTAGCTGGAGCGGAATGATTTTTGATTGACAGAGGGCCTTACTATTGTCCCATAAAAAAGTCATGTCAAGGCCTATTTAAACAATGAACATATGAAATGTGCCAACTTCGGGACTACTGCTAGGTCAATGATTGAGTTACTGGGTTCCTACGGTCACTGACCTATAAGGTAGAAGATGCTACCTGAAACCAAGTCTTTGCTGAAACGTAAGGCAGTTTTCAAAATCTATCACTACGTAGCAGGTATATAAATGCAACAGTGAACTTCATGGAAAAAAATGAAAATAATGTAACATACTGTAGTAATATTACTACAGTAAAAAGTTGAAAAGGGGTTTTGTATAAAAAAATGACGAAAATGTGAAACTTTGTAGACATGACAGAACTGTGCAATAACTGGAGCGGAAGGATTTTTGATTGACGGAAAGAGGGCGCAAATTGTCCCAGAAGACAGTAGCTTATATAAAAATGTATTGTTCATTGTTTATTGTTCATTGTTATATAAGTGTGTACTAGCCTGGGATTATTGATGCTGTGTAAATAAGATTAACCAAAGTTTCACTCAAAGCGATTTCCGGAAAGTAAAACATGACTTTCCTGTGATTTTTTAAAAATTAGTAAGTCGAATCTATAGCTAACCTATCCCATAGTAAACTGAGGAAAAAATACAATGTTGCTGACGGAAAACGGTGGCCTGTTTCGTATCAAGGGCTTGCCCTAGCTATGTTTGGTGGTACCCAAATAAAGAATATATAATTTATTTTTGGGCTATTTCAAATGCTTCAAGTATGAAATGATATTTTGCCCCCTGAAACTGCATTGGGTGCATTGAAACGGTAACCAATGCAACTCCAGAACGGTATAATATTCTGGATGAGGAAATCTGATAGTGACATTTACTGTGATTTCTTAGCACATTTTCGTCATCGTTTCACACTCCATGTTCTCCCATGTTCAACGTGAATGGTATTTCACACATAATCCTAATTTGCATAGACCTAATTTGCATAAATGGGACGTTAACATACTCCCGCTATTCCCCTTCCGATTCTGTGGACCACGTCGCCTCCTGCTGGAGGGCGGTGAAAATGCAGCAGCAGATCGTGCAGTGGGATTTCACACATAATCCTAATTTGCATAGACCTAATTTGCATAAATGGGACGTTAACATGCTCCCGATATTCCCCTCCCGATTCTGTAGACCACGTCGCCTCCTGCTGGAGGGCGGTGAAAATGCAGCAGCAGATCGTGCAGTGGGCGGGCCAGCTGTTCGGCTACCCGCGCACGTGCGCCGGGAATCTGACGTCAGGCGGGACCGTGGCGACCATGGTTGCCATGGCAACGGCTAGAGACACCAAAGTGCCCCAAAGTAAAGACTATAGCAGGTAATGTGACTGAAACCTGAGGCTACAACCACAGGTGGACTAAAATGATCTAAAAATCTTCAATTAGCAGACTTTTTCTTTTAATTATAAGCGTTTTGCAATTAACTGGCTTCCACTGTATCTGTTATTTCTTGACTCAACAAAAACGTAGAACGCTTTATCATGTTTACCGACGGAAAACATATTGTTTTTGCTTTGTTTCTTCTTCTTTTACTTACTTCTCCAAACAAATGAGGTCAATGACCTGAACCAGGCGTCTGTCACCATGCCCATGGTAACTGGTGTTGGGTTACATCATGTTGCAATTTTATAGCAGGAGGGATTTAGACTCCTGTCTGACCATGTTGAGTGAGAATTAAACGAGTGGTTGTGAATGAAGTTTAACTTTGTGATTCAATCCTTCACCATTAATTTTTTTAAATTTTTCACCCTTCTGAATTCCCTTGCTTTGTTTTTCTCCACCAGTAAGAATCACAGTACCTAAATGCTACCTTGTACATGCAGTTCTGATAACTATTGCTAGGTGGCGCTGTGAGACTGTGCCTAAATGTTTATTTTTTCCTTACCAACACAGGAGTGTGTTGTATATCAGTGAGTTGACACACGACGGTGTGGCCAAATGTCTGAACACCCTTGGGATGCGGGAGGCCGTGGTCAGGAAGGTGCCTGTGGATGACCAGTACGGCATGGACGTAAACATTCTGCGCAAATTCATCCAAGATGACTTGAAGGTTTGAATCCGGCTTGGCTACTTGGTGGGGGATTGGATTGAAAGGTGAAATGGTGAGATGTGTAAGGTGAATAGCCAGAGTGATGACTCATAGCACACACCATATTGTTTTTGCTCTGTTTCTTCTTCTTCTTCCGTTCCAAACAAATAAGGTCAATGACCTGAACCAGACGTCTGTCGCCATGGTAATTAATGTTGGCGGGTACATCATGCTGCAATTTTATAGCAAGAGGGATTTAGACTCCTGTCACCATGTATATGAATGTGTTTGATTTAAAGAGCAGACCATATGTGAAGGTAATAAACCTTATGCATTTCCTTTGCAAATGTTACATTTCTATAGCCTCCGTAGCAGGCTTATAGAACTGGGGGTATTGTGGTCTTCGGCTGTTTTCTGATTAGCCCAGTTCTGAAAACGAGGGTAATTCAACCAGGCCAGCTATGTTTATTTGCAATCAGAAAATAGCACATAAAAGCTCCCAAAGGCCATGAAGACCCTCTAAACCCCCAGTTTTTGGCATGATATGGTGGCTAATGTTTCTAGTTCTCTCTTTAATTTCTTCCCCCATTTCTCTTCCTCCCAGGACGACCTCCTCCCGTTCCTTGTGGTGGCGACTGTAGGGACTACAGACGCGGGCTCCGCGGATCCCGTCCCTGCGGTTCGAGCCGTGGCTACTCAGTACAACATGTGGCTGCATGTGGACGCCTGCTATGGAGGCTTCTTCGCCCTCTGTAACTCCGCCAGACACCTGTTTGAAGGGGTGGAGACAGCTGATTCCATCTCTGTGGACCCTCACAAGGGTACTTCATTCGTTCATTCATTTATTCATCTATCCATCTATTTTTTCCTTCCTTCCTTCCTTCCTTCCTTCCTTCCTTCCTTCCTTCCTTCCTTCATTCCTTCCTTCCTTCATTCATTCCTTCCTCCCTCATTCATTCATTCATTCATTCATTCATCTATCCATCCATTTCTTCCATCCTTCATTCCTTTCTTCATTAATTCACCCATTCCTTCATCCATCCATCCATTCCTTCCTTACTTCATTCATTCATCAATCCTTTCAGTCATCCCTTCTTTCCTCCATTCTTAGCTTACTTCCTTCCCTACTTCTTTCCTTCCTTCCTTCCTGCCCATATCCATTCGTTTCTTTCTTCATTCATTCACACAGTTGACAATGATTGCATGCCTTATCAACAGGTTTGTACGCGCCATTTGGAACTGGCCTGGTCCTGGTGCGAGACGGTATCTTACTGCGGAAGTCAAACACCCGCAAACACGGGAACTACATGCAGCACCAGAACAACAACCCAGAGGACTGGAACCCAGAGGATCTCACCTTTGAGCAGAGCTCACACTTCAGGTAAGCATTGCTGCAGCTATATATACTATTTGCATACTCGGGACAACTCACTTATAGATAATGGTGAGTTGTCCACAGTATGCAAATAAGCTATGTGCGATCATATATTTGCATACATTGCTTAATTTAGATGACCTTGCGTTAAAAGTGCCTCTTGCAGATTATTGCTCAACTACAGAATTACATGTGCTATGAATATGACAAAATCAACTCCTTGCAAGCATCTGTCTGGCTTATATCCAGATCCTAGGAGACATTTCAAAGCACAAAATCATTCTATACTTAATGTGTTAGAAATAGCTACGTGAGGGGTCCCTTTATTCCTTGGTACCACCAATAAATAGCTAGAACCACCCTAGAACCACAAAACAGGCAACGTTTTACGTCAGTGTCAATCACAGATATCGATATGATGAGGGTTAGGGTTGATTCAACTTTAATACTACATAAAAAATGGCCGGCCAGAAATTTGACTTTGAAAACCCAGTTTTACTGCCCTTAAATTGCTTAAGGTACCTTGAAAAGTTTAATACCTGGTATGATAAATGTTTTGTCTGTGTGTTGATTGCGGCGGTTTGTTCTGTGCACAGAGCCCCGAGGATCTGGCTGCCTCTTCAGGTGTTCGGAGTCTCGACTTTCCGAGATGCGCTCCAGGAGAAACTTGAACTGGCCAAGTACCTGTACCTCCGACTCAAATGTAAGAATCTCTTCTCAGTTTTCACTCATTCTGAAGGTAATGTGTAATGGGTGTAATTTCGATGCATTCTGCTAGAGGGCGCAGCTGCCTGGATGCCCTATTTTTTGTAATGGGGGGATCTGAGTAAGCTGACATGCTAGCCAGCCCAGCCAGGTAGACAGGCAAGATGGCCAGGCTGATCAGGCACCCAGGCTTTTCCATAAACCCTCTGTAGGTACTAAAAGTACCATTACCCATCACTGGCAACTATTTGATTTTTACTTCTGGGTAAGGAAGTACATGTATTGTATATTTTTTTGGTAAGTTTGTAATTAATAAAAGTATTGGTTATTCAAATTTTTAGATAATTGTTAAAATTGTAATAAATTTTTAGATAATTATTAAAAATTTTATTTCTAAATTTATGACAACACAAAACACTGTAATTCCTGATTTTTTCACTGTACTTTTATATTCACTGTTTTCACTGTCACCTCTGTACAGTGAATTTATCATTACAGTTAACAAGTAATTCCTGAACTTTCTTATTCCTGCACCTGTCGCCACCGTGAACATATAGTTCCGTGAACATGTCCATTTTTCTCAGACCGTGAACTTTTGCTACCGTGAACATAATGAGAAATTTTCCATTCAGTCTGAAATCTTTTATTTCTCGTTCTACCTGGACAGGTCAGCCGCGTCTCTACGTGGTGAAGCCGGTGCTGTCCATTGTGCTGTTCCGTCTCGCTGCCATGACGGACAGCGCAAACCACGCTCTCCTGAAGAAGATCACGGCCGACGGACGCTTCTTCATCACCATAACCACGGTGAAGGGTGTCCAGTACCTGCGCGCCTGTATCTTCTGCTTCAGGTATTCATGCGTTATTTTTATTATGTATATATATATGTACCTAATTAATCAGAATGATATAGGTTAAGTTTTTATGATTGTTCTTGTACTTCATATTGTATTGAAATTATGTGCCCTTTGTGTTTTTACCTTCGCCAAGAAGGTTATGTTTTCAGTAGCGTTTGTCTGTGTGTGTGTGGGTTTGTGTGTGTGTGGTTTAGCAAGATAACTCGAGAAGCGGTGGATGGATTGGAATGAAACTTGGTAGGTGGGTAGGTCTTCATGAGACCTAGAAGTGATTAGATTTTGGGCCCCCTGGTGGCTTTCCTAGGTACTGCAGCAGAACTTCCGGTTTTGATATCTCGTGATCTGGACATGCTAGGGTCACGAATTTTGGATGGCAGATAGCTCTTGGGATAGGGAAGAAGTGACATGAGTTTGGGTCCCCTAGCGGCTTGTTCTGGAACTGCAGGAGCATTTGTTGAAAATTTTTCGAAGGAGGATAATTCAAGAACCGGTTGACGGATTGTCGTGATTTTTGGTATGTAGGTAGTTGAAGTGATGCTTGACATGATCAGATGACAATTATGCAAATCAGGAGCTAATTTGCATAATTAATGAGGAAATTCTATAAATCTGCTTTGTTTGATAATAGACCTATGAAACACTTGTGACATTTGTGAGAACGAGAAAAAACATCTGAGGATATAGATTATGTAAATGAGGACCTAATTTGCATAATAAATGTCAAATTTTTATAATTTCATAGTTGTAACTGCTGGGAATTTCATACTTGCCACATTTGGAAGTTAAGTGAAGGTGAACATCAACAAACATAATTTATTCAATCATGGCCTCATTTGCATAATTTATGAGGAAGTGCTATAATAGCATTTTTGTTAAGATAAGGCTGTCATTGGGTGTAGAATATGATCAACTGATATAATCCATGCAAATGGGGTTCTTATTTACAAAATCAATGATTAAAATTGTATAATTTGTCAACCACAAGGGTTAACATCATTTGGCGAAGGTATGAGATCGTGGAACTCTTGTTTCCTTATATGTTGACTCTCTAATATCAGCTTTGCTGCCTTGAGAGTCAGTGTAATGTCTAAGTGTTACATGTTTCAATAAATAAATCTTCTGCTTCAGGACCCACCGTCAGGACATGGATGTCTTCATCAACAAAGTGATGAATGCCGTGGCTGAGATGGGCCTACCTGAGGACGAGTTTTGCCATGCAGGGTGAAGCCTGGCGTGGATTCGCGTGCCCCTGTTTTAATATTATAAGGCCACACCAATTTAATTTCTTGGTTAACGGATTTTTCTAGAAAAATAATGGAGCGGGCGGGCGAAAAAAAAAAAAATAAAAACAGGCTTAGGCATCCTACTTTGGCCCAAAATGGTACGATAGGAGCCATGAAGTCAACACACTAGGCTGGTTCAAAATTTAAACAATGAATTTTGAACTTTTAATGATACCACTGCATTGAAAGATGGAATGACTGTTACAAGGATTAAGAAAATGACTGTTTTCAACTGTTCAGGGCAAAATATAAGCATTTTGCAGTTGATTCTGAATTTTTATTTTTATTTGCAAATCAGAAAAAAATGAAGCGGCGAATCCGTTAACCAAGAAATTGAATTGGTGTGGCCTAAAGGCATCCAGTACAGTTTTTAGGGCTTGGAAACCTGAATTTTCAAAGTCAATATTCTAGTCATTTATCTACATACAGAGTTAAAACCACACTATCCCAATGTGTATTGACCCTCTTGGAACAAAAATACCCAAAATTCTGACTAAATTCGGTCACTGGAAGGGCCCTGGGCCCTGATTTTTAGGGTACCACCCATAAAATAAAGGACTCATCTTGGGGCTTGTTTCTGCAGTTTTAGATGTCTTAAGTATGAAATACTGATTGAAATGTGCTTATGTGTGGCAGTATGTGTCAATATCATGAAGATTGCCCTATTCAGAATATTTCCAGTTTTGCTGCTCTGAAATTGCATTGGATGTCTTAAAGTCAGGGAGGGCCTGCATGGGGGTTGGGTGGGTGTAGTGATTACAGATCATGCAAAATTTTCGCTGCCGATTACAAGTTGCGTTTAATTCTCAGAGCTGATTACCTGTTATGGCTTGTGTACTGATTTATGAATTAAGGTGATTTTGGGCGGCTGCCTGCAGAGTATGAAGACTAAAGTAAAAAGGCCTGATTACGCCTGATGAAAAAAATTTCTTGTTTTCTTCCCCAAAACAGGCAAGATTTAATGCGTGCAGGTGTGATCCGTAAAAATTACTTGCAGTGGCCTTAGACCTGTCAGACTACTCAGCAGGCAGAGGTTTTGGTTGGGGTAAATTTTTTTCACTCACAGGTACAGGCTGCTTGGAGAAGGATGAAATGTATTCTTTATGGAATAAGTTACTAAGAATCTTAGCTATTTAACCCAACATTTATCCCTTGGCTTACATACATCCACCACTTTGAAAAACATTGCCGTTTGAGAGATTGCTAGGGCAGAACCACCAAGCTGTGTTACTCTTGCATTTAGCGCCATCTACCGATTTCTTTCAGCATTGCATGATAATAAAGTACAGACATCTACATGTACTCTAAGTTCGGATGAAACCAAGGATATCATATATAACTGTGAGTTTATATTATATATAAAAGTTATAAATATATTAGCAGGGGAATGTGGTGCATTTGCTTGCGATTGTTCTATTACGTTTTAGTGATAACTTAGGTTCATCTTGTTATATGTGATAAAGTATAATAAGTGTTGCCTAAAGTTTTTTTTTCAAAATGTGGAAAATAAAATTGATCAATCGTCTGAAACGCGTTCTGGATACTTTCCTTCAGACTTTACCAGTCGGTGGTGAGCTAGCAGCCTCTACCAGGCTTCAGAAGCGGCTGGAAAGAGTAGAATTGGCCAAATAGACAAATAACATGCCTGGGGGTTAGTCTAGTCTAGCCTGCTCCGCTAGAGAGTACATTTTGCGCCTCCCGAAGCCTAGTAGAGGCTAGAGTCAGTCAACCTCCTTGGGTTAGTCTGCTAGTACATATTGCAGTCCCTACGCCTGCCTCCGAAACCTGGTAGAGGCTATTGAGATTGGTCGGCTCGGGATCATAATATATCATCTTTTTTTTTAAACTATTGAGGTTCGATCAGACTTCCTTGGTGAAACTATGGAAAATGGGGGCAATCACACAGACACACACACGCACGAATACATACACACAGAGTGACACTATTTTTCCAGGATCGTCCAGCGATCCGCGGTGCCTGGTAGAGGCTACTATTAAACCTCTGCTAGTAGCTATTGAACTGGTCAGTCAGTGGACGTGGGTGCGTCACACGGCGGGTCCTACAACAAAAGAAATCCCCCCAGCTCTGTTCTTCAGTCTTTTGTGCTTGTGATTTTCTGGTGGCGATGACTATGAATCGTTCTGCTTATGGTAATTCAATTATCCTCGGAGGCTTCGTTTCGCCCGAGGTCACACGAACAAAGCCGAAGCTACGCGGATTTTAGCGGCAGAAACTCAAAACGAACGAACCGTAACCCAATCCACCTGCCTAGCCTCCATAGCATGCCAAAAACTGTGGGTTTTGAGGGTCTTCGGGGTCTTTGGGATCTTTTGATGTGCTATTTTCTGATTGCATATAGACAACATAGCCGGCCTGTTTGAATTACCCCTGTTTTTACTGGGCTAATAAGAATAGGCCACCAAACCGCCAGTTCTATAAGCCTGCTACGGAGGCTACCACCTGCCAAACCACCATATCATAAAAATAGCGTTAAAACAGCCCATGGTTATTCATTGCGCTAAAACTAGTAGTAAAATGCACTTCATAAAATTGACATTTGCACATCAATTTCTGTTATAATTGAATTTTGAACGTTTCTTTATTGGGGAGTCATTTTCATGAATAAAATTGCAAGCAAGAAGCAAGACCCACCTTACGTCACACCTCATTTAGGGGGTTAAGAATTTTTAACCCCCTTGCCCTTGTTAAATGGGGTAACAACTTCATATTCGTGAGTGAATTTATGATAAAATTACTAGTAGATAAGCGACATTGAGAAAAGGGTTACCCTATACGTTGCAGTATTTTCTTTGTATTTGCAAGGTGGTTGTGAAATTTGTTTTAAATTATTTGGAAAGACCATCGGTATGTTTTCGTCTTTCCGAAACAGAAGCCAAGCATCAGACAACTTGTTTTGTGATTTTGAAACAATGGATAAAATTCAAACGCGCTAAAAAAAATGTGTGTCTGCATACGTGTGAATTGAAACATACGTTCTCCATCAAACCGGTTGTGGAATTTTCCTTTCACTGGGCCAATAATATGGTTTTAGTTAAGAGAGTTTAAATTTTCAAATGAAGAAAAAGCCAACTGAAAGAAGTAAGATACAAATAAAATGTATGTAATTTTAGTACATCGACATATGGCACTTTTGTATGGATGAAACAAAAAAGTTTTTGCGACATCACGGAAGTGACATAAAAAGATCTATATTTTAACTTTGCAACGATGTAAACATTTTAGTCGATTCCACGTTTACATTAATAAATACAAAATCTTTGTAAGCTTTAGAAATTTAGGGCTTTACAAACGCAAAGCAAACAAATGTGGTTTCGCGAAGCCAAAGTTTCTTGTCCACTTTTTTGCTAGTCTCCACCAGACTTCTTTTGCAGGTTAAATAAATCGTAGAAATCGGCCTAAAAGGGGATGTAATAATTGGCCAACTGGACCCTCTATGGCCGGCAAACTCCTCTGGCCGAGTATTGTCCCTTTGTAGGCCTATTTCTACGATTTTTTCAGCCTGCAAAAGAAGTTTGGTGGAGGCTACTAAAATATTTTTTTGCCTAACTTGTCGATTTCCTCTGTGGAAGTCCCCCTGGTGACGTCACGAAAGTGGGCGGAGCCAAGCAGACCGGCAGCCTCGCTCTGAACCAGCGGTAAACCAAACCTTCAGAAGCATCACATCGTCGGTCGGAGACCCGAGATTTTCTCCCGTTTTTCTTTCCCCTAAAAACTTCGGTTTGGGAATCGAACCCAGGACTTTGCGTGGAGTACTCTAGACGTGAAGATGCGAGCGGCGGAGGCGTGGGTTTTGTACGGGGCACTGTTGCTACGGCTAGGCTCTGCGATCGGTGTTATCCTACCAGATGTCTACTGGAATATGTCAAACAACATGTGAGTACTTCTCTCGGAAAATTCTTCTCTATATTTTCTTTAATCTGCATATATCTGTGGCTTCGCTTAGAACTTGAAAGAGTGCAGGACTCGGGCGTTATTTGTTGTGAAAGGCGCTTGTAACATGGGTGAACGCGCTTGTCAAAGAGAATTATTTTTCAGGCTGTCTTCGCGTAAAAGGCAATGACAAGGGGTCACTCTGGCATTATAAAATAAAAGTCCGCAGCTGAAACTTTTCTTCTAGTTTTTAATAAAAGAAAAGTGAGAGTCTAGTGGATGATTTTGGGTGTTAGTTTTGGTGTAGCTGTGTGAAGTGTGTAATTTGCGAGCTCGCACGGTAGCGTGGCGTTTGTCGGCGGCCGGTCGGGAGTTGTTCCGGGGCTGTGAGGTTTGCGGCCCGCCCCGACAGGAGGCCCGCTCCCTGCGGTGCAGACGGCGCCGGGCCCGGACAAACCTTCTCCCCCAGACGGGTCTACCCCCTAGCCTCCATAGCATGCCAAAAACTGGGGGTTTTGGGGGTCTTCATGGTCTTTGGGAGCTTTTATATGCTATTTTCTGATTGCATATAGACAAATAGCCGGCCTGGTTGAATTACCCCCGTTTTTTAGAAGTGGGCTAATCAGAAAACAGCCGAAAACCACCAAACCCCATACCAGTTCTATAAGCCTGCTACGGAGGCTACCTACCCTCCGCCTGTCTCGCTAGATCTGGTTTCAATCGAGAAAAAATTAACCCACCGAATAGATCTCTAACCTCAGATCCCAATTTGATAATCCCGAGTTCCGTGCCAGGCCCCAGAAGTAAGAATAATTTAGGTCTAATTTTGCCACCCCAGTGGGAAATTAAAAATCTCTTGCGCAAACCATAGCAAACTTCACAGCAGGGCGCCGCATAACAACACTTCTGCAATTTTCTAATAAAAAAAAACTTTTTTTCATGATGAAAAATGTTGAAAGACGCCCCAAGTTTAAAGGTATTGGAAATGGTCTTTGGATATGACCTATTGATTTACTTGAAACAATTATATTTTCACTTTCTCATCTACAAATACTTGAAAAAAAGAAGAAGAAAAGATAAACAAGATTCAAACCCCCTGTCCTAGAACCAACTCCCTATGCTTACAAATTTTATCTGAGAGAGTAGAAATATATTTACCTTGATACCTTGATACCGTCTTCGGGATGAGAGGTTCAGTGTTATACTTTATGCTCTCCCAGTATTTGTCTAAATAGTGATATTTGCAACGGCAAATTTCACTAACTAGAAAGCAAATTTTGTATCATATATACAATACAGTATACCTCCCAAAGGCAAAAGATGCAATTATTTCAAGTTGGTGTGTGGTGTATTTGGGATTCAGTGTTCCCCTAAAGTTCATACTCTAGCATGTCTAGCAAGGCTTGTAAACCTGCTATAATAATCTTGTCAGAAATGTATTATCTGCATTTCAATTTTAGGTGATTGTCAATTTCCAACTACAGCAATCTAGAAGTGAAATTTATGAACTAGCCATTTGGCTACGAATTCTCTTGTGGTGACAGTTTTAGGCAGCAGGGAGAAGGTTAGAGAAGTTTACACTGTAAATTTCAGCATGTACTGTCCAGATGATGGTCTCTGAGTGTAAACTCTTGTCCTAAACACACTCCAGACTCTGACCACGGAATTCTTACCTTCAGTACTGTAAACATAGGGCTTTAGCAAACCTTAACTGGAGTGTGGAGACCTGTATTGGTAGCCTGAAGCAAGGAATGTAGAGTATGTCACGGCATGGGTAGTATCCAACATCACTTGGCAATCTGTGCTCCCGTTGTGTATAGGTGATCCTAGTTCAGAGCGAATGCTTTCAGCAGTTGCTATTATTTTTCTTCAGTAAAAAGAAACAAGTTGTGTTAATGTTTTGTGGTAGACGCATGATGATCACCTGGCAACAGGTGGACTGGTTATGGGGTCTTGTTTAACCCTCGTTCAGCTAACTTCTAATGAAACAAGTTGTTTTAATATGGTTAACTTAAACATACACATGGGTCTGGGAGTGGGAGATAGTAAAAGATTTTTGCTCATTTCTGCTTTGTTTAGAACACTGGAAAGAAGTCAGTCATGTCTGCTAAGAAAAATGGCTCAGAAAATGTTTGGTGTTTGAGACTTGTAATTAACGGATGTATTTGTGATATTTTTCTTGGCAAAGTCCTAACGACATTGGTTGATTGTGGACATGTACTTGGTATTGGCAAAGTACACAAATCCCCATGTTCACTGGTAGACAAGTAAACCTCACACGTCCTTACAAAGTTTACATTCGATTTTACGCCCCAGTAATCTTTGCTAGGCTTTGAGCCTTTCTTATTGGAGTTGGGGAAAATATATAGAAGTATAAAAATTACAGTTTTACATTCAAAATTTGAACTCACTGGATGTTATGTTTACATCTCTAATTTGTTTGGTATTGTACTTAGTCTGCTTGAATTGTTAAGACAACAACATTAAATCTTAAAAGGATGTCTTTAACCCTAATCGTTTCCCCATTCCTACCAATATTTACGGAATAAACCCCACCAGCATTGTATGAAAATATCCCTTCTGTTTTAAAAGCTGTTTTCAGGGTAAAAAGCAAGCGTATGTACCGCAGCAGAGGTGTGTTTCGCCAACACGTTCCGTTTGAATAACTTCTCTTCTCCCCACTGACATCTGATACAAGCCGGTACGTCCTGTAGTACCATTGTACAAACCTCCATGTTGATATCCTATCTAGGTCCAATTGTCCTGTCCCATTCAATGACCTCCTTGAGACACAAAGGTCCAAGTCTCAGGTTGTTTACAAGATTTCTTTTCCCCAAGGAAAAACACAGCCAGAGAAAAGGAAACACAGTGTAGTCATTTGCCCCTCGCTTTCTTCTTAACTGTTTGGATAGCCTTTGAACAAGCTTGATAGTTTTTGCAAGGGATAGAACAACTTTCCTTTTAAATACCCAGTGAAGAAAGCTGCTTGGTATAACAGTTATGTCAGAAACGGACTTAGAAAGGCTTGTTCAGTTGTTGAAAACAAGGAAACTTGATTAGTGAAAGTCCTTGGTAATACAATGTACAGTACCTCCAGGTTGAATGGGTTTTGTTTTGTATAACTGCCTTTTTAAATCTTTATTTGTGGCAACACGAAGGAAGGAATCAGCTAACTTTGCAACAGTGAAATAAGTTATTCCTGAGTTTGATAATGTTCACCGGTTTTGTCAAATTCAAAATATCATGCAATTTAGATATGTTGTAGCTAAAATTAGTTTGATGTTGATACAGAAATCTGTGTAGAAGAAAGGAAAAAGTTTCCTTCACAAAGTCATTGATATGGAAACAAAAGAAGCATTTAATTATTGTCACCAGTAAGAAACAAATGCAGATGATATTACTAGTATGTGCTAACATAATTTATAGCCCTAAACCCCCTCCCACCTCTGCAGGGGTTTAGTTTGATTAATGCACAGTGTTTGTTTGGATAGTAGACCTCTTGGGGAGGTACAAGTTTGCATATAAGAAGGTGTCTTGTTTTCCTGGCTCAGGGTTTGTTGTACTAGAAGCCATAGATGTTGGGTAAAGAACTTGGGTGGGCTCAGTACACACACAAGAAGTTAGTATTTTCAGAATCTGTGTATGACTTTTGCACAAACTGTTCTCCTTTGATGGGTTGTGTTCGTTTGTTGGGTCCAGGGGCTCTAATTTAGCTTTTCTACAACATGTAATTGCCAGCAGAATACTGAATGGGGGGGGGGGGGAATTAAATCAGGACACATAACTGCATGTGTACACTAGGAACAGTAAGTAGGCCATCTTCTAGTTTCTACCAGGCTTCAGAAGTGGCTGGAAAGAGTAGAATTTCTGCTCCTTCCAACTGTTTCTGAATCCTGATAGAAGCGAGCTATCTTCCTCTGACAAAGAATTATCCATTGTCTATCCTAGAAAATTTACATTCATGGTAACCGGACAGAAAAACAAAAAACTGTAAGAGTGCAAACATGTATGGCAAGAAAGGAAAGATGTAAAATTTATTCTTCTGGGGGCATAATCAATGCTAATTGTATACAGAAGGCAAGAAGGAATCAAGATCGATCAGAAATTCTGTCAGAACTTGGGAATTCCTAGATAAAATCAGACCCAAATTTGTGTAGAATTTCTGTAGCCAATATGGTGGCCCTCCTAATAAGGTGACAATTTGAGTTTCATTATTCATGATGATTCCTACAACACAGGGGTGCCTGTCAAGCAGGGCCAAATTGGGACTTGCACCCATGACCCTTCGGTCCCTTACCAGGTCCCCACCCTGCATACATACATCACCAAGTTTGTCTTCAGCGCTTCTCTATATAGACATAATTTTACATGTGACTTGGTATCAGTCTGGCACAGACAAAACATCCCCAGATTTCTATACGCATCAGACCACTGCTAGCATTTTATGGAGTGTTAAAATCCCACTCACAGACAAAGGCTATTAGAATCCCATTGTCCTCTGCCATTTCACAGGTCTTTGTCACTTTACCTACCTGTCCCAGGTGTGGTATAAAATTTTGCATATGATTAGGTATCTTTTGAATTGCTTTGTTCCTTTCTTGAATTTCCCCACAGGAATTCTTTAGGTATTTTTGAATACCAAGATATCAGAGGCAATAGTTCCATCCTGTTGAAAGAAAAGCCCAAGTTTCTTGTGGTTTTTACACAAAGTAAAGTCTAAATCTCTTATACAAACAGGAAAGTACATGATACTATGAGTGGTTTTTGCTTTTAACATGTTTTTACATTAGTTAAGTATACAACTGAGTCATGTCTGTACTTTTTGGGATGTAGTACGTTTCAGTACCACAGTTACGTTTACTCCGAGTTATGCAGCAATGTTGGTATCTTCTTCATACCAGGGGAAGTTGACACAACAATTTTTGGCCACGGATAGGAGATATCCTGTCATTTTCCAGGTCATGTCAGAAATTCCTGTGAAAATACTAGTAATCAGTCGGACG